TCTCTACTCTGGCAAAAGTTAGAACATCATTCAGAAACCTAAGTAAGGAGGCATTTAGGGCGCTTTACACTGCCTACGTGAGGCCAGTCTTGGAGTACACCTGTTGATTGACGGTTTAGAGGCGGGACCAAAGAGCTAAAGCTCAACCCCCGCAAGCACAACTTGGTGAGTACAACTAGGTGAGTACACACACACACACACACACACTCACACATGACTTTACATCCCACATTTATCATTATAAGTTAAACATTATGTCAATTTCGCGAGCCTCTATCATTTTATAGTACAGCAGTTTTTGGCCTCGGGTAAACTATATGTCAAAATGCGACGTGCTCTTATGAGGTCGGGCTGTGTACGTATGGAACTGTCTACCATTGTCGTGTGTGTGGTCTGCCGGTGGGAGGAGCTTGGCACTGTGAAAAATTAATAAAAGGGAGCAGTTATCCACTTTGAAAAAGGGGCAGGGTCTTGAGAAAGGGGCGGGGCTTGAGAAAAAGGCGGGACTTGAGAAAGGGGCGAGGCTTGAGAAAGAGGCGGGGCTGGAGAAAGAGGCGGGGCTTGAGAAAGAGGCGGGGCTTGAGAAAGGGGCGGGGCTTGAGAAAGAGGTGGGGCTTGAGAAAGAGGCGGGGCTTGAGAAAGGGGCGGGGCTTGAGAAAGGGGTGACGCTTGAGAAAGGGGCGACGCTTGAGAAAGAGGCGGGGCTGAAGAAAGAGGCGGGGCTTGAGAAAGAGGCGGGGCTTGAGAAAGGGGCGGGGCTTGAGAAAGAGGTGGGGCTTGAGAAAGGGGCGGGGCTTGAGAAAGGGGCGACGCTTGAGAAAGGGGCGACGCTTAAGAAAGAGGCGGGGCTTGAGAAAGGGGCGGGGCTTGAGAAAGGGGCGGGGCTTTGTTACGGGCCTATTGGGTCGCAACTGGGGTTCTTCTCTGATGTTATTAGAGTTTGGGTATCCGGCCCCAAGTTAGTAGTGGCTTTCGAGGGGTGTGTTCCGTAACGCAAGTAAATTAAAGGGGAAGGGATACAAATGCACTAAATTTAAATATATATATATATTCCACCACCATAAATAAATATCTCACAGTCACTCGCTGGGGCTATAACTACACTTATGTACAATAACTTGTCTTCCTCCGAAGACTCAGGATGTTGCACGGTGCTCACGATGAGTAGCCCTGGTTCTCTTCTTTGTGGCCCACGATGAATCCTTCGATTCTCTAGGCGAATCTACCCTGGCCACAGGCCAGCCAAATCACAGTCCCACTGGGTGCTCCGTCGTGGAGGCCTCCAACCACAAATCCAGCCTGTAGCTGGCAGGATCCAATCAGCTCCGCTGCGTAGGCCACTCCACGACCGATACTAAGGTTGCGAGCCCTAGGCAGGAGCCTCGTGTGATTCCACAGATCACTCTCCTCACCACAGTGGCTAGTCTTTTTCACCAGTCAACCCCCGGGTATGACGATTCCTCAACTCTGCCACGTCACAGGCAGGCTAACACTCTCAGCAGTGTTCGTCCGGGAGCAACTCACAGCTTCTGCAGCAAACACGTGGAGAGACTTTGGCTGCCTTGGGTAGACTGCCCATCATCTAATCCAGCAGTCCCAGGTCGACTCTGTAATCGGACACGTCATCAGTACTAGGGACACCCTAGGGCACCTCACTTACAGGCTTAGACACAAACGTCCACCTATCCACTCCATAGATGGTGTTGCTGTCTAAGCGCCACCTCACCAGAGGTCAGCAGCGGCTACGTTACTAGCTGATCAAGACGGGAAACCAGCCCCTGTGGCCGGTATATCCTGTCCTCACTAGATGGCGCCGTCCATTTGGAGGGGGTTTCGGGAGCTGACTCACAGATGGCGTGGTCGTCACAGCTCCGTGTTACGACGCTGGGCTCGGGTCCGTAACAGGCTTGAGAAAGCCTTTGAGCTGGGGAAGGGTCGTCTGTTGTATGCTATTACGGCCAAAGTAAGGATAGTAGAATTCGTAAATTTTCCCGAGATTAGTGAATAATGACATATAGTTCTATAAGAAAAAATAGTTTTGAAATTTTAGGATTCAAAATAGCTTGATGTGTAGCTGGCGAACAATGCCAGAACTCGTCGTGGGGGTCAGAATGTGACCCCGGCATGCTGTTCCATCTTGCATTCTGAGGACACCGATTAGCCTGTGTCCGACCCGTACCCCAAACCCTTCCCCCTGCAAATTTGGGTGAGGGTAGGCCCAAGCGTCTGGTCTCCATCTTTGGACTGACAAACAGACGGACAGACACATATTCTCTCGAATAATAAAGATATACATGAGAAAGGTCTCAGTAGGGTGGGCAACCTGCACACCACGTGACTGAGAGATGGCACCAGAGACAACCCTCCCCAACAACAAGCACAGTTAGGTAAGCACACGCACCTATAGCAGAATAGTCTACATCCTCGATTCAGAACCGAGAATCCCGTGCTCGAACCCCAGGACAGGGCTCTGTCCTGTTGGACAGGACAGAAACGGTTGGGTACGTTTAATTTCACCTGATGCCTCTGTTCACCTAGCAGTAACAAGATACATGTAAGTTAGGGAACTGTTGTGTCTTGCGTCCTGGAGAAGGTTAAGTGTTGATGCAGGAACACTTGGATAACAGGCTTGCTACGGTAAACCGTAAGATCAACCCGCACCTCCACTCCACCACATCTTACGCATCTTCCACTAAACGAAAGTAGCAAAAAATTATTAACTGGAGCTCCAGCAAAAACCAGGGGCCAGATTCACGAAGCAGTTACGCAAGCACTTACGAACCTGTACATCTATTCTCAATCTTTGGCGGCTTTGTTTACAATTATTAAACAGTTAATGAGCTCCGAAGCACCAGGAGGCTGTTTATAACAATAACAACAGTTGATTGGCAAGTTTTCATGCTTGTAAACTATTTAATAAATGTAAACAAAGCCGTCAAAGATTGAGGAAAGATGTACACGTTCGTTAGTGCTTGCGTAACTGCTTCGTGAATCTGGCCCCAGACTTGCAAGACTGTGGGAGCTGGAGCCTCCGTGTGGTGCTCGGGAAGACATCTGGACTGGGGGCTGGAGCCACCGTGTGGTGCCCAGGAAGACATCTGGACTGAGAGCTGGAGCCACCGTGTGGTGCTCGGGAAGACATCTGGACTGGGAGCTGGAGCCACCGTGTGGTGCCCAGGAAGACATCTGGACTGAGAGCTGGAGCCACCGTGTGGTGCCCAAGAAGACATCTGGACTGGGAGCTGGAGCCACCGTGTGGTGCCCAGGAAGACATCTGGACTGGGAGCTGGAGCCACCGTGTGGTGCCCAGGAAGACATCTGGACTGGGAGCTGGAGCCACCGTGTGGTGCCCAGGAAGACATCTGGACTGGGAGCTGGAGCCACCGTGTGGTGCCCAGGAAGACATCTGGACTGAGAGCTGGAGCCACCGTGTGGTGCCCAGGAAGACATCTGGACTGGGAGCTGGAGCCACCGTGTGGTGCCCAGGAAGACATCTGGACTGGGAGCTGGAGCCACCGTGTGGTGCCCAGGAAGACATCTGGACTGAGAGCTGGAGCCACCGTGTGGTGCCCAGGAAGACATCTGGACTGGGAGCTGGAGCCACCGTGTGGTGCCCAGGAAGACATCTGGACTGGGAGCTGGAGCCACCGTGTGGTGCCCAGGAAGAAAGTTTTAGAACTGCTGACAGATTAATCTCTGCCTATTAGATTAGTAATCAGAAACGTGTCTCGTGTTTTTGTTTTCATGGCGAGGGTGAGAGTTGGGGGTGAGGAGCCGGGGTGGGGGGGAGATGTCCCGGGGAGGGGTATAAGTGACGGGGAGGGGTAAAGAGGGGGTGGAGGAGAAGAGGCGCTGGTGTATATGGTCCCTCACACTACAGCGTCACCCGGTGATCCTTTCTACTAACACTTCTCCATACACGCCAACAAGTTACCGTCCTGTCACTGGACGGTACAGCTAGGGCTTTACTTCATGTGAGCCGCAGGTGTACCGTCCTCTGCTGTCCTCATAGCCCTTGCAAGAGCTATAGTCATGATGAGAGCGTTTTCTTCCCAAGGACTTGCTTCCCTTCAGGCGTAGTGGTAAGACACTTGCTTGGAGTTCCGCGAGCGCTATGTCCTGGGTTCGTATCCTGGCCGGGGAGGATTTACTGGGCGTCAATCCTTAACTGTAGTCTCTGTTTAACTCAACAGTAAAATGGGTACTTGGTTGTTAAACGATTTGGCGGATCGTATTCCAGGGAACATTAGATTAAGGATCTGCCCGACACCCTACGAGTACTAGTGGCTGTACAAGAATGTAACAACTCTTATATATATGAATAAATAAATAAATAAAATAAATGTCGACCGAGATTTCATTAACTCCATAGTGCCTGTGGCACCCAGTGACGTCAGATGGGGTGACGTGTTATTGGTGGAGACTTAACTATCCACCTGGTTCAACGGCTTGAAACTGCCTTCCTGTGTCGTAGGCATAAATAAAGAACTTACTGAAATGACCGAATATGTAGTTTGAGACCATAGACGTAAGCCAAGATAGCCATCGTATGTGTAGATCAGTTGTTAAGGTCTACTAGCAACCTGTCCTCTCAACTAGCATTTTTGTACCTTATGGTAACCAACGCTACAAATGCATCCTACTATGAAAAGAAACAACTCACAGATATCTACGTTTTCTATGTATCGGCCTCGCTAGGTTAGGTGGGTGGCTTGGGTTCGAACGTTTCTGGTTAGGCTTGGAGGCGGGGTTATATACGTAGTGGCAGATCAAGAGAACGGGCTACTGCTGTTGTTGTTGTTGCTGCTGCTGAGGTTGTTGCTGTTGCTGCTGCTGAGGTTGTTGCTGCTTCTGCTGCAGTTGTTGTTGCTGCTGCTGCTGCAGTTGTTGTTGCTGCTGCTGCTGCAGTTGTTGTTGCTGGTGCTGCTGCAGTTGTTGTTGTTGCTGCTGCTAGTGCGGGGAGGGGGGTGGCAGCAGGGCGTGGCGGGGGAGCCACAGGTGAGCGCGTGAGAGCCCACCACCGTCAGTGTGGTGCAGGAAGGCGTGTGGAGCGGGCTGTGTCAACCTGTCTCGGCTCAGTTACCATCACTGAGGACTTACGAGTGTATCGAATCTTCTTCTTCCCAGTGCCCCTCTGGCCTCTTACTGCGTCTCAGCGCCCACTGACACTGCATTTATCTTTGTTCGTAAATTTAGGAAGCCTACTCGACAGTGTTCATTTGTGAGTGAATTGCTTTTATTATTTTATCATCAATATTTTTGTGTTGTACCCATGTACAGCTTCCAGAAGAAGAGAGGAAATGTCAACGCTGTGAAAAAATGCACGACACCACTGGAACATTATCTAACAAACTGTTAAGTTACAAACACAAGAGTATTAATACTCTCACCGAAATTTAACAAAGCAGAAGATGTTGTTAATCACATTGGACATAAGGTTACTGAAGTTAACATTCGCGTCATACACACTCACCCAGCTTCCGAGTCACACTCAGTAAGGCGGGACCAAAGAGCAGCAGCTCAACCCCCGCGAGAGCAACTAGGTAAGTACACTGGAGGGAGTAATTAACGCAGTGAACCAGCCAGAGGCAGCCAACGACCCGTACCTGGGAATGTCCCTAGCAAAAATGTTCACTGACATTGTCAACAGTGCCTCTGGTACTGTTAACAGTGCCACTGATGTTATCAACAGTGCCACTGGTATTGTCAAGTGTTATTGGTATTATCAACAATGCTACAGGTATCATTCCCCAAAAAATTCCCCATCCATTTATGATTTCAAAACAATAGCAGCCTCATTCCAAATTGATGACCCAAATAACAACGCAGTAATTATCATGTTCAAACCTGCACCTAACTATCCCCCAGCAACCCGTCCTCTTACATTACGTCGCTTTTCGCTCGTATGCGCACTCAGGCTAAAAAAGTGACGTAATTTGTAAGAGGACGGGTTGCGGTTGACACTATTGAATTCACTGGAAGGCTCTGGAAACCCCAAACCGAAGCCCCACCAGGACTTTACACTGGTTTTAGTTTTATTACACTGCTGATACAGTGTAATACAACTGAAATTTGCTCTACAGCTGCTGATACAGTGTAATACAACTGAAGTTTGCTCTACAGCTGCTGATACAGTGTAATACAACTGTTGCTAGTTCTAGAGCTGCTGATACAGTATAATACAACTAATTGTAGGGTCGTGGGAGACTGTGTGATTGTAGGATCGTGGGTGGCTGTCGGTTTGATTGTACGATCGTGGGGCTGTCGGCATGATAGTAGAGTCAGGCGTTTGAGGCTGTCAGTACGATTATAGTCTTGTGGGAAGCTTTAGGTATTATTATATTGTCAAAGGTGGCTGTCAGTATGCTTTTAGTGTCGTTGGAGGCTGACGATATGATTGTAGAGGCCTGAAAGACAGACGTGGTGATTTGTATTTAGAAGGTAAACAACAATATTGATGACAATACCGTGAACAAAATCTCTCTGATACTTGCAGCCGTCACCACACACAATGCGCAACACGACATCGACCTCAGGGGACGACGGCGCCGTCGCTGGCGATCACATTGTGGTCACAGACGACCCCAACACTCAGGAGAAAACGCCTGGACACCTAGCGTCGGATAACGCCAGCAACGCAGACAGCGCGCTGGTGACTACAAAGTCAACCCCAGCAGACAACACGCAGGTGACGGCAGTGACCGCGAAGTCAACCCCAGCAGAAGTGGACTCGGACTCTAAACCTACAAGCAGCAACAAGCGAGACAGGTAAAAGATATTACAAATCAGCATTTGCTTACATTCTAACTACTGACATTATGCAGCGAAACATGAAGGTGAGAGTCGACATGTATCTATAGATGACCTGCCGCTAACGAAGCCTGTTTGATCAAGCCTTGACAGGCGTAAGTACTATTGTGTAAAACTTACTTTCATCTTGGTCTTTCACCACATGCCATAGTCAGCACTTTGCTTTCTTTCTTATCTCCTGATATTATAAGTATTATTATCACTATTTTTATGATGGAAATAGTGGCAGTTATGTTACACTTGCTATTTTAGTAATAGTAGAAGTATCATAAGTATTATGTTTATTTACTTGCAATATCAAACTAAAAATTATTTATTTAACATTTAATATTTAACGTTACTATTTAGTTAGTAACAATGTCATTAACAATACATCAATATGGTTATCTATTTGCTCAGTAATACAACATTTTTTAACAGATTTATATGAAATATAAAAAATAAACTAAGATAAATTGTTACGTGGACTTACACAAAAGCCATAATGACTGCGACCTACTTGAGTGCAAGGTTCAAAGCGTCGCGCGAAAGGTTTAATATTAAACCGCGAGATTCAGAGGCTAAATTTTGGCGCACTCAGCAGCCTCACAACACACTCAGCAGCCTCACAACACACTCACTTGCAACTTATTTTTATATCTGGGTTTCTACAAATATTACACATAATTCACCAACATGAGCAATTTTATATTAATTTACGCAACATTTCGAAGCGTCTTTTATTTAGAAACTTATTTAGGTCAATGTTTCCGAAGAATATTCTATTCAAAAACAATGGGCTATATTCGCATAACGACCATCAGGTCATTGGTTAATTTGTACACGCCATTGGTCATATTTTATAACCTGTCTCCTGTCAGTGATAGTACCCATAGCGACTATGAGCGGGATATGCAAAATATGGACTGTTGTATTAAAAAAAACAGGTTTTGTACTATCAATTTTGCAGATCGCCTGATAATGAAGGTTTTAAATAAACCTAGAAACCTAGTATTGTGCAAATCTATATAAATAAAAATGGAAATGTTCGTTTGTTCAAAATCGCTAATCTCCGAAAGTTCTTCTCCGATTGCTTTGATATTTTCACACAATGTTCCTTTCGCATCCGAGCGGGTTTTTATATACATTTTTTTTTTTACATGCAAGCATGCGTATAAGTACAATAAAACGAGAACAAACAAGCAGAGCACAAAATCACAAACCACAAACACCCAAGCACAAAATTACAAAAACACAAAATACCGGCCTGAAGGGCCCACAACAAGAAGCACAAACACAATGCAAGACAGTACAAAAAGAACAACAGTACAATACAATATATTTATAAATATTGATATAGTCACAGGGAAAGCATGCGCATAAACACAATAAAACAGACAAAACCAAAGTGAAACAAACAAGGCACATAATGAGCGGCCTGAGGGGCCTACAGCAAGACACAACACGTAGTACAATCAAACTGTCGGACACACAATACACAGCCACATGACATAAGGGCACAGAACAATAAATGACATATACAAGCACAAAATAACCAAAACATAAACAGGCACTGATAGCCAAGCAACCCGAAGAGCACTCAACAAATTATAAACAAGCACATAAAGAGAACAAGATTACTCTCAAACCAGAACAGTCCCACGCAGGAGCCAGGAAGAAACACCCACACACACACACACACACACACACACACACACACACACACACACACACACACACACACACACACACAATCACACCCCCCCCCCCCCCCCGTGCACGCAGGTGTGGTGTTTGTGTGTTAAAATAAAATAAAATAAAATGTTTATTTAGGTGAGGTACATACATACAATAAATTTTTACAAAGATTGGTTGACTTATAGGTAGAGCTAGTACATACAATGCCTAAAGCCACTGTTACGCAAAGCGTTTCGGGCATAAATATGTTGCTTATACTTCCTCATCAGTATACTTACATATACTTCCTCATCTGTTGCTGAGGAAGTCTTGGTTGTAGGGTTGATATAAAGCCATTGCTTGGTTACTGACTTTAATACATATAAAAGATTACATGACTAGCTGCTTCCAAGCTGGTAGCGTCCCGTACGCTTTCTTGTTTACCTCTCTGCTCGCGTCCAAGCCGCAGCACATACAAACGGATGGTACCGTTTTCTATGAACATGACATCCCTCCCTTTCTTTAAAAAGAATGAATACAGGATGTCTACCATGCTTGTAGCACAAAACAAAGTTATTGACACAAAGTAAGTTATTAACATATCAAGAGATATTGCATACATTTAACATTAATTAAGCACACAAAGAATTTAAACAACTTAATCTTTACCACAAGGGATTTCAATGTTGAAAATACAAATGCAATGTTAAACAAAAATGAAAGAAACTGTAATACTAAGTTACAAAATATTGAATGAGAGATCTGCATTATTCAAACAATATTAAATTTAGTTTTGCATAACAAGTAAATACTTTGCATTACATAGGAACACAATTAATCATCAAATCGCGTAGGGCGTTTAACATGACGTTTAGGACGAGAGTCCTTAAATACAAGAATATCCCTTGATGAATTATATATATATATATATATATATATATATATATATATATATATATATATATATATATATATATATATATATATATATATATCCGTCAAGCTTGAATGATCCCCAAGCCAGCATGTATCAGAAAACTCTTGACCCCTGAAGGACTCGTCTCTCCCTTTCACTTCTCTTCTACCATTCACCTTTTCTTATCCCTCTTTCACCCCCCCCCCCCCCCCACTTCACCCCTCTTCCCTTTTTCTCAGAAAGTATATTAAGAAGCAGTGGGACCACTGTAAGGGAGTTACAGCCGAGCTCCTGTGCCAGGTAAGTCCACTACGGGCTCACCATAGCCCGTGCTACTTGGAACTTTTTTTCCGAGTAGCTGAATCTACAACAACAACCACTGTAAGGGTCTATCATAAAATATTATTTTATGAACACAAAATAGTTCTTGGTGAATCATAACCCATATTGACTCCAAGAAAATCGGATGAGGGTGTCTCAATAACTTCTAATATTTCTTAAAGCATTTTACTTGGGCCTACCCCGATCAGCCTATGTCCATCCCTTATCCCAGACCATTCCGCATGCAGACTTGTGTGAGGCTATACATACATACACTCACATATATACAAGATCAACCAAGAACATATATGGCCAAATAACAGCTAACACCCGTGTGTTTCTAGCAGTTGTCTGAGCCGGGTGAGCAGGTGGGTGACGCGGGGCCTGGAGGAGGTGTTCGAGGGCCACGGCGCCCGTGTCGCGGCTCATCCAACAGCGGTGGCTGCTCTCTGCGTCCTGGTGTCTGCAGTCTGCGCACTGGGGGCCCTCAACTTCTCCACAGAACTTCGTCCTTATCGACTGTGGATCCCTCAGGACTCGGAATACATTAAAGTAAGTTTATGTAAGCCAGTTGCAGTATAAATGAAGTTAACGGACTTCAACTTGTGGATTATTTCATTGCTCACGAATTATTTACTAGTTTATTATTGGTTTCTATGTTTATCCTGTCAAGGACAGGAAGCCTCAACTTATCGAGCCCTCCCCCCCCACCTCCTGGCCTTGCCCAGGATACAACCCCACAATTTCCTAACTCCCTGTTTCCTATTTACTGCTGGCTCTTTGTTTACTGCTGGCTCGTTGTTTACTGCTGGCTCTTTGTTTACTGCTGGCTCGTTGTTTACTGCTGGCTCTTTGTTTACTGCTGGCTCGTTGTTTACTGCTGGCTCTTTGTTTACTGCTGGCTCTTTGTTTACTGCTGGCTCTTTGTTTACTGCTGGCTCGTTGTTTACTGCTGGCTCTTTGTTTACTGCTGGCTCTTTGTTTACTGCTGGCTCTTTGTTTACTGCTGGCTCTTTGTTTACTGCTGGCTCGTTGTTTACTGCTGGCTCTTTGTTTACTGCTGGCTCTTTGTTTACTGCTGGCTCTTTGTTTACTGCTGGCTCTTTGTTTACTGCTGGCTCTTTGTTTACTGCTGGCTCTTTGTTTACTGCTGGCTCGTTGTTTACTGCTGGCTCGTTGTTTACTGCTGGCTCGTTGTTTACTGCTGGCTCTTTGTTTACTGCTGGCTCTTTGTTTACTGCTGGCTCTTTGTTTACTGCTGGCTCTTTGTTTACTGCTGGCTCTTTGTTTACTGCTGGCTCTTTGTTTACTGCTGGCTCGTTGTTTACTGCTGGCTCGTTGTTTACTGCTGGCTCGTTGTTTACTGCTGGCTGTTGGGCTGGATAGTAAAGCGATGGTCTCGCTTCATGCAGGTCGACGTTCAATCCCGGACTGTCCAAGTGGTTGGGCACCATTCCTTTCCCCCGTCCCGCCGTCTTATCCTGACCTCTTCCTAGTACTGTATAGTCGTAATGGCTTGGCGCTTTCCCTTGATAATTCCCTTTTTCCTATTTACTGCTGGATGAACAGATGTGATATTAAAAAAGTATCGAATGTACTCACCTAATTGTGCTTGCCTTACCTTGAGGTGCTTCCGGGGCTTAGCGTCCCCGCGGCCCGGTCGTCGACCAGGCCTCCTGGTTGCTGGACTGATCGGGGGTTGAGCTCTGACTCTTTGGTCCCGCCTCTCAACCGTCAATCAACAGGTGTACAGGTTCCTGAGCCTATTGGGCTCTATCATATCTACACTTGAAGCTGGGTATGGAGTCAGCCTCCACCACATCACTTCCAGTACCCTATCAATTCCCTTGAGAATCTTGAATGCGGTGATCATGTCCCCCCTAACTCTTCTGTCTTCCAGTGAAGTGAGGTTTAATTCCCGTAGTCTCTCCTCGTAGCTCATACCTCTCAGCTCGGGTACTAGTCTCGTGGCAAACCTTTGAACCTTTTCCAGTTTGGTTTTATCCTTGACTAGATATGGACTCCATGCTGGAGCTGTATACACCAGAGTAGCTGGTAGTAGTGGAGTAGCTTTGGTTCGGTCTTGGCTTTGTTTGCTAAATCATTTTCATAACTTTTCTCTGCTTCTCTTCTCACCCTAACATATTCCTGGTGCTCTGGTATCTCTTTTTGCTTTCTGGTGTTCTGTTATTCTGGAAGTTCCTCCACACCCTATTGTTCAGTCTCTCTGCTTCCATACATGCCCTATTATACCATGGATTCTTCTGTTGCTTCTCGGATTTTTCCCTTTGGGACGGGATGAACCTGTTTACTGCCTCCTGACACTTTTGGGTGACATAGTCCATCATATCTTGTACAGACTTAGCTCTGAGGTCTTTGTCCCAAGGTATTTCCCTTAGGAAACGTCTCATCTCATCATATTTCCCTTTTCGGTAAACCAGCCTTTTGTTTCCTAGTTCTTTTTTGGGGTAGAAAATTCCTAGCTCTACCAGGTACTCAAAGTTTAATATACTTTGGTCACTCATTCCCAATGGTGCTTCCATCTTAACATCCCTTATATCCCATTCATTTAGGGTAAATATCAGATCGAGCATGGCTGGCTCATCTTCTCCTCTCATTCTTGTTGGTTCCTTGATGTGCTGGCTTAGAAAGTGTCTTGTTGCCACGTCCAGCAGCTTAGCTCTCCATGCGGATCCCTGTTCTCCCAGTCTATTTTCCTATGGTTGAAGACACCCATGATAAGTAGTCCAGATCCATTCCTGCTAGCAACAAAAGCTGCTCCCTCTATTATGTTAACGGTGGCCATGTTGTTTCTATCATATTACTATCTGGGTCTTCTGTCATTTGGTGGTGGATTATATATGACTACGACTATAATTTTTTGTCCTCCAGTTGTTATGGTACCTGCTATGTAGTCACTGAAACCCTCACAACCCTGAATAACCATCTCCTCAAAGTCCCAGCCCTTTCTTACCAGCAGAGCTACACCACCACCAACACCACCTCTTCCTTCTCTCTCTTTCCTCATAACATAATATTCCTGTGGGAACACTGCAATTGTTATGGTTTTCGTTAGCTTTGTTTCTGTGAGTGCTATTATGTCTGCGTTTTCCTCTAGTACCCATTCTCCAAGCTCATTTGCTTTGTTTGTAATTCCATCTATGTTAGTGTACATTGCCCTGAGGCTCACTTTCTTCTGTCCCTTCTCAAATCGCCTCCTTGGTGAGTGTTCTGCTGGTGGGGGAAGCTGTTCCATGGGTGTGAGGATTTGTGAAGTGGATAACAGGGTCTCAGAGGATACTGGGGTGAGGGGCGGGGGATCAAGTGAAGGGGGGGGGGACAGGGAGGGTATGGGATGAAGGAGGGAGGACTGGAAGGAAAAGGGGGAAGTGGGGACATGGCGGGAGGAGGGGAGGGGTAGCAGGGTGGGAATGGGGTGTGGGGATAGGGAGATTTGGCTGTGCATTTGAGTTGGGGCTGGGAGGGTTTGGGGTAGAGGGGTTTTCTATGCAGAGGAGTGTGGTGGGGTTGCCCTCCCCGCTGGTGTTACTGGGTAGCTGGTTGTGAGTTCCCCCCCCCCCTCACCTCTGGGGATGTGTTGGGAGCTGTGAGTTCCTGGTTTCCCCCTCTCGCCCTGTGCCTCTTCCTTGCTTCTGCCGCCATAGCTCTTTCCTCCCTCGTCATGTCCCTCTGGAGGAATACTTTTTTTAAATCTCCCACATGTTGCAGGCGGCTTTTCCTTGTTAGAATCAACTCCTTTGTGTTCTCGTTTGCAAACACTATCTTTAACACACGAAATGGACTTCAAGTTTTTGAATCATCGCGGGTTATTAAATAGGCCCTCTCCTCTATCCCAAGTCCTCTTAGGACCTCTCTTATTTCTTATATATATATATATCAATGATTTACCAAATGTTTCTAACATTCTTAAACCTATACTAATTTGCTTGCGATACTACCTTCATCTATTCTGACCCCAACCCCTCACAAACTAAATATTATTGATAATAATGAATTAAAAAATGACCACTAGTGGATGTCAACCAACAAACTCACACTAAACATAGAAAAGACCTACTACATTTTATTTGGTAGTAAATCTTAAAAGCAAATTCAACTTCAGATACACAATGTTAACATTACCAATGAAAATGAGGGGAAGTTCCTTGGTCTATACATAGACAAGAATAGCACTGTGGAGAAATGCCCGACAGACCACTGGAGCATTATCTAACACAGTGCACAGTTACAGCCACAACAGACCACTGGAACATTATCTAACACAGTGCACAGTTACACACACAACAGACCACTGGAACATTATCTAACAGTGCACAGTTACAGCCACAACAGACCACTGGAACATTATCTAACACAGTGCACAGTTACAGCCACAACAGACCACTGGAACATTATCTAACACAGTGCACAGTTACAGCCACAACAGACCACTGGAACATTATCTAACACAGTGCACAGTTACAGCCACAACAGACCACTGGAACATTATCTAACACAGTGCACAGTTACACACACAACAGACCACTGGAACATTATCTAACAGTGCACAGTTACAGCCACAACAGACCACTGGAACATTATCTAACACAGTGCACAGTTACAGCCACAACAGACCACTGGAACATTATCTAACACAGTGCACAGTTACAGCCACAACAGACCACTGGAACATTATCTAACACAGTGCACAGTTACAGCCACAACAGACCACTGGAACATTATCTAACACAGTGCACAGTTACAGCCACAACAGACCACTGGAACATTATCTAACACAGTGCACAGTTACAGCCACAACAGACCACTGGAACATTATCTAACAGTGCACAGTTACAGCCACAACAGACCACTGGAACATTATCTAACACAGTGCACAGTTACAGCCACAACAGACCACTGGAACATTATCTAACACAGTGCACAGTTACAGCCACAACAGACCACTGGAACATTATCTAACAGTGCACAGTTACAGCCACAACAGACCACTGGAACATTATCTAACACAGTGCACAGTTACAGCCACAACAGACCACTGGAACATTATCTAACAGTGCACAGTTACAGCCACAACAGATCACTGGAACATTATCTAACACAGTGCACAGTTACAGCCACAACAGACCACTGGAACATTATCTAACACAGTGCACAGTTACAACCACAACAGATCACTGGAACATTATCTAACACAGTGCACAGTTACAGCCACAACAGACCACTGGAACATTATCTAACACAGTGCACAGTTACAGCCACAACAGACCACTGGAACATTATCTAACACAGTGCACAGTTACAGCCACAACAGACCACTGGAACATTATCTAACACAGTGCACAGTTACAGCCACAACAGACCACTGGAACATTATCTAACACAGTGCACAGTTACAGCCACAACAGACCACTGGAACATTATCTAACACAGTGCACAGTTACAAACCAAATAAGATTTCAACCTAGATTCAACAGAGCAGAAGTTGTTAAACACATATGGCAAAATCTTACTGAAGCGACCATACGGGTCATAAATACTCATACTCCGCCCAAGTAAAACAGAAACAAGCAACACTTAGTGGGCCAGCCAGAGGCTTAGGGCCCGCGCAGTGGGCCAGCCAGAGGCTTAGGGCCCGCGCAGTTGGCCAGCCAGAGGCTTAGGGCCCGCGCAGTGGGTCAGCCAGAGGCTTAGGACCCGCGCAGTGGGCCAGCCAGAGGCTTAGGACCCGCGCAGTTGGCCAGCCAGAGGCTTAGGGCCCGCGCAGTGGGCCAGCCAGAGGCTTAGGGCCCGCGCAGTTGGCCAGCCAGAGGCTTAGGGCCCGCGCAGTTGGCCAGCCAGAGGCTTAGGGCCCGCGCAGTGGGTCAGCCAGAGGCTTAGGGCCCGCGCAGTTGGCCAGCCAGAGGCTTAGGGCCCGCGCAGTTGGCCAGCCAGAGGCTTAGGGCCCGCGCAGTGGGCCAGCCAGAGGCTTAGGGCCCGCGCAGTTGGCCAGCCAGAGGCTTAGGGCCCGCGCAGTTGGCCAGCCAGAGGCTTAGGGCCCGCGCAGTGGGTCAGCCAGAGGCTTAGGGCCCGCGCAGTGGGCCAGCCAGAGGCTTAGGGCCCGCGCAGTTGGCCAGCCAGAGGCTTAGGGCCCGCGCAGTTGGCCAGCCAGAGGCTTAGGGCCCGCGCAGTTGGCCAGCCAGAGGCTTAGGGCCCGCGCAGTGGGCCAGCCAGAGGCTTAGGGCCCGCGCAGTTGGCCAGCCAGAGGCTTAGGGCCCGCGCAGTTGGCCAGCCAGAGGCTTAGGGCCCGCGCAGTGGGTCAGCCAGAGGCTTAGGGCCCGCGCAGTTGGCCAGCCAGAGGCTTAGGGCCCGCGCAGTTGGCCAGCCAGAGGCTTAGGGCCCGCGCAGTGGGCCAGCCAGAGGCTTAGGGCCCGCGCAGTTGGCCAGCCAGAGGCTTAGGGCCCGCGCAGTTGGCCAGCCAGAGGCTTAGGGCCCGCGCAGTGGGTCAGCCAGAGGCTTAGGGCCCGCGCAGTTGGCCAGCCAGAGGCTTAGGGCCCGCGCAGTGGGCCAGCCAGAGGCTTAGGGCCCGCGCAGTTGGCCAGCCAGAGGCTTAGGGCCCGCGCAGTTGGCCAGCCAGAGGCTTAGGGCCCGCGCAGTTGGCCAGCCAGAGGCTTAGGGCCCGCGCAGTGGGTCAGCCAGAGGCTTAGGGCCCGCGCAGTGGGCCAGCCAGAGGCTTAGGGCCCGCGCAGTTGGCCAGCCAGAGGCTTAGGGCCCGCGCAGTGGGCCAGCCAGAGGCTTAGGGCCCGCGCAGTTGGCCAGCCAGAGGCTTAGGGCCCGCGCAGTTGGCCAGCCAGAGGCTTAGGGCCCGCGCAGTTGGCCAGCCAGAGGCTTAGGGCCCGCGCAGTGGGCCAGCCAGAGGCTTAGGGCCCGCGCAGTTGGCCAGCCAGAGGCTTAGGGCCCGCGCAGTGGGCCAGCCAGAGGCTTAGGGCCCGCGCAGTTGGCCAGCCAGAGGCTTAGGGCCCGCGCAGTTGGCCAGCCAGAGGCTTAGGGCCCGCGCAGTTGGCCAGCCAGAGGCTTAGGGCCCGCGCAGTTGGCCAGCCAGAGGCTTAGGGCCCGCGCAGTGGGTCAGCCAGAGGCTTAGGGCCCGCGCAGTTGGCCAGCCAGAGGCTTAGGGCCCGCGCAGTTGGCCAGCCAGAGGCTTAGGGCCCGCGCAGTGGGTCAGCCAGAGGCTTAGGGCCCGCGCAGTGGGTCAGCCAGAGGCTTAGGGCCCGCGCAGTGGGACAGCCAGAGGCTTAGGGCCCGCGCAGTGGGTCAGCCAGAGGCTTAGGGCCCGCGCAGTTGGCCAGCCAGAGGCTTAGGGCCCGCGCAGTGGGCCAGCCAGAGGCTTAGGGCCCGCGCAGTTGGCCAGCCAGAGGCTTAGGGCCCGCGCAGTTGGCCAGCCAGAGGCTTAGGGCCCGCGCAGTGGGTCAGCCAGAGGCTTAGGGCCCGCGCAGTTGGTCAGCCAGAGGCTTAGGGCCCGCGCAGTGGGTCAGCCAGAGGCTTAGGGCCCGCGCAGTGGGTCAGCCAGAGGCTTAGGGCCCGCGCAGTTGGTCAGCCAGAGGCTTAGGGCCCGCGCAGTGGGCCAGCCAGAGGCTTAGGGCCCGCGCAGTGGGTCAGCCAGAGGCTTAGGGCCCGCGCAGTTGGCCAGCCAGAGGCTTAGGGCCCGCGCAGTGGGTCAGCCAGAGGCTTAGGGCCCGCGCAGTGGGTCAGCCAGAGGCTTAGGGCCCGCGCAGTTGGTCAGCCAGAGGCTTAGGGCCCGCGCAGTGGGCCAGCCAGAGGCTTAGGGCCCGCGCAGTGGGTCAGCCAGAGGCTTAGGGCCCGCGCAGTTGGTCAGCCAGAGGCTTAGGGCCCGCGCAGTGGGCCAGCCAGAGGCTTAGGACCCGCGCAGTGGGCCAGCCAGAGGCTTAGGACCCGCGCAGGAATATCCCTGTAAACAAAAAAAAGACAAGAAACTGACCTTCAGCCCCCACATACAACACATATCCAAAAAATATAAAAAACGGTCGATATACTTTCTAAAATCAGACATTATGTTCCCCACTCTTCTCTCCTCTTATTATACTACGCACTAATCTATCCCTATCTTACATACGGTATCTGTGCATGGAGGTTCAACCACTGCAAATAACCTCAAGCCTATCATCACTCAACAAAAATTTGCTATCAGAACTATAACAAACTCAGTATTCAGACAACACACAGCCCCTTTGTTTAAGTCCCCTAACATGCAAAACATACACTCACTCCACACATTCTCATGTGCTATCTACAGGTACAAAACCTTGTTCCTATTTGCTAATCTTGATCTGAAACTTTTCCTTGACAGATGTAATAGAACCCATGAGCACCACAACAGAAATAAATATCTCTGATAACCCCAGAGTCAAACTAAATCTGTGCAAACACTCCATGCAAATAATAGCATTTAGTCTATGGAACTCACTTCCTGATGAATTAACAAATTGTCCAACCTAAGCCTTATTCAAAAGTGAAACCAAAAAGTACATAATTTCATCCTCATAGTGCCCTACCTTGTGCTGCAAACTCACACTGTATCTTGTACTACCCACTCTCCCAATATCAGAACTTAAGACATATCCTTACCAGTGCATTTACCTCTGCCAATTTATATTGTAGTTATTAGTTGATATAAAACCTTGCTACAATGTACCCTTTCATCTTACCTGATATATATATATATATATTTTTTTTTTTTTTGAGATATATACAAGAGTTGTTACATTCTTGTACAGCCACTAGTACGCGTAGCGTTTCGGGCAGGTCCCTGGAATACGATCCCCGCCGCAAAGAATCGTTGTTACAACCAAGTACACATTTTACTGTTGAGTTAAACAGAGGCTACAGTTAAGGATTTGCGCCCAGTAAATCCTCCCCGGCCAGGATACGAACCCATGACAAAGCACTCGCGGAACGCCAGGAGAGTGTTTTACCACTACACCATCTTGGGCATGGTATTTTATCAAATCACCTCATTCTTTGGGGCACACGTAAGGAACACAAATGTGAACAAGCCTGAATGGTCCCCAGGACTATATGCAATGAAGTGATTTGATAAAATACTATGCCCAAGATTACCAATCGAGTGCCGGTGGGGGGATGGAAATAGCCTCGGCTACCATCCTCTTTTGTCCGGTCGTGTTGGTCGAGCGGTTAAAGGATCCTGTATGCCAGCAGAGTGCTCCTGGCAGTATGGGTTCGAGTCACTTCTGGGGTGTGAGTTTTCAGTTGCATATAGTCCTGGGGACCATTCAGGCTTGTTCACATTTGTGTTCCTCACATGTGCCCCAAAGAATGAGGTGATTTGATAAAATACCATGCCCAAGATTATCAACCGAGTGCCGGCGGGGGGGGATGGAAATAGCCTCGGCTACCATCTTCTTTTGTCCGGTCGTGTTGGTCGAGCGGTTAAGGGATCCTGTACGCCAGCAGAGTGCTCCTGGCAGTATGGGTTCGAGTTACTTTTGGGGTGTGAATTTTTCATATATGTATGTATGTGTGTGCGGATTGCTTAAATATTGCGCTCGTGATTTCTCTTTCCAGACGTTACTTTGGTTGTAACCACATGAGCATATTCACAGAGACCTTTATAATAAAAGTATGTTATGAAATGTGCAGCCTAAGACTGAGCTGGTCTTGTATGTGTCCTCAGGTAATGAACTGGCAGTCAGTGAACTTCCCTAGCACGTTCCGGCGCCACCTGGCTGTGTGGGAGGCAGACAATATACTGACGGCCCGAGCAGTACAGGAGATGTGGCGCCTGCACTCCCGCGTCAAGCACATCGCCGTCGGGGTGAACCACACCTCCTGGGATGCTCTCTGCGCCCGTGTTCCCTCTCTGCCTATGGATGACGAGCCACCAAAAGAAGACGATTCAGATTTTGAGTACGGGGTTCTGCAGTTCCGACGACGACGCCGGGATCTATTTCAAACTATAACAGAAGACTTGAGCCTTAAACTTCCCCGTGATCAGTACTGCGATAGTGTTATAAGCCTACCCAAGATGTGTCTTGAAACCAGCCTGCTCGAAGTGTGGGGTCTGAATGAGAATATTATCAGGAACCTAACAGATGAGCAAGTGGTAGAAGATGTCAATTCGGCACGACTGAGCGAAGTCTTCGGTTACAAAGTGAACTTTACTAGTTACCTTGGCAGCGTCACATATGACGAGGCGGGGCGAGTGGTGGGTGCCAGAGCTGCCATGCATATGTGGGTGACGGTAGTGAACCAGACCGCCCTCGACCAAGGGAACATCGTAGTGGACCAGGGTAGCGGGGAGCTGGTCGACACGGCTGGCTTTACCTGGGAGAAGGCGTGGGTGGACACCGTTCTTAACAACACCTCTCGACCAAAGGACATTCTTGTGTATGCGCAGGCCGCCAGTAGCTTCGGCAGTGTTAGTGACGATAATATTTGGGGTGATGTTCAGTGGTTGGCCGTCGGCTTTATGATGATGTGCATCTTTGTAAACCTGACATTGGGACGAAGAAATCTTGTTCAACAACGCCCAATGCTAGCTTTCCTGGGAATGTTCAGTGTAGGGCAGGCCGTGGCGGTGTCTTATGGTGTATGCTCATTCTTCGGTGTTCCCTACTGCCCGGTTAACTCCATTCTGCCGATTCTCTTGGTGGGATTGGGCGTGGACGACATGTTCGTCATCATGGCAGCATGGGAGGCAGCTGGCCGACATAAACCTATCTCTGGGAATCATATAGAACGCGCTGGTCGAACAATGCGTCATGCGGGTGTAGCCATCACTGTCACCTCACTGACTGATGTGACTGCCTTTGCCGTAGGAGCGTCAACAGACTTGCCTGCCTTGCGGTCTTTCTGTCTGTACGCTGCCGTCGGCATATTTGCAGTGTATGTACTGCAAGCTACTTTTTTCTTAGCGTGGCTGGTGCAAGATGAAAAACGAATGGAAAAAAATAAAAATGGTTTTTTGTGGTGCATAACACACAAAAACTGGAAACCGTGGGGCTGCAGCAAGAGGGACTTGCTATCAGACGCCTTCAAATATGTCTTCTGTCCATTTATTTTGTGGACTCCAGTTCGCGTCTTAATCCTAGTATGTTCGAGCTGCCTCTTGGCCTCCTCAGTCTGGGCTACTATGAACCTGCACCAGGAGTTTAACCCAATGTGGTTCATACCGCGCTCATCTTATCTGTATGAAATGTTTGAAGTCTCCACAAAACACTTCCCTGGAGCAGGAGAGCGTGGCTACATATACTTCTCCAACGTTACCTTACCAGATGAGTTAAGTAACCTAAATCATCTCATAAATTCTCTGACGGAAAGCAAAGTGATAAGCTCAGTGAACGCTTGGTTTACGGCGCTGGACGAGTATATGTCCTTTATACCAGAGTTACTGAACACTACTCTTACGGACACCTTACTACAAGACACGCTCTCCGTCTTCCTCCAGTCCTCGTCGGGGGCCTCCTATCGCAATGACTTCACTCTGGACGGCGTTCTTGAATGTAAATACCCAGCTCCTCCTATCAGTTCATTTAGAATTGAATTCACCCATCGGCCAGCAAACTCTCCAGCAGAACAAGCCACAGCCTTAGAAACTGTAAAGACCATACTAGCAGACATACCAGTTGGCGGCTACAGGGCTGCGTGGGCCGAGGCTTACAGCATATGGGAAACTAATCAAATAATCGGGTACGAATTGTGGAGGAACATTTTACTAGCTGGGTTAGTGGTGGGTATCGTCACACTCCTGCTCCTGGCGTCACTCTCCGCTGCCATGCTCGTGCTAGGGTGCGTAGCTGCCACAGTCACTGGGGTGTCGGGCACCATCTGGGCGTGGGGTCTTACTGTCGACACTGTTTCCTGCATCGCTATTGTCCTCGCCATCGGGCTGAGTGTGGACTACGCAGCACATGTGGCCCATGCCTTCCTGGCCACACGCCATGTCCTCGACAAAAAGGAAAGAGTCCACGTGGCTCTGGAAAATGTAGGCCCCGCCGTCCTGCAGGGTGGGCTCTCAACACTCCTCTCCTTCGTCCTCCTCGCTGGGTCCTCGTCCCATGTGTTTACGACTTTCTTTAAAGTATTTGTAGCAACATCCATATTAGGTCTTTACTATGGACTTGTTCTCCTTCCCGTGATCCTATCTCTAATAGGCCCAGAAGCGTATGCTACTACCGAAGAGCCTAGTGGCAGCCCTCAGACATCCTCCCCCGACAGTGTAGACGAGGTAGCGGAGCACCCACAGGCGTACACAAACTCGGCTTACTTTCCTGAGCACAAATGTAAAACCAAAGAAGTTTCCATAGCATTGTGACAGTCCATATTTTAGTGCATTACTTTGTACATAGTGAACCTTTTAATTCCTTTCTGTGATATAACATTTTTAAACCTATTTTTTACAAGCCGTGCATAACCAACTTGTATTATTTATAATTTTGAACATTTTGTATTTATTTATTTAAAAGTGGATGGCGCAATTGGCTAAAAACGAAAGGGACCAGAATTCGGTTCTCTGGCATGTTTCCTTACGCCTGGTACCTCTGCTCACTTACCAGTAAATTGGTAAATGAACCTAACCTGGCAGTTAGGCGACTGTTATAGGTCGCATCCTGGGAAAAGCCAGCTTATGGGGACCTGGATATGCCAAACAGGCTTTCTGTCCCTATCAGTGGGAAAACCATGTTACCGTTACTCTCAAACTGATACTATACTACTAACATATAATTTAATTCACGATCATTAAATATTGTCCAAAGTTCAGAAAATGTCTCCTTGGCAATAAAATGTATTTTTTGACCTATGTATTTTTCTGGGTATTGCTATTTTGTCACAGTTGGTGATAGACCTTACAATGACCTTACAATGACCATGGCATGACAAGGAAGTTACTGACAACAGTGAAAGCTCCATTTTGTAGCCTAACCTCTGTAGTCTACGCAAAGAGTATTAAATAGCATGATTTGAATCCCATACTCAAGTTCATGAATAATAGTAAGAAATGTTACAATTAAGAAGAAGAAATGAGTATGTTACAATTATGTTTTAAAGAGTTAAGCGCAATTAAGGATGATAAAGAATCACAATTAATGTACCAAGTTGTTTAATTTAGAGACTGGTGATCGGTCTCGAACCCATTACAGATGTAGTAACCAGCTCATTAAGACTGTAACTTGCTTAGATAAATGAATTTTGCGTTTAGTCCCTGACCTCACTAACGGGAGAACGTCCCTAACCTCATTATGTGCCTCTGTAATCCTTTCCACAATCACTTAGAGGATGAGTATGGTGTGCATAATAAATGAACTAAACTAAAAACTAGTAAAAACACTAATTGGAAAAGCGTATGCCGAGCTCAACCACTGTAATTACAATTGGTCATCAAAGTCAGTGAAAAGGTAAATATTTCCTTTCCCTTAGCCCAGCCACTTGGGCTGGATAGTAGAGCGACAGTCTCGCTTCTTAAAGGTCGGCGTTCAATCCTCGACCGTCCAAGTGGTTGTGCACCATTCTTTTCCCCCCTGTCCCATCCCAAATCCTTATCCCTCATACCTCTTCCAAGTGTTATGTAATGACGTAGCACTTTCTTTTCCTCTTCTGATCGACTTTACAGCCTCCTGTGCCAGGTATCAGGGGTTGAGGGTTTTATACACTGGATACTGAACTTAACTAATACTTTACTTACTGGCAAACAGAGACCCCAACTACTTCCTAATAAAATAAGATCGACCACTGCAGCCACACTGCTGCTGTCGTCAATCGATCAACAGTGGACACTCGAGTGCATATAATAAGTTGGGAGATCACCCTGTAAATGCTGTATGCTCACAGAGGGGTTCAACGTCACCTTTATTTGGGAGTGCGGCTCCTAACTGGCATATTGGTCATGAATACACACCCTACTCGAGCCGCCGTGACTCCCCCACACTCTCCTTATTATGGGATTACCTCCAAATTCCCCTTTATGCTGTAACTGGCCTGTGTTTCTCTCTCTCTCTCTCTCTCTCTCTCTCTCTCTCTCTCTCTCTCTCTCTCTCTCTCTCTCTCTCTCTCTCTCTCTCTCTCTCTCTCTCTCTCTCTCTCTCACACACACACACACACACACACACACACACACACACACACACACACACACACACTTTCACACACACTATCTAGGAAGCTTTACCAGGACAAGAGAAAAATCCGTTGTCAACGGACAAACATTACATGGTGTAGCGAGTAGATTCAAACATTAACTAGTCTACTTTCAAGTGTGGTCTAGAGCAGACACTTGCGAGATACTGTACCGACGCTCAGTGCGCTCAACTCACACCAAAGTATCACCTGTGTACTTCTGTATATTCGACCAAATATATATATAGTATCTTAGTGTCTGTGTTTATTTGTCACCATACTTTACATAACAATAGAACCGTTACAAGCCCTTTGATCCTGGCCGGGAAGGACTGACCGGACGACAATCCTTAACTGTTCACCCGACAGAGAATAGGTTGTTAAACGATTTGGCGGGTCATACTCCGGGATAAACATTAGGATTAAGGACCTACCCGAAACGCTATGCATGCTATAGTGGCTTTACAAGAATTTAAAAACTCTTTTTTATATATAAATAAAAAAAAAATCCGCCGACGAATCTTCTTGTGTGCGATGAGACTTAATTGTATCTGGCATAATTAAAATCTTAACTTAAATAATTCGATTGTTAGACAATATATGATATTCAGATCTATAAATTACTTTAGAAAGGCCTATAATGCATATAAATATTAATTTACACATTCCTGGCGTTATACGCTAGGAATTTCAATACGTTGTTCAAATAATTTTAGGCAGGGAGTCTCTGGGTCGGTTGGTCGCTACGGGGTCATCGACGCCGACCCGGTCAGTCGTCAGGAAGCAGCCGTGGCGTGAGCATCGTCGGTCCCGTGTAGGTAAGGCTGATCATTTGTTTTTTCCCAAATATATCTGAGCAGTTGGGAGGTATGCATGAATATATAGTCTACCTCCACCTACAATGCTTAATGCATTATACATTTGTTCGCTATTATAGCATTGAGTTTTGTAATGTCTCCGAGGGTCATTGTTTCCCTATTTTTTTTTCATCCGGGTTGTGTAGTATTCAAATGTTTGTATTCCACTAATGCTAAATAGTCTGTCGTCTCTCGGATATTGTGGAAGATTTTTGAGGATCATGATTTGCCAACATTATATGGGTAGGATATTATGTAGAATACACTTCCCCAGTGTTAAACTACCCCGTCGTCAGGCTAGGCACGTTAACGCGGCGGTCGTCTCCCCCACATCCCAAGACGCATTTATTATCGACTTTCATGTACTGTGTATTAAAAAGTTTTTATCGTGTATAAATTAATTTTATATTCTATAATTAATTAGGCGTATAGTAGGTTCGGTATTTAGGTTCTGTTGGCAATTATTTTCACTTGAAGTATGTGGAGGGTGAAGCATTTACAGTTGCCTGTCCTCAGGCCAGGCTCCCCTACGCCGCCGCCCGACCCAAAGCCTCATTCATCAATTTTATCACTGTGTATTCAGAATTATTCTCGTGTATAAGGTAATATTATTTCATGAAGTTAATAGTTAACAACTAAGTTTACTGACAAGCGACAGTTCAATGTACAAATACTGCAATAGTTTAGTTTAGTTCATTTATTATGCACCCCATACCCATCGTGTGGGTGGTAGTAGAAAGGGTTACAGAGGCACATAATGGGCTCAAGGACTGAAGCTAAGCAAGTTACAATCTTGATACAGTTTACATTTTGTCAGATCTACATCAGCAGATAATGAGAATTCCCAGAGATACTTGTAACCGAGTCTAAGCCGAGCAGTATAGTAACATCTAGAAGTCTGCTGATATTACTGGATGAACCATAGATGTGTGGCTCCTCTTGCTTGATAGTATGATACTGCAATAGATGAACATCTTCCCAACAGGAAGGAGCGGGGACACCCCTCCGGGAACTGAATTTACCTGAGGGCCACTAACACTAGTGGCCTCGATGAGGGCAGTAAGCCGGCGGCTTGTCAAAGGTCCCCCTATTTGACCTGATGATCCTTTCCAGCTGTATTCCAGGGCTCTGGATACACAACTGGTCGGGCTCTGGATACACAACTGGTCGGGCTCTGGATACACAACTGGTCGGGTTCCGATTACATAACTCCAGGGGTGTGACTTGTTGGGCTTTGGGTTGTGCTCCGGTTCGTGCATGGTTGTGCTTCAGTGGTTGTTTGTGTACTAGTGCTCTAGGTTTTTTCTAGGCTAGGCTAGGGCTTTATGTTTATATGTTTGCTAGAAATTCGGGTTTCTTTTTTTTTTGTATAGTTCAATTGTTTGATATGCTCCATAGTTGGTTTCTAGGGCAAGTGGAGGGTTTTAGGTAGCGCTAAGAATTTTGTTTGGTCGAGCTAGGAATGGAGTTTGGTTGTGCTCTGGGACTGTTTAGCTTTATGGGGGTTGGATGAGATGTATACTTGCTAGACTTACGGTTACACAACTGGTCGGGGTCTGGTTACACAACTGGTGGGGCTCAGATTACACAACTGGTCGGGCTCCGGTTAATAACTGGTCGGGCTCCGGTTAAATAACTGGTCGGGCTCCGGTTAAGTAACTGGTCGGGCTCCGGGGGTGTCACCTGAGTTTTGGGTTGTGCATGGTCGGGCTTCCGTTCGTGCATGGTTGTGATCCAGAGGTTGTTTGTTTGGTTCGTTCATGTTAGGCTTGCAGTTAGACAACTGGTTGGGCTCCGGTTACACAACTTGTCGGGTTCCGATTGCATTACTCCGGGGGTGTGACTTGTTGGGCTTTGCACAACCATGTTCGTACATGGTTGTGCTCCAGTGGTTGTTTGTGTACTAGTGCTCCAGGTTTCTTTGCAAGGGCTTTATGTTTGTTTGCTAGAAATTTGGGTTTCTTTTTTTGTATATAGTTCAATTGTTTGATATGGCTCCATAGTGTGTTTCTAGGACAAGTGGAGGGTTTTAGGTAGCTCTAAGCAGATTTTTGTTTGGTCGAACTAGGAATGGAGTTTGGTTGTGCTCTGGGACTGTTTAGCTTTATGGGGGTTGGATGAGATGTATACTTGCTAGGCTTACGGTTACACAACTGGTCGGGGTCTGGTTACACAACTGGTGGGGCTCGGGGTCGGGCTCCGGTAAATAACTGGTCGGGCTCCGGTTAAATAACTGGTCGGGCTCCGGTTACACAACTGGTCGGGCTCCGGTTAAATAACTGGTCGAGCTCCGGTTAAATAACTGGGGTTAATAACTGGTCGGGCTCCGGTTACACAACTGGTCGGGCTCCGGTTAAGTAACTGGTCGGGCTCCGGGGGTGTCACCTGAGTTTTGGGTTGTGCATGGTCGGGCTTCCGTTCGTGCATGGTTGTGATCCAGAGGTTGTTTGTTTGGTTCGTTCATGTTAGACTTGCAGTTAGACAACTGGTCGGGCTCCGGTTACACAACTGGTCAAGCTTCGGTTACACAACTGGTCGGGCTCCGGTTACACAACTTGTCAGGTTCCGATTGCATTACTCCAGGGGTGTGACTTGTTGGACTTTGAGTTGTGCATGGTTGTGTAGGGTTCGGTGTTCAATGAACGAAAAGGACATGAGCAGTTTAAATTGCGAACGCATACCAACGAATAACGCTAGTATCTATATAACAAATTTATTGTCCTGTGGAGTTGATTTAACTTCCAGACACGTTTTGTTTAATAAATATTAAAGATTTAATGGCTGTTTATGAAAGATATTATATAAATACACATTCTACTTCTTAATATCACCAATTAAATTTGCGACAATTTGAGCCATGAAATACGACGACTGGATCACTGTGTACAGGAGGCTGATATGGCAGCAAACACTCTCCAGGCGACCATATATCTTGGATAAGTCGCTCCACACAATTGTCGCTTGGACCGTCGACTTCCTATGGCGTCACCTCTCTCATATTTACGTCTCATTTCGTTATGAAATTAGATTATTTCAGAGTAAAAATAGGTTTGATCATGTTCTACGTGTAGCACCAACATTATAGTAAGTAAATATACCATATTTCTTCATTACTTACGTAATGCTAGGACGATTTGTGTAGTTTTGGGACGATTTGGGTAATTCTATGGACCGGTGTTTACCTACACCAGCTGACTTGTCTCCCCCGTGCTGGCTACCCCGAGCCTTGAGCTGACGCCCTCGTGCTTGGTGTCCCCTGGAGCTGACGCCCTCGTGCTTGGTGTCCCCTGGAGCTGACGCCCTCGAGCCTACCGTCATGGAGAAGCCTCAGGTGCTGGTATATGTTGAGAAGAGCCTCAATTACAGCGCCTTTGATGTGAAATGGATCCCGCGGTCGGCTAAGGTGGTGGCCATTGGTAGCCACCCCCAGGGCACCGGGGCCCTCCAGGTATGATATTTATGCTTTACCTGGTGGTCGTCATCTCTTAAGGGGCTTCCACCAGGACAGGAACTTATGGCTTGTCTTTGGTTCACCACAGTCTTCCTCAGGATCTCTTAAAATTGTCTTCCTTGAGAATCAGTGGTTTGTGGTGTAGTGGTGACTTGGGTCTTAGCAGGTAAATTTGATGTAATCAAATTTATCTTAATATCCTATCCTATAACCAGTAAAGTGTATACTGAATTATTTTTGTCTGCATATTCATTCACCAGTTCATAAATCATGCTCCACACATTGCAATCATAAAAATAATGCCCGAAACGCTTTGTGTAATAGTGGCTTTAGGCATTGTATGTACTAGCTCTACCTATAAGTCAAACAATCCTTGTAAATATTTATTGTATGTATGTACCTTACCTAAATAAAATTGTATTGTAAATTGTATTGTTGTAATTGTATGTTTCTATGTATGAACAGCATTTAAGGTTTTGGGACTTGGGCAATACTAGTTTTGAGTGATACAGTATACAGAGCATTTACAGATGCCAGGGCTACTTGTGTCAAAGGAATGAAGCCATAAATGCCAAAACAATATCACTTAAAATTCAGCTGGGAAATATCATCACAAATAATGGGGAGGGGGAGATCTTTGACAAGCCTCTGGCTTGCTGTCCCTGTGCCATAGGCTTGTCACTAAAGACTCTGTCCCCTTCCCCATCACTAAAGATGGTGGTGAATAAGGAGACCTCAATATAAGTCTAACATGTATATATATATATGCACTGGCTACCCCCACTCATCACATTTCTCCAGTCAGATTCAATTCCATTTAAGATGACCTCTTTTCTTTCTTTGTTTTAACCATTGTTTTATCCATTCTATTATTCTACTATTTATTTCATGTGCCTGTACTTTCATTGCTAGTCTTTTCTGTGGTATCTTAACAAAAGCTTTTGCGAAGTCCATGTATATTACATCAATTGGAAGTCCTTTCTCTGAATAGGTAGTTATCGTTTCCAAAATGTGAGCAGGTTTGTGATGCAAGACTTATTTTTAACAAAACCATGTTGCATTGATTTTAATATTGTTCATCTTGAGATGAGGAATGATTCCCTTCCTTGGGATTTTCTCCATGAGCTAAGCAAGGGTAAGGCTGTGTGTGCAGTCACTCCCAGTTACTGTGAAGCCCACTGCATCCCTACCACTTGTATGCATATGCAGATAACATTAAGTGAATTATAATTATTTTTCATTCTTTTAAATATGTTTGCTGCATAAATATACTTTTAATAATTTGTATATATCATGCTACCACTCAACAAACACCTACTGTACTTTATACTGCAGTACTGTATGCTAATTATTCTCTCTTTAAAGTGGCATAAAGTAATAGCAATAAGTTTGCTATTTTTAGCTGAATTTATCTGAAGGCCACTATCTGTTAATGGCCTTAAAGAAGATACGAAGCCAGCGACTTGTTAAAGGTCCCCTCCATTGTTTGAGGATTTTTTCTACCAGGATTTTAAACTAGAATCATGACTTTGCATTTACAGCTTCAGTAAGTAGGTAGTTCCATGGGTTTATAACCCTATAGGTGAGAAACCTATCTTAGGGCATGAACTCAAAAACATTTTGTATAAACATTAGCTGCCCTTCTTAGTGTAGGGCTAGATGTTTGGGTACATTGCCTTACAACTTGCACTTCTCTTTCCCTAGCAGTAAATAGGTAGCTCTGAGTTAGCAAAATGAATTGTGGGGTTCAGTCCCTGAGCCCATTATGTGCCTCTGTAACCCTTTCCACTACCGCCCACAAGATGGGTATGGGGTGCATAATAAATGAACTAAACTGAGTTGAGCATCTGTTACGAGTTTTCTCCATTGGAGAGGTCAGCCGTTGGCCTAGGAAAACCTCGGCGAACTTAAGTCTAACTAGCATTACAAATTTTCATATGATTAAATTTTCATTTAATCATATTCAGTAGTATAATGTCTTACTTTGTGCTTTATTCTGTTTGACAGCAACCCATCCTCTGAATTGACAGTACTGTTTCATACTAAGTGTAATAAGTACATTTCCTTACTGTCATACATAGTACATAATTGCACTTATGGGGCTGTTACATTTACCTCTCCATTTATTCTCCTCGTTTTCTGTTAAGACACTCAGAATTTTAGGATGAAGTTTTCAAGTTCAATTTGCTATACAGAAGTTTTAAATATCAGGAATTTCTTTTTCAGTTTTACTAAACAATAGCGATTTTATACAAAATTTGAAAATATCCCGAGTTACTTCACAATTTATTGATATATTTTAGTTTTGTTTTATTTTATAAAACTGTAATATCAATATAACTATAGGTTAAGTATTAATTGTAATTAAGAAGCAATAAGATGCTTATCTTCAAACACTAAGACGTTTAGGTTAGGTCATGGTTTTCAGGTACAGTAAACTCAAATATTCACAGTATATTTGATATTACGGTTTAATACAAAGTGAAAATAAGAACAATTCCTGACTGCTATGAATAGTACATAATTGCACTTGTGCTGTTACATTTACCTTCCCAATTTTGGAGGACGGGCTGTTGACAGTTGTGATTTATCCAGTTGTCTAAAGTTTTATATTGTACACTATTTTGTTGTTTGTGTATACTGTATTGGGCTTGTTTAATCATAAATGTACTCGGTATTGTACTATAAACCCCCCACTTGAACAGACATCATTCCTTTAAAATGCTAATTGGACTGGAAGCTTTTTTTTCTTCATTGCAATATACAGGCAACATAAGTTGCCCAGTCATTTTGGTAAAGACTATTATTGTTTAAAGTGACTGCCTGTGCCAGATTGAACGTCATTTAAGATGAAACAAGGGGAGTCGGTTCAATTAATCCATTTGAGCACGAGTACACAGTGCCAGCAATGTAATTTATAATTTTGCTTTGGTAGCTGTGCTCAGTTGACATAAATGTATAATATGGTGTACTGTATTTGGACAGGTGTACGAGATGAGCGACGGAGACCTTAAGCTGCTGCACGATGTGGAACGTCCCAAAGCGTTAAAGTGTGGTATGAATTATTACGTATGTCCCAATATATTCTGATTATTTCATGTAAAAAATTTTGTTGTTTATACTGTATATGTTCTAATAACAATGATTATTTTCATGGCTAGATTCTGTTACATATATCCTTAAAATGCAAATTATTTGCTCATTCAACTATGCCTAACTATAATTTAATAATTTCAAACAATGTTTTCATTACGTTTAAGTATTTATTTTTCTATATTGGTTATCCTGAGTTTATTTCCAGTATATTATATAGATTAATGCAAATATTTTACTGTACTTTTTATTGTGAAGCTGTTTAAGTGTTATTCTATTTCATTGCATCTTTAGGGGAGTGATATTTATTACTGGTGCTTATTATTGTTTGATATTTATCAAACTATTTTTGTTGAAGGTATGCTGGGTTTAATGATCGGTCTGTAGAGTATTTTATTTATTTACAAATAAGCATAAGTGTCTGGGCATATCTTATAAAAATTACTTATAACATTAATTTGCTCATACAGTATTAAACTTAAAGGGAAAATTTATAAATGCACAGAGGGCCTTTGTAATAACTAGCATCTTTTCTTTACCTTCCCTCCTCCTCTAATACATTCATATGGTTCATCAGATCTCGGTTTAACCAGTGTACCGTAGAGGTCTGAATTCTACTTGCATCTTGCTACTTTGATATGTATGTCTTATCTCTCTCTCTGTTGCATTATATCACCTGTTGTTACATTGTGTGTTGGGCACTTTTATTTATTCCTGTTTACATATTTACTCCTTTGTCAATAAATTTAGTTGCATTGAAAAATTGTGTTCATTTTGCATATAAATGAGGGCTGGAAATGATATTAGGCAATTGATATGTTTGCATGAGGCATTCCTTGCTCTTCTTCACTAAATGCAACACTAGTACTGTACTGTACAGTAGGTACTGCAGGTACTGTACTGTACCAGTACAGTACCTACATTTATGCCAACCAGCATAAATAAATATAAAATATATATTTTATATATATTTTTATATATAATATAATGGATATAAAATTGATTCTCATTTGTCATTAACAAATAATTAAAGCCGTGAAATATATAGTGGAACCTTTATAATCCAGACTATTTTGTGCCAGACTTAATCCAATTTTGGGAGGAAGATTTTCTTATAAAAACTAATGTATTGTATATGTGTATATATGTGTATATATGTGTATATGTATATATATATATATATATATATATATATATATATATATATATATATATATGTCGTACCTAGTAGCCAGAACGCACTTCTCAGCCTACTATGCATGGCCCGATTTGCCTAATAAGCCAAGTTTTCATGAATTAATTGTTTTTCGACTACCTAACCTACCTAACCTAACCTAACCTAACTTTTTTGGCTACCTAACCTAACCTATATAGATAGGTTAGGTTAGGTAAGGTAGGGTTGGTTTGGTTCGGTCATATATCTACGTTAATTTTAACTCCAACAAAAAAAATTGACCTCATACATAATGAAATGGGTAGCTTTATCATTTCATAAGAAAAAAATTTGAGAAAATATATTAATTCAGGAAAACTTGGCTTATTAGGCAAATCGGGCCTTGCATAGTAGGCTGAGAAGTGCGTTCTGGCTACTAGGTACGACATATATATATATATATATATATATATATATATATATATATATATATATACTGTATATATATATATATATATATATATAATATATATATAATAATCTTTTCCTTTGACATCAGACTTGTATACCCAGGCATTGGCCAGTTAAAAAAGTTTTCCCTTCCCTGGGGCCACCAGGCTTGTTTTCCCTTCCCTGGGCCCCCCAGGCTTGTTTTCCCTTCCCTGGGCCCCCCAGGCTTGTTTTCCCTTCCCTGGGCCCCCCAGGCTTGTTTTCCCTTCCCTGGGCCCCCCAGGCTTGTTTTCCCTTCCCTGGGCCCCCCAGGCTTGTTTTCCCTTCCCTGGGCCCCCCAGGCTTGTTTTCCCTTCCCTGGGCCCCCCAGGCTTGTTTTCCCTTCCCTGGGCCCCCCAGGCTTGTTTTCCCTTCCCTGGGCCCCCCAGGCTTGTTTTCCCTTCCCTGGGCCCCCCAGGCTTGTTTTCCCTTCCCTGGGCCCCCCAGGCTTGTTTTCCCTTCCCTGGGCCCCCCAGGCTTGTTTTCCCTTCCCTGGGCCCCCCAGGCTTGTTTTCCCTTTGCTGAACTCTAGACCTCAGGCACGTAGCCCTTCTCCTGGGCCTTCGGTCTTATATGGACCTCTGACTCATATTCTGGATCCGAAGCTCTTATTATTGGTGTTGTCCTGTGTTAGAGTCCCCTTGCTGGACTCCTCCTTGCTCATTTCTTGCCATGGGCCTCAAGCTTGTATGTTCTTTTCTTGTCTGTTCGTCATGCTAATTATGTGCGTTATTGATGTTTGGGTTTTGTGCAGTTAAACCTGGGTTAGCTACTTTGGGTTCTATTAGTAATCCATAAGTACATTTCATTCATATGCCTTAGTGTTTGCTGAATGGAAGCACTTTGTCCAATTGGTTTGGGATGAGCTATTAGCAGTTGCACTCCAAGGTTTATGAATGAAGTATACTTGCCAATTCACAATTTGCTTAACTTCAAGCTTTAATATGCTCAAAGCTTTCCTTTGAAATTTGCTGCACTCGTTTAGACAAATGATTGACTTCTATATTGTAACTAACTACATCTAATTTACTGCAAAGTTTTGAAGAACTTTGTAACCTAAAACCTTCCCTGAATAAATGAGGATGTTATGCCTAGTTTAGTCACACAATTATATAAATACATACTGTAGTGGAACTTTGATAGAGTGGACTGAGTTTAAATGGATGTCTTGATGAGCTGGAGAGAATTTTTCAGATTCAGATTCAGGTTCTGGTTTATCATGGCATCATCAATGATTTGGTGCTACAGCTACACTATTTAATAGAAATATTAAAAAAAAAAATTGAAATGTATTTATATTCAAAATGTTTTGTTTATATATATTATTATTTGTTCTATAATTTACATAAAGAAAATATTTGCTAATAACATAATAGAAAATAAAATAAAGCCTTAAATCTTAATACTGTACATTATAACGAGTCTTCTTTTGGAATTAGTTGGGTTCCAATTAATCAGGTGTATTGAGGTTCCACTGTATAGACAAGTGTGGACAATAAACTTTGACTATTGCAACTCCTTGAATTTCTATTTAACTAATGGAATTTAGCATAGGAATTTTTGCCTGAATGAAGTGTCACTCACAGGAACATTTGGAGCCTCAACTCTGGAGGATCGACACTTAGCCACGGGAGATTTTGAAGGAAAGATGGAAATTATTGACCTGCAGTCTCCTGAAATGCCAGTTTATTCTGTCAAGGCTCACAGTCAGATCATCAATGCAATTGATGGAGTTGCTGGGCTGAACATTGGCAAAGGTAATATAAATACTGCTATTTGTTGTGTCCTGTATATATAACAAAGAATAGTTCACTTAAACTTCTTCCTACATTCACTCTTTTTTTTTCTGTGGGGCAGCTCCCTGGAGCTATTGGATTGATGTCAGCTAATATTAGTATGGGGCTTTATTCATGTGGAATTGTCATGCATACCAGGGGATCACTAGCCAGAACATGGTCCCCTTAGAGAGACAAATGGAGCAATGGCCTATGAAACTCATGCATGAAAGTATCTGTATTCATGTCTGCCATCGATAGGGGTTGAGCACCCAGAAAGGTAGGCACTTGAAAACATATCCCTCCTGGTAGAAATATTGCAACCTCAGAATGAACAAAGGCTAGAAACTCCCCCAAAGAAAAACATGCTAACAAGCAACACGTCATCACACAAAGTACCGCATATTTGCCCCAACCCCCCATCCCGGGAGGGGGTGAGGAATCCCAGCCCACTGAGCCGGCAGCTGGACTGTCAGTTTGTCGGCTGAAGCAATACAGGATGGACACTTGCTCTGGCCTCAATTACCTGATTCGCTTCACCTTGCTGGTGTTCCTTTTGCGTGTTGGAGGCCAGGAGTTTTGTACCACGGGCTGCATGGGCTTAGGGCTTCCTTCCCTAAGTGCCCTGTGAGTACACCCCTTAGGGTTCAGAGTTCTCTTCTCTGGGTCCTTTGGGTCCCCATTCCCATAGAGGTAGTGACTGCTTGGTTTGCTACTATTCCCTTGAGGTCAGTTTAGGTCCCAGTACCTTTGTTTGGCCCAGGGTAGGGAGTGGTTAGTTGCTGATTGGGGCGTGCTGGGCTGCCCAGTTGCATAATCACAGCGGCCGTGACTCTTTCTAGTCCCCTGGGTTGTTGTACTTTCTCAGAGTTACCTTTCAATCTTTAGCTTGCTTTCTTGCCCGTTCAGAGGCTGCCACAGTCCATATTAGGTGCTACCTAGGTTCAGTAGGGCAGTCCTCCTCTGAGCCTCCTACTTGAGCTGGAAATGGAGTAAAATTGTTGTCCTATATCAGTCACAGGTAAATCTGTTGTCTTCCATTTACACTAAATGTAAAGTGGAAAGTCAAATATGGAATGTTACCTTGTGACTCAAGATCTTAAGATCATGGTTATTTCAACAACAACAAAAAATTTGTTCTTGAAGATCTAAGTATTCTTCCTTATAATGGAATTTCCTTCAGTAGTAATCAAAATAGTCTAAAATACCCTTAGGTTGATCTTATGGTATCACACCCGAGTGTTCCTGGGCTCGATTCTCAGGCAGGAAGAGTTGTTTGGGCACAGTTTTACACCTGATACCTCTGTTCGTCTATCAGTATATAGGTGCCAGGAGTTGGGCAACTATTGTTGGTTGCATTGTGGTGAAGGTCACTTGTTGGCCTAGAGAGACTTCGATGAGCCAAACAAGCTTCCTGTCCCCAACAATGGAAAACAAATTCTCTTACTAGGCCTGACTAGCAGAGGAAAAGCTGGAGTAGGTTTAAGCAATATGCATTGTATATATTTTAAGTTATGTGTTGTTTACATAAGCAGTATTTCTATTTATAAATGAGTTTTGTTCAAGAGCTTATAGCTCTGCTGATGCATTGCTCTTTATATTGACACAAAACATGCTGTAGAGTGTAAAAAATCTTTAATGGAAGAGTAGTACAGCACACATTGAATTTAGAATATTTGTTTGCAAGTATCTTTTTAAATAAGTAATAATTCAAATTAAATAGGCAGGTGATGAGTCACACTAATGTGGCTGAAGTATGTTGACCAGACCAAATCATCAAATTAAATAGCATATTTACTTCTGGTCATCAAATTAAATAGCATATTTACTTCTGGTCATCAAATTAAATAGCATATTTACTTCAATTCTTCATATATTGTACAGTATATTGTATGAGGGAATGCTAGGAAGATTTTTGGTGAAGTATCAATTGGATGTACTGTATTTCCCACAAATGAAACAGCCATTACAGAACTGTATTTACTTACACAGATAAAATATTGAAAGGAGCTTTGTAGTAATATGTTGATTAATATTGTACTAGGTGCACCAGAGATTGCCACTGGCAGCAGGGATGGACTTGTAAAAGTGTGGGACCCCCGTCAAAAAGATCGGCCAGTCATCACCATTGAACCCAAGGATGGTGAACAGAAGCGTGACTGCTGGAGTGTGGCATTTGGAAACTCGCACACTACTGAAGAAAGAGTTCTCTGTGCTGGCTTTGATAATGGTGACGTGAAAATGTTTGATCTTCGCAGCATGGCTATTAAGTGGGAAACAAACCTTAAAAATGGTGTGTGCTCACTTGAATTTGACCGTAAAGACATATTGATGAACAAGCTTATAACCACTACCTTAGAATCAAAATTCTACATCCACGATCTTCGAACATTCCATACAGATAAGGGCTTTACAAGACTTATGGATAAGGGCCACAAGTCTACCGTGTGGTGCGGGAAACATTTGCCACAAAATCGTGAAGTCTTCGTCACAACAGGTGGTAATGGTTCAGTTATGCTATGGAAATATTCCTATCCTGCATCAAGGTGCAAGAAACTTGATGATGGGTCAGAGATTGGGGTTGTTGGGGAGGTGAAGCTCCTGCAGAACTCTACCCTCACCAGTCAGCCCATCACAAGTTTTGACTGGAGTCCAGATAAGATGGGATTAAGTGTATGTTCAGGACTTGATCAGACAATTAGAGTTGTCATTTTTACAAAACTGAATACAGTGTGAGAAAAATGTGGAATAAAGACTGACCGTATATAACAATACAGTATATATTTATTCAGCGAAGCAGCTATGTGAATTTTTTTTAATTGCATGTGTATGCTAATATGCTTAGTTCTTCTTCATTGTGCATAATCTTGGCACCTATTACTACATTTAATTGATATTTTCTCATTTTTAAACTATCAAGTTTAGTCTTTATAAATATTTGAAAATGATAATGCTTTAGCCAAGATGATAGTGAATTGGCTACCATAGGTGGCCTTTGACCTAGCTTGCATTGCACAATCCTTCCTCAGTTATAAATGATTAGTTTGTTTTGATAGTGTGTGTAAACCAGGTTCCTAAACCTCCTTCCAATCAATTACTTTAATACCTCAATTCAATAGCCTTTGAACCTAGCACAGTTGGCTCATAACCGATTGATCCCAAGTTTGATTCCAGGGCAAGATGTTTAGGTATGCATCCTGGAGGATTGCCACACATTGGAAAAATATATTTGTTGCGTTTCTAATATCCTTTACCAATTCTTGCTGAAATGGAGAGAAAAAATAAATATATATATATATATATATATATATATATATATATATATATGTCGTACCTAGTAGCCAGAACGCACTTCTCAGCCTACTATGCAAGGCCCGATTTGCCTAATAAGCCAAGTTTTCATGAATTAATTGTTTTTCGACTACCTAACCTAACCTAACCTATAAAGATAGGTTAGGTTAGGTTAGGTAGGGTTGGTTAGGTTTGGTCATATATCTACGTTAATTTTAACTCCAATAAAAAAAAATTGACTTCATACATAATGAAATGGGTAGCTTTATCATTTCATAAGAAAAAAATTAGAAAAAATATATTTATTCAGGAAAACTTGGCTTATTAGGCAAATCGGGCCTTGCATAGTAGGCCAAAAAGTGAGTTCTGGCTACTAGGTACGACATATATATATATATATATATATGTCGTACCTAGTAGCCAGAACGCACTTCTCAGCCTACTATGCAAGGCCCAATTTGCCTAATAAGCCAAGTTTTCATGAATTAATTGTTTTTCGACTACCTAACCTAACCTAACTTTTTGGGCTACCTAACCGAACCTTTAAAGATATGTTAGGTTAGGTTAGGTAGGGTTGGTTAGGTTCGGTCATATATCTACGTTAATTTTAACTCCAATAAACAAAAATTGACCTCATTCGTAACGAATTGGGTAGCTTTATCATTTCATGAGAAAAAATGAAAGAAAATATATTAATTCTGGAAAACTTGGCTTATTAGGCAAATCGGGCCTTGCATAGTAGGCCGAGAAGTGCATTCTGGCTACTAGGTACGACATTATATATATATATATATATATAAATAATATATAATCAGGATTAGATTTTGCAAGACATCATAGTCATGTGGCTTATCTATCCATGCAGAGTTAATATACCAACATAGATCTTGCCTCATTTTAATTTTATATTCATCTTTCTCCCTAATTCTAAATATTTTAGACACATTAATTGTAGCAGCATATTTTACATTAGCAGCACATTAGCTGTACCATTAAATGGAGCTAATTTAGGAAGCACTTTAGAACACTGTCAGTCAACCTCATCAGGAATGTAAGCTTACTGATTACTTTCCACACTGTGTTTCTTCCCTCTATTTTAAAGAAAAAATGACCTCAATAAAAAATAAGAATTTTTTTTTTTTTTGTCCTTGATCCATCTCCTAGTGACACTTTTTCTTGATCTATTTCCCACAGTGGCACTTTTCTGTGGTCTATCATTCCCAGGGTGACACTGTTTCTTGATCTGTTTCCAATCATGTGGAAAAAAAAGATTGTTGATTAATCTCCCACAGGGTGACACCAACCAGCTGTGGATTTTGTAAACATTTATTTAAACTGCATTTGCATTTTGTATCTATAGTCACAATAGTAGTAATCCGATGCTCGGTGGCCTGCAGTTTTCTTTTGGGAAATAATACAATTCAAAGCTAATTAAAAAAAAGTGTTTGTTAATGATGCTACAGGTAATTGGGTTCTGTAGAACAGTAATCTACATGGGTGGCTTACAATTGAGGGACCCAGGTTCAATTCCCAGATGGGACAAATGGCTAAGCACATTTCCTTTCACTTGATGCCTTGGTTCACCTAGTAGTAAATATGTACCTGAGAGTTGGGCAGCTGTTGTGGGTTGCATCCTGGTTAACACTTTCATCCAGCAGCGACGAAAGTGTTTAAGCTTGAAATTAAGTTCAGTGCTGTCAACTCTTAGGTTTGTGTCGGCTAAGTAATGTGTATGGCCTCGGCAGGAGATAAAAATCAAAACCATTATTCAGTTCTACTCTAAAAATTAAGTTTTGTGAGTTTGTGCAGCAATATCTTTTCAAAATATTGACTTATAATAAAAAAAAAATTCACATTATATCTTGATTTAAAGATACATTTGTGTGCGAGTTAATAATCAGTAATAATAATGAGAAATTGGTAGAAGTCATGAAGAGGATTCAAATCTATACTCTGGGTACTCCCAAGCAAATGCCTTTAGACCACTACAACATGGCTTGATAAAAAGAATGCAACCTTTGGTTTCACCTGAATCCCACAAGGAAACTAGGGGTCCTGAGGCTTCCAACTGAAGCCAAGTCAGTTTTTTCACACACGACCCTAAAACACTCTGGTAGAAGTGGTCTAAAGCGTGGGAGTACCTAGAACATAGGTTCAAATCATCCTTTTGATTCCTAATGACTTTCTCATGGATACCTCATGTTAATGTGATTTCTTTGTGTATTTGAGAAGTATTTGAGGTGGTAGAGGTAGGAGGTAGTCAGGTGATGAGAGTATTTGAGGTAATTTGAGAGTAAGAAAGGAAGGCTGGATAGAAAAGGTTTATTAGAAAGGAATGAATGTATACTGGAATTGAACACAAACCTTTGGAAACTGTATGCAATCAAAGCTGTGATTTACAATGAAAAAAAATAGTTTGACCTTAGTTCTAACACAAATTCAACTTAAAATTTCTGGCAATTATGGTGGGTGTCTTTTAGGACCAAAACTCATTGAGATACGCATATATGTACAAAATATAACTAAATATGTACAGCAATGTACACTTTGAATTTTGTATTGCAATATGAGACCTTAAAAAATAAAATAAAATCTTAATTAAATTTAAAAATACTTTTCTGTGAAGAGCCCCTTTGGCTCCCCAGAGCTATACCGGGCTGATGTGTATAAGACTGTGGCAACAGTGAATTGATGGAGTTCTAGGCCTACCGGAGACCAGAGCCAGAACCTGGACCCCTCAAGAGAGGCACGAGGAGCAATGGCTTAAAGACACCCCCTGTGTACTTGGAAGCAGTCTTTGTCTGCCATTTACCAGGTCAGGCACCCAGAAAGGTAGGACTTCCAAAACAAAGTACTGCTGGTCAAAAATTGCAAACGAAAGCCGAACTAGCAAACAGAACTTCCCAATCAAAAACAAGGAAACAAACATGACGTCACTTCAACCACCGCACATCTGTCTTCGCAGCCCCCCGTCCCTCTCCCTGGGAGGGGGAAGGTGGGTGGGGGGGGTCCCAGACCTCTACACCAGCAACTCTCCTCAGTTCACACGCTATTGGGATGGCAAATGGTCAATTGCTCTGGCTCCACTCTGCACAAAGCTGCTTAGCGGTGGTATTGCTCTGTGGTGGTCTGTGAGCCAGGAGTAATACAAGAGTACTGGGGCTGCATGCACCTAATGCCACTTTCCCTAGGTGCCTTGTAAGTACTGCCCCTGCAGCCTCAGGGTTATCTACCCTGAGCCGTTCGGGAACTACCTCCTCGTGGTTTTGTTGCTGCTCGGTGATTGCCCGCCCTTAGGGGGTTAAGCTGGGGTGGTTCTTACTCCTGTTTGCCCTTGGGTAGGAGGTAGTCTCATCACTGGTTGGGGCGCGAGGAACTGTGTTGCTGTTTGATGTACACATAGCAACCGGTTCTGTTCACCTGGAGACGTTGTGCTCTTGCGGGGTTTTTTCTTTTGTTGTTGTTTTAATTTGCCTGGTGGGTGTGGTTGGACAACTTGTAGGATTTTGGTGGCCCTCCGTTAGTTCCCTGTACTTGTACATGTCGCAGAGGTTCAGCTTTTAGTTTGTTTGCTTGGTAGCTCTGAGATAACCGGTTAGCAGTACCTTGCCTTGGATTCCCTTAGCAGTCAGCCTAAGGGCTCTGGAAACCCTCATTGGGGCTCAGTGGTCCTATGGAGGAGACCTCAGAATTCACCTCACCTTGTGCGAGTTTGAAGGTTGCTTTGTCCCCTTGTCTCATGGTGACACTCACCGTCTGCCTTTGCTGGGGTCAGTGACACCTATGACCCGGAGTCTTGCGAGTGGTGTTCTTTGTCTGTACTCCATTCACCCAGTCCACTGAGACTGATATTCTGGTGCAGGCAGCTTTAGCGTTGCATGCAAGGTTTAGGTTGCAGCAACATGCGAGGTTGGTTGCCTTTCCGGATGCCCCGCAGCTGCCCTGCTTTGATTGTACTGGTACAGGGGTACCTCGGTTTAAGAGTTTAATCCGTTCCTGGCGACAGCTCGTAATCCGAAAACTCGTAAACCAAAGCGAATTTCCCCATAAGAAATAATGGGAAATGAATTAATCCATTCCTGACTACCCAAAAACCTCACTTCAAACTAAATTCTATACCTAATTCATCTAAATCTACACTACAAAAGTATGTTCAAGTTATTACTTACCCTTGCTGATGACTGCTGTTGGTGTATGGAAGATGGTGAGGAGGAGGGAGGCGGAGAGGTGTTACTGTTTGGAAGGGGAGTCCCCTTCCATTATAACATCAGGCAGTGAGGACTTCACTGGTGTGCACTCCCTGGCACGTTTTGCCTGCATACCACTAGGACCTGCTTGTTTTACTAAGAATCTGTCTAAAGACACTTGTTTTTCCCTACATTTTAACACTTGTCTGTATTAAGACATCACATTGTCATTTAAAAGGTCAATGCAACGGCCTGCTACAGCTTTATCTGGGTGAGTTTTTTCACCAAAACTTTGCAGTTTTTCCCATACTTCACACATTTTCTTAATGAAGGAGAGGAGCCAGGCTTACGTTTCTGACACGAAGAGACAGGCGTTCCAGTAACAATGTACCGGGCGACAGACTCAATGGTCTCAGCAGGAGAAGAGGAATGGGAGCGAACAACACGAAGATTGCTGGGAGGATGATGGATATCAGCCTGGACAGACAGGCGGCGTGGAGGGTCAAGAGACTGGGGGGAGGGTTGGGAAGAAAGAGTGGGGGGAGATGGGAAAGAAGACATAGGAGACATGGTGGACTGGGCAGGAAGGGGGAAAACTCCAGGTGGAGAACCAGGAGGGAGACCTTTCGGGACAGGAAGCAAAGGAATAGGGGAGGAGGTGGAGGGCATGGTCGGGTCTAAGGCCTGGAAACGGTTGTGAGACTGAGGAAGGTGGGAAGGATGAGGAGAGGTAGAACGCCACACGCGAGTGTAGGATATACCCACGAAAGGGGCGAGACGACGAACTTGGCGTCTCGCTTCAGGAAAAGTCAGACGGTCACGGTGTTTCAAGTTGAGGACGGCTTCCTCGAGTTTGTAATGTCCAGTATATACACAAGCGCAAGAAAGCAGGGTGGGCCTCGCCACAACTGAGGCAGCGAGCCTGGGGAGAAGTGCACTCGGACTTAGAATGATCATCGTCCCCACACATAGGGCATAGATACACAGTACTTGTGCACTTGAGGACACCGTGCCCAAACTTCCAACACTTATTGCAAAGTCTAGGAGAGGGAATGTACTCCTGAACGGAGCATCTGGCACCGGCAAGAATAATACAAGTCAGGAGGGTCAAAGGAGGAGCAAGGTCGGGGCCCAATGTAGCGGGGGCTACATGGCCTGGTCTTCCAACACAGTCCAACTCGGGGGCTTGGTCGCCCACCCCATGAGCCTGAGAAGGTACAGGGGAAACATTATCTGCCATAAAAACGAGGAAAGACTTTCGTGTGTCTTTCATGTGACTTTCGTTCATGTCACGAATGTGCCCCCACACCCACCATGGAGCCACAATTAGAGGCAGGACACCCAACAAGAAGCTATCACCAATCATGCCGGGGTCCCCCAGGGATGCATCGTGAGTATACGCCCCACAAACGCCACCTTAAGAACCGTAAGTCCGTCGAGATCGGGTTCAGTGACGAAAGGAGGATTGACAATAAAAGGGTCACCCTCGTTCGAGACGTTGGGTACTACAGTTCTAAGGGTGCAAGAGTATGCCTCCTCAAACACCTGGACGTCAAAATAAAAGAAGCCTGAAATAAGAATCAAAACAGGCAAAAGGTCGGCGGGAAATGACAATGAGAAAGGAGAAGAGGGGGAGAAAAACGAAACAGAAGGAAAAGGTGTCCAGCAAAATGTGTGTGGACAGCAGCAGGAGCACAAGGCTACAAAAGGACAGGGGACCACCCCAAGGGGCATCACACTCTAGCAGCTGCCCACCAAGCCCCCCTCACGGCAGCAACAAGCTGGACAGGAAGGGGGTGAAGAGCAAGAAACCCAAATGAATAAGGCAAATACAATATACTGCATTTATATGAAGGTGAAACATTATATTCCAGTTGATAAGGTAACTGTGAGCAGTCTTTTCTTTTGAACATTATATTGCAATGTTAAGAGAGTTGGCGATGGTCACATGGAACATAAATGATTTGTCGGTTACAACAGACAACTCATGTATTGGATGTGTAAATATTAAATTAATCAATTTCAGAGATAATAAGTTGGAAATTCATAGAGTAAGGCAAATAGAAATGTGAGAGGAGGAGGAATATGTTAGCACATCATAATTTTGAAAGTGCTTTTCGTATAATTTGTGCAATTAGTTTTAATATGTAATACAGTACTGTACTTTAAAAATACCAGTACCAAATAATAAGAATTAAAGGTAGCCACATTGAGCTAACATTCTCGATGCACAAAACAGCTGCATGGAAAAGGAAGAGCGGACGAGGAGTCACAATAATGTGACTGAAGTACGTTGACCAAACCACACACTAGAAAGTGAAGGGACGACGACGTTTCGGTCCATCCTGGACCATTCTCAAGTCGATTGTCATGATTGACAATCATGACTTGAGAATGGTCCAGGACGGACCAAAACGTCGTCGTCCCTTCACTTTCTAGTATGTGGTTTGGTCAAGGAAGAGCGACTTCCTGTAAATTGTGATGTTTGCATTCATCTTGGTCAGCTTATAAATGGTGATGCTTGAGAGGGGTTTGACACTTTTCTTCTGGATTAACATAGCTTAACACCTTAACATGTCTAGAATGTTGTCACTTCACTCAGAAGTTAGGATAACAAAAGGTAACCCTGCATGAATTGTACAGAACATCATGTGCAAGAGATTGTAAAAAAGGTAATGGATAGTGACGAACTACAGTACAGTATATGAATCGAGTTAAAATTTTCTGATGTTGAATGAAAGTACGTAAGTAATTATCAAAAGAAGGCACCAAACCGGGAAGGCTATGTAGCACCATCAAATGTGCAGATATTGAATGAAAGTCTCTCAAAGTAAACACTTGGAACCTTACAACAAGAAGTCTATGTAATGAATAAAGAATAGTCAATGTAAATTTATTTTAAATGTTTCTCAAGCATAGTCTCGTGTAAAGATACAGTATGCAAGAATAAGTAATTGTCACAATAGTATAGTGACTACACTAATAATTACATATTATTTTCTAGTTTTAGCTTCTCGTAAGGAAGTACCTTTACCCTGGAAAGACTCGAATTCCTCTTGTTCTTCAACTTTTGTCTCGACATCATTTGTTTTTGTGGGTTTTCTCCAGAATTTTATTAACCCAACTTCATAATCATAGTCAGGAATTCCTCGCTGCCTTGGAAGCCTCTTTAACAGTTCTTCTTGAGGCAACTCAAGATTTTTCTTTTTACCATCCAATCTGTTTCCTGAGCCTTGGAACGAATAAAATCCTGTGGGTTCAGGAATCATCTCTTCTTTGTCATCTTCAGGCATAGCTGCTGCACTATCCATTCTCTCTGGCTCCTGATAGCCAACTGGAGGGGCAAACTCTACATTCATATCACACTCAATGATGCTAACAGCATTGCCCGGCTTTACTTCTAGAACTCGCATCTCGTATATTCTGTCATTATAGTTGAGAGCAATCACGTCGTCCAAGGTTAAGCATGCAAAATTGCGCAGGGCATTTTCCAAAACAGCCTTAGGATTTGTTATGTCAAGAAATTCCACACTCTGAGGTTCAAACTTGGAGAAAGTGGCAACAGGCAAAGACTGAGATTCAATATGCACAAGATCACCTTCATCCAAGAGAAGATTCCTCATCATCTGTCAAAGAAAAATACAAATCAATACTGTACAGTATATGGAATAGAATATTTTTAATTCCCCCCAAAAATGTATCACATTCAACCATCAAATATCATAACAAAGCCTTTTGCACCATTATCATTTTGCCATGTACCAATTTTACTTTTGTGGCAGATGCATCTCTGACCCAGCCTTCAATATCATAGGGAATGTAGGAGTTTACACCAATGAGTGGTGGGTTGCAACCCGTTCTCGCACTTTCGTACAGTCAATATCGACTTATTTAATAAGTGAATATGTGACATACTAATTTATTGTGAATATTTTAGTTTACCTTGAAAAGCTTCATAAAAAACACTGACCTTACCTAACCTTCTTAGTATGTTAAGATAAGCATCTTATTGCTTCTTAATTACAATTATTACTTAACCTATTATAGGTATAGGTTAAGTAATAATTATAATTACGAAGCAATAAGATGCTTATCTTAACATACTAAGGAGGTTAGGTAAGGTCGGTGCTGTATAAGAAGCTTTTCAAGGTAAACTAAAATATTCACAATAAATTAGTATGTCACATGTGCACTTATTTAATAAGTCAATATTGACTGTACGAAAGTGCGAGAACGGGTTGCAGTGATGGGTAGTGGAATCCCTACATCAAATTAATGTTGTAAACATTCTAAATAGAATAAAAAAATAGCTGCATTTTTGGGAAAACCTAGTTTGAACTGAAAATGGTGACAATCTATATCTATCCATAGACAATCTATAGACCTATCTAGAGATGGGTCTATAGATCTTAGCAACTTTGCTCATGATGCTAAGATACTAGGGAAGACCAGAAAACTTACACTATTGCCATGCCCTTTCAAGAAGACCTCGACAAAGTAAGTGTATGGAGCAACAACTTGGCAAATGGAATTTAATGTGATGAAATGTCACATGGATTGTGAATAAGAGAAAATAGGCCACACACAACCTACAAATGTGTGAATGCTATAAAGAATTCTAATTAAGAAAGATTGAGGGGTGGTTCTAGATACAAAACTGTCACCTGAGGATCACAAAGAACATTGTACATGGAGCCTTTGCTACACTTTTCAATTTTAGAATTGCTTTTAAATACATGGATGGGGAAATACTAATGAAATTGTTCCCGACCCTTAAAAGATCAAAGTTGAAATATGAAGTTTTCAATACTAGATTTTAAAAATATTTTTTATTTTCTTGTTTTTCAAGTTACGTTGGCTATCATTTAGACAAAGTTGGAGTATTTGCCTAGTTGATTATGCACCAAAAATTTGTGGACATATCAGTTTCTGAAACTGATGTTTCAACAAAGTGTTTGGACATAACATCAGTTTCTGAAACTTGCACAATTATATAATGTTTTGTGCGGTTTAATGGTTAAAGTTACACTCTTGTCTTCTTCCAGCTTGATGTATATGTTAACGTTCAGCCGTTTTATTTTTTGTAGCTCTTAATTTGCTCTCATGAACCTGGACAAAATGGTCAGTCAATCCTCCTAAAATGATAGTACTTGTAGCAACTATTTGGCCAAATGTATAAAAATGGACCAGTGGACCCCAAAAAGGTCACTTTTTGTATTATTTAATTAGCCCAAATGACACTGAAATACTGGAAAAGTAAACAACTTAACCCAATCTGTCCAAATAATCCTAGGCCACCCATAAGATATGCTATCTTAGTCCTAATATGGTACTGTATGTATATGAAATTGCTAATCTAGGAATTTTTTTTTTTTGGGGGGGGGGGAAGTACAAAACATAAATACTGTTGGCAGCAACAGTTGATATGAAATATATTCAAAAGTAAGGAATCTATATGCAAAAACAAAAATGACATTCAATAACTATAACATACAGTGAAGAGCATTATGCAAGCCTCGGTAAGTGCTAAAATCATGCAAGACGAGGGGCCAGGACTTGAAGTATGCCTGGCTCTACATTATATTGTGGCATCTCTCATAACAGTTTGGAGACACCAATGAGATATTGGAACCATATGGGCAACAATGCTATTCAAACAGTGACACAAACTGTATATCATCATTTGATGACTGCATTGCACAAGACGATCGTACTTAGAAAGTTATAGCTTCTAAGCTTATACAATAGACAATAACCTTAAGAACCAACTTACCCAATATGGAATATACACTTTTCCTTCATCTGCCACAAACTCCAGTACTCCACAATGCGTGTGTCTATTTGCCCGTTGGTTTGTAAGCTTAAATAGCATTGGGTATACAATATTAAGACGTGTTAGGACATCCAAAGCTGAAGGGGGCATAATAACTGAAAACAGAAATAGTAGTAGTGTATAATAATGTGAAATCATAAATACGAGAACAATTATGATGACGAGCAAGTATAATTGCTTGTCAATGTGCAAAGAAGAATTATTCCCCCTCTTTAATCGTCTGATAAATGGACAAATTCAAACATATACTGGACAACGTTTATATTAATCCCAAGATGTAGAAAATCTGCAGAAGCAGCCACTTTTGTTAGCATTGTATACAATACATATATGTGTACTTTATATGAATACAAAATCTCAAACAAATTTAATAATTGACCACTTTATGGATACATTTATTAACTGAATGACTGATTAGTATAAGGGAATGAACTACAGAAATTATCATGCTTCAAAAGGCATACTGTGCTGGTAACTATAATATCCAGGTAAAATATAAATAAGCTCATTAAGATGCAATTTGCTAAGTGCCAACTGATATTTGTTTCATAAACGTTGACTAAATTTCACACTTACTTTTGCCACCATTCTCCACAGCCTGCTTGTCTCCGGGGAACATGGAGACAGAGTAGCAGCGGTAGTGGGTGTTGAAAGGCCGTGGCTGCAGCGGCTCTCCAAACATATTGAAGCTGAACTGTTTGAGAAAAATGAACACCCCACAATTACATTCCTGACAACTAACAGCATTACATATATTATAATAAATGTGATACTTTGCAAATGATTTTACGGTACAGTAATGACAAATACAAAATCAGAGTAGAATACACCTGGTAGTTAATGTATAAGTAAATCCAAGAGTACATATGATCACATGTAATCCTCAAAACCATATGAAGGCGGAGAGCAGTTAAAAATAAAAACCACACAGGAATATTCAGAGTTCAGTTCTGAATATGAGTTCTGTGTAAGTTCTGAATAATGTATGGTGAATATGAAAAATAATGGTAATCAAATTTTTAATTTGAAAATATATTTTTTTACATTTAAATTCAAATGGCAGATGTTAAAGTTATATTTATGGAAATTCAACTATTCCTTCCTCTCAATTCTGAAATTAACAAAATTGCAAAGAATATAAAATAAAAAAATATTTGTGAATACAATATGGTACAATTTATCAAACACCCAAAAGAGTAAAACATATCAGGTAAAAGTGCCAAGAACTCGGAAACGATACAAGAGGAGCTGGGATACGAGAACAGGGCAAAGGAACAGTGTTCATCCACTTGGGCAATAAAGGATTGAATGTGGAACCTGGAAAATATACAGCTGTCGTTGTGCCAGCTTTAGCTAAAATGTCACTTACTAGGACTGATGAGGATACTTATATAAACTAATTATCTTCATAACAGTCAACTAAGGCTAGATACCTCACACCAAATGCACACACATTTAAATGTTACAAAACCACCACAAATGCAAATTATATTCTGTATGGTACAGTATTATATTGTCTTCTGAATTGACAAGAGAGATATAGGTATTAGATATTAACCCTTGTGTGGCTCTGGGTTATTTAGCATTTGTCACCCACAGGCACATACAAAAAAAAAAAAATATTTTTCCTTCTAAACCTGTTAATTTGTGTTCTCTGATCATGGGAAAAATAAAAAAAAAATCGTAAGTGGCATATATTGCCCGCAATAGGATGGGGAAGTCTGGCAAAAAACAGGCACTGACTCAGCGTGCGTCCCAGACGGTCTGTTGCTCGCCAGCTGTCAGGCAGGAGTGGCCACAAAGAGACAATTACCTAATTATTTCAATGTCTCCGATTGATTTTTCGTAGTTTTTTGCTGTAATATTATTCAATAGTGTGTAGTGTGATATATTTATATAATAAAATGAGAGAATCATCGCTATACTCAAAAATATGGTGTGCATATTGTTGATTCAATTACAGTGGTACCTCGGAACACGAGTGTCCCTGTATGCGAGTTTTTCGGAATACGAGCAAGATTTCCTCGAAAATGTGTCTCGGAAGGCGAGGGTTACCTCGGAACACGAGTTTGTTGATACGTGTACAGGCCGACTAGCGCATGGCGATCGCGCCTCAGTTTACCAATGTCTCGCGCCCAGTGACTATCCCACCTGAATTCTTCACAAGGATTTACAGTTTTTTGTCGGTTTTTTGGCCATTTGAGCATAAAGGTTGTCATTATATATCTCGCCATGGGTCTCAAGAAAGCCATTGGTAAGGTTCAACCTAAGAAAATAGCTGTGAGTAGAGGCAGTAGAGGATGTCCCTTGATTAAGAAAATATGTGAAGTATGGGAAGAACTGCAAAGTTCTGTTGAAAAAACTCACCCAGATAAAGCTGTAGCAGGCCGTTGCATTGACCTTTTAAATAACAATGTGATGTCTTAATACAGACAAGTGTTAAAATGTAGGGAAAAACAAGTGTCTTTAGACAGATTCTTAGTAAGACAAACAAGTCCTAGTGGTATGCAGGCAAAACGTGCCAGAGTGTGCATACCAGTGAAGTCCTCACTGCCTGATGTGATAATGGAAGGGGACTCCCCTTCTAAACAGTAACACCTCTCCTCCTCCCTCCTCCTCACATCTTCCATACACCAACAGCAGTCCTCAGCAAGGGTAAGTAATAACTTGAACAGTTTTGTTGGTTTATTTAGATGAATTAGGTATAAAAATTTAGTTTGATGTGGGGTTTTTGGGGTAGTCAGGAACGGATTAATTCATTTCAAATTATTTCTTATGGGGAAATTAGCTTTGGAATACGAGTTTTCGGAATACGAGCCATCTCCAGGAACGAATTAAACTCTTAAACTGAGGTACCCCTGTATTATGTTCATCAAGCAGTGAACAAATACTTTGTCGGTTATTACACTATATACACAGGTTATATATATAAGTATCTGCATGTTTTGTTCACCATAACGAACCACTAAGTTGCTATTATGAGTCAAAAAGCAACGAGGAGTGGCCACCACACACCAGCCAGCCACTCGCTGCCACTCACTCCCTCAACACCTCACTCACCCACATTCTCCTCCCACCATACTGTTTTTGCTTTTATTCACTATATACAAACGTTATATATAAGTACAGTATCTACATTCATGTTCACCATAAGGAACCACTAATGTGGCATGCTCAGTGGCAGCCCGCCACTGGCTGCTACATCCTCCCTCCCTCAACTCACCCACATTCTCCTCCCACAATACTGTTTTTGCTTTTATTCACTATATACAGACATTATATATAAGTATCTGCATGTTTTGTTCACCTAAGTACAACTAAGTAAGTAAGTAACTAAGTTGATATAGTTAGTTCAGACACTAAGAGACATCGCTACACACAGTCAGGTGGCGGCTGCTTCCCTCACACATTCAAGGTCAGACATACTAAAATTTCACCCCCAACAACACTGTTTGTGGTGTTATTACCCTATATACAGACGTTATATATAAGTATCTACATGTTTTGTTCACCATAACTGTTCAACTAAGCTGGTATAATGCCCAAAGAGCATAGTCGCCACCCCTACCAACATGACAAATCATGCAGATGTTGCCACACCCAACACCAAAATGGCTTCTCCCCCACACTCCTTTTGCTGTTATTACACTGTATATACACGTTATATATAAGTATCTACATTCGTGTTCACCATAATGAACCACTAAGTTGGTATGCTGAGTGGCAGCCAGTGGCAGCCCGCCACTGGCTGCCACTCCCTCCCTCCCTCCCTCCCTCACCTCACCTGACTCGCCACCATTCTCCTCCCACCATACTGTTTTTGCTTTTATATACAGATGTTATATACAAGTATCTGCATGTTTTGTTTACCATAGCAAACAACTAGGCTGGTATAGTGAGTCCAGACAGTAAAAGGTGGTCACACACAGTCAGCAGACAACGCTACCTCCCTCCCCACCAAGATTACTCCTCCCAATACAGCACTAATTATCACAAAAATTCTGCTATTATCAGAATCCTGGTCATTTTTATCACAGTCAGGGATCTTCTGTAATAATATCATAGCTAAATAATAGCATGAACATGTATATTATGGCATTTTTAGGCGATGCTGTGGTCACAAGCTGAACAGGAGGGCTGTGAGCTCATGCTGCGTGCGTCAGGCTTGGTAGCTCACTCAATACTGAGGCCCCTCACACCCGGGAATTTGGTCCACTATTTTGTTTAAAAACGGCGTCTGTTTACAAGAGCCCTGATGAAGGTGTGGTGAACCTTGTGTATCCACGGGCTGTTTAAATCTTGCGTAGTACTCCAATACATCATATGATGTGGAGCACAAGTTGCTGCAAGTCACTGAACACATCATATGATGTGTTGCGCAGTTAAAGGGTTAAGTTTGGAAATTTACAAATATACACACAAGCCATTGACATCTGAAAACCTTGAGGACATTACATATAGTAACTTGGAATAATATGCCATGTGTGAAGGTAACTTTAACAGTGTTGGTTTCATTGTGTTGTCAGTATGTGGGGGTTGCTCGAGTGCTGACTGTAAGTTGGGGGGGTTGCTCGAGTGCTGACTGTAAGTGAGAGTTGCTCGACGTCCCACATCTTGGCAGTCTGTAGAAGTCACAAGAATTACCTTGGTATTTTTTCCTTATTCAGCATTACACACTATTGAAATACAGTACGACAATTATATGACAACTACTAACCATTCTGGTGGTGGTTCCTGATGTTCTCGCGTCACAGTATAACTTTTTGCTTGTATCTTTCCTTTCAGTTTATCACACAATCTGCCTCTTTGTGCCTTTAGTTTTTCTTCATTACCTGAAACAATTTAAAGTATTATATTGAATATCGTAGATGTGAGGTGGCCGCTATGTTCTGACAGAGGTTTAGGGGATTTTGAGCTATTAATTTATACCATAACTTAGCAGGCTTTAACAAATATTAGGGCCCAAATCACATGGTACATAGAGGTTGAAGTACAGACAGGCATCATCCAGCAAACACTCAACATAACTGTCCCTACGATTCCCTTGTTACAACTTGTAATATAGTTGTTACATCTTGTTATAATGCTTTTTATGACATATTAGAACGTTGTTACAACTTGCTATATTGATTTTTACAATTGTTGGGTGTTAAACCTTGTTCGAGCATTGTAGCAATGTGGTAGTTTTGTCGTGTGTTTGGTAGGCAGGGTTATATAATGGCTAGTCTTATACACAAATGGGATAGCAAATTTTGCGTCACAGAATTAATTGAATTCTGCAACCAGGTGGCAAAAATTAGGGAAGAAAGAGAGGGGCTGGGCAAATTGCACATTTTTGGATTACCAGAAAGCCTCTGACACAGTACCTCATAGGAGACTAGTGCATAAGCTGGAGATGCAAGCAGGAGTAAAAGGGAAAGTACTCCAATGGATAAGGGAGTACCTACGCAACAGAAGACAGTGAGTCACTTTAAGGGGTGAGGATTCAGAGTGGCAATACAAACAGAAAAACAAAAACAAAAATTAACCAAACCCTTGGAATGATCAAACATATCTTTGACTTTAAGGAAAAGAAGGTAGTAATTCAATTGTATAAATCTCTGGTGTGTCCCCACCTGGATTACTGTATCCAAGTAAGGAGACCTCATCGTCAGAAGGACATAGCAGCTCTGGAGAAGGTGCAACACCAGGCAACACAAATCTTACCAGAGCCAAGTCAACTCTCGTATCAGCAACAGTTGAGGGCTACAGGGTTATCTTGAGGATATCTTGGGATGATTTCGGGGCTTTTAGTGTCCCCGCGGCCCGGTCCTCGCGGCCTCCACCCCCAGGAAGCAGCCCGTGACAGCTGACTAACACCCAGGTACCTATTTTACTGCTAGGTAACAGGGGCATAGGATGAAAGAAACTCTGCCCATTGTTTCTCGCCGGCGCCCGGGATCGACCAAGGGACCACAGGATCACAAGTCCAGCGGGTTAACAGCACTGCAGACCAGGCATGACAGGGTGGATTTTATTGAAACTTTTAAAATACTGAACAGTATGGGAGATGTTGATCCGGATAATTTCTTCAAAAGGTCACAAACAAGGAGCAACAGGTTCCAGCTCAACCAACCACAATGTAGGACTGAAAACTGGAGATGTTTTTTCCACCCACAATAATAATAATAAAAATAATAACACATTTTATTCACAAGAAGGTATGATGGGATTGCGAGATTACATAAGACTGGTATTTTTACCTTCTTGCACAGCCACTAACACGCACAGCATTTCGGGCAGGTTATAAACCCATTGAACTGCTTACCTGCCAAAGTCATGGATGCCAAAACTATCGAATTATAAAAATTCAGCTGGCAAAATCATCTGATCAAATAGAGGGACCTTTGACAAGCCGCCAGCTTCCTGTCCTAGAGTCTAGTCGAGGTCACTGTGTTTGTGGTCCTCAAGTATACACACGTTATGCTTATATAGAATCCTCCCCCACAAATTTCACCTGCTGACCCCCTCCCCAGGATGCAATCACACAAGCTGACTAAAAACTCCTGGGTACCAAGTTCCAGGTGAACAAAGGCATTAGGTGATAGTAAATGTAGCCAACCGTTTCTATGACCCTTGAGGGCCTTTGTGCACTATTAAGGCAGTTGTAGCGTGTACCCGAGTGTCAACAAGTGCCTTACCCTCAGGTAAACTAGGTAAGGTAGGAGTGTAATAGTACTCACCTAATTGCGCTTGCGGGGGTTGAGCTTTGGCTCTTTGGTCCCGCCTCTCAACTGTCAATCAACTAAGGGAGATAGTGGGGATATAAGGGAGGCCGTGGAGGAGGAGGACGGGTTACCTCACCACAACAACATGGCCGCGTTCACATACCTCAGTTCAGTTTATTCAGGTAAGATACATACATACAAGAGGTTTTACAAAAATTGCAAAAATTGATAGATCTATATATATTTATATATATATATATATATATATATATATATATATATATATATATATATATATATATATATATATATATATATATATATATATATATATACCTCAGGTGATGCTACACACACGGGTAACACCACTACTCATACCTTGACAACCATCTCTTTTCATCTTCTCTAATACTTATTAAACACTGTATTGTTATAGTATATATATTACCGATGTTATAGATTATCAACACTTCTAAATAATCCTTAATGTAGTCCACGTCAGGTTGCTGATTAGATCAAAAATTCCTGGAAGACGGTCTATATAGAGAGCATAGAGTAATATTAGACACTAACGCCACACAGGTGACGAGTCCTCACTTGGTGCTCGGGACTCGAACGCGGCCTCCAGGTAAACAACGGCAAGGAAACTGTGAGGAGAAAGCACCAAGCCATGACACCTATATATTTATTTATTTATTTATTTATTTATTATTTATTTATTTATTTATTTATTTACAAGAAAGTACATTTTCCTCGAGATACTTGTGTAACGGTTCTATTGTTACGTAAAGTATGGTGACAATAAACACAGACACTAAGATACTATATATATATTTGGTCGAATATACAGAAGTACACAGGTGATACTTTGGTGTGAGTTGAGCGCACTGAGCGTCGGTACAGTATCTCGATCGCAAGTGTCTGCTCTAGACCACACTTGAAAGTAGACTCTGGTTAATGTTTGCTATTCTGCTGCTTATATGCCCGGGCAATGCCTCACCTCATTCATCTCCAAAGGTTGACAGGAATATTAACAAAGCATTTGGAGCGAGTATATTATTGGGATAATCTACTCGCTACAGAACTCCCCCTCCCAGGGGATGAAAGGAAAAATACTTGATCAAGGAACTTAGCTGGTCGGTGAATTGTACGCCCTGCTCGCGTTACATAACCATCAAAGTTAACTTCCTCCTCTTCGCTGATGGTCGCTAACTGGGGTCGTAGGGTGGGAGGTCGCACAGGGTCGTCCGTCGTCGTAGGATCAGGTTGTGGTGCGGCTGGTAACTGGGTTTGTAGGGTGGGAGGTCGTACAGGATCGTCCGTTGTCGTAGGTGGCGGTGCTGCTGGTAACTGTGGTCGAAAAAGTGAACTGCGTAGTTGGCGGATGTGTCTCTGGATTTAGCAGTGTCGCAGACGTTGAGACGAAGCCTGGAGCAGAGCAGAGAGCTGAGTGAGGCCGGAGTCGTAGAGCTCTATGTGGGAGAGCGTGGCGGCTCGATTGAGAATTGTGAGTGTCTGAACTCGGGGAGCGAGAGCGTGGCGGCTCGATGCGGTCGTAGTCTGCTGTCTGTTCTGTGTCGAAGCTGTAGCGTCTTGGGTTGATTAGGACTGTACACGCCGGGTACTACATTGTTGACTGTGGAAATTGTAGTCTGGTACCAAAAGATGTAGGCAGTGTGTGGACAAGCTCGGTGTAGCAGGAGAGAAGAATGTGCATAATTGTTGCGTCCTTGGGTCGCTGGTGGAGCATTTAGATCCGGGGCGGATGGGCTCGGGCACCAGGACATTAGGAGGTAATGTAGGCACGTAGTTAGGACAACGAGGTAATCACATCTAGAGCTGAATTGTCCTGAAGGCGACGAAGTGTCGGAAACGCAAGCTGTAAGTCCTGTACTGCGCAAAGTGCTTGAGTCGGCAGAGTATCAGAATGCAGTGAACGTGTACATGAATCTGACGAAAGAGCAGCTTTCGTGGGCGCCCCTGTAGGACAAGCAGTGCCCTGGCAGTGACGGAGAGTCGGCAGGACAGGCTGTAGATCCCACATTTTGTAGTTACTGATGAAGCTGCCAGATGAGTGAGTAGTGATCGTGGAGCAGCAAGCCGTAGTAGATGAAAATGCAGAGACGATCGCGATGAAAATCATAGCTGTGGCAAGGGTGTTGGCAACGTTCCATGACAGGTGGCTGCGGTCCACAGCAAGCAGCAGCAGTGGAGGTCCAGTGAGAGTCCATGTTGTAGTCCATCGTGGCTGGGTATCGTCGAAACTCTCTGGGGTCACCAATGTAACGGTTCTATTGTTACGTAAAGTATGGTGACAATAAACACAGACACTAAGATACTATATATATATTTAGTCTAATATACAGAAGTACACAGGTGATACTTTGGTGTGAGTTGAGCGCACTGAGCGTCGGTACAGTATCTCGCAAGTGTCTGCTCTAGACCACACTTGAAAGTAGACTCTGGTTAATGTTTGCTATTCTGCTGCTTATATGCCCGGGCAACGCCTCACCTCATTCATCTCCAAAGGTTGACAGGAATATTAACAAAGCATTTGGAGCGAGTATATTATTGGGATAATCTACTCGCTACACTTGTACCCCATTTCTTGTGGTAACATGTTGGATTTTTTTCGTTGCCATTTCATTGACGATGATCTTGCATGAGTCATCCTCCCAGGGAGGTAACCTCTCTACAGGCAGGAGCTCACGGGCTTGCTCAAGCAGGTGAAGCTCTTCAAGGTAGCAGACTGATCTGTGAGGACATTTTTTTGCTTTTCCTGTTTTCCCCTGAAAGTAGCACAGAACTCATTTTTTTCTTAGCAATATCATTGTAATGGGGATCTCTGGCTTAACAATTGCAAGCTTAACATTTAGCTCCTTAGTTCTGCTTTTAACACTGGGAAGGGACAACTCCTCTCATAGATTAGACGTTTTGTGTTTTGTGTTTTGTGTTTTGTGTTTTTGTTTTGTGTTTTGTGTGTTTTGTTTTGACAATTGAATAGTTCCAGAGTTCTTGGAACTCCAAGAATGATTGCCATGGCTTTATTCTGAATGCTCTCGAGCCTTTTCATATCGCTTTGGGAGTAGTTGCATAAAACTGGTGCGGCATAGTCTATGACGGAGCGCACATAGGCTGTGTACATCATTTTAAGCACGGCCATAGAGGCTCCATGTCCATTCCAGGTCATGGCTTTCAGTGCCATGAAAGCCATGACTTTTGCCATGAAAGTCGACTTTTGCATGTTCCTATGAGTTGATTGAGCTCCTCTTTCTTCCCCTTGTTAGAGCCGACATTGAGGCCAAGGTACCGATAGACTAAGATTGGATATAATCCAGTGTATCTCAAATTTGCTACTTGGGTGGAAAGGGAGGGATTAAAATTGGAAAGGGTGTAATCTCCCACGGTGCAGGAACAATTGAATGGTTACAAAGTTTAATATTTTATATTATTGGCCCAAAATAAATTCAATAAGCTCATAAGCTAGTTTAAAGTCTTATCATATTTGCATTTATTCGAATAATTGAAGGCATTAATGGTTTAGTTTTATTTAAAATATTAAAGAATTCTTATACTGTGTCATACGCCATATATGCGTATATTTTGTATACAAAGAAAAAAATAAGGGCACCCTGAAGAATGTAGTCACAACTTAAAGCGAGTCTACAAATCGAGGTTGGCGGGAAGACGGCATTGTTTACAAGCTTACGATGGCCGCCACACAAACTAATCTGCGACAGTTTTTCAAGAATAGGAAAAGCGCCCGTGACACAAATTTCGCAAAAAATGGCAAAAATGCATTATCAGGAATCGTTACGAAGAGGGTGCAGGCGAAGATAGCGGAGAAGGATGGAACGGCTGACATTGGCGAGTTTGTGTTTGTCAGCAGCAAATCTACTGGGCTTAATGTAGGCCAGCGTCTGCAGGTAGGAGACGGCGGGGTTAGGTTAAATATACACACGTGCTTCGTTAAAGGATTTTTTTTATTTTTTTTATGTTTATCTAATTGGGTGATTACCAGGGTAGAAAGCAGTCCCTCTTGTCATAGTCTTAAGACACTCTCCAGGCACTTTGCGAGCACTTTGGCCTGAGTGACTGGGCACTAGTCCTTAAATGAAGCCTCTATTCACCCAGCAGTGAATGAGTACCTGGTTGTTGAAACAATTTGGTGGGTCGTATTCCCGGGAAAATTAGGGTTAAGGAAACACTATGCGTACTAGTAGCTTTACAAGAATGTAAGAACTCTGCTATATGTATAAATAAAATGAAAAAATAAAAAATTCTTTGGAACGAAGTTACCTAAGGGTCACTAGCACTCTAGTGACCTCGATGAGGACAGAAACCCGGTGGCTTGTCATAGGTCCCCCTCATTTATCCTAATGATTTTTTAGGCAGTATAAAATTCAAGTGTTTTGGCATTTACGGCTTTGGCGGGTAGGCAGTTCCATGGGTTTATAGCACGTTGGGTGAAAAAGCATAACCTTTTTCAGTCCTATATTGTGGCTTGTTGAGCTTGAACCCATTGCTTCTTGTTTGTGTTACATCTGATCTTTTGAAGTTTTTGCTTTAAGTTCCTCTACTCCATGAGGGGTTATCTTGAGATGATTTCGGGGCTTTAGTGTCCCCGTGGCCCAGTCCCCGACCAGGCCTCCACCCCCCCCAGGAAGCAGCCCGTGACGGCTGACTAACACCCAGGTACCTATTTTACTGCTAGGTAACAGGGACATAGGGTGAAAGAAACTCTGCCCATTGTTTCTCGCCGGCACCCGGGATTGAACCCGGGACCACAGGATCACAAGTCCAGCATGCTGTCCGCTCGGCCGACTGGCTCCACAACTGAATTTGGGGAGTGGTTGGCCAGGTGGTTGAATTTCGGGTGGTTGGCATTAACAACTGCACTGCATTAAAATATGAGTGTTTTTGCTGTTATTACACTATATGCACATATTGTATATGCCTATCTACATATGTATTTACCATAATGAACTTGTATCTGTGGATGTCGGTAAAGCTTTGAGGGGGATGTGTAAAAAATTGATAAATTTATTTGATAAATAAGCAGACTGTATACTGGAAGGTTCTTGTTTCACAATTCCCGCACAGTCCCCGGCTGTGCAGTACTTTTTATTTAATTATGTTTGATTTAAAATATTAATTCTGCTACTCCAAGTTTATTCCTGATTAATGAATTGATTTATATAACTTCCTACACTGTCTGAACTAGTTAGTAAAACAATATAGCTTAGCTGTCTAGAAGACATCTCAGAGCAGCTGAAACATCGTATGTCATCCATAGAACAGAGCAGGTCTCGTGTTCAATATGGCTGCCTCACATCTGACTGGTTTTAGTTAACACGACTTTCCTACTGATAATTTCTACTATTAGATTGAATGATATTAATTTATAATTATTCAATTAAATTCAGTATCCCTAATTAGTAGAATCAAAGGACTAACACTTGTTTGTGTTTATAATCGCGCCCATAAACAGCCCAACCCCCTAGTCTCCCTGATCGTACACATCTGGCTAGAAATATGTAAATAATAGAGAGAGACAGAGGTTCACTTATCAATAAGTGTGAGTTGGAGTAGAGATGTGGACATCTGAACAGCAGTAATCAACTGAATTACTGTTGATGACAAGCTATACAAATGTCCAATATTTGTATAGCATGTCAACATGTGTTTCACTAACAAGCAAGCAGCCTCCCAAGTGATGGCATCATTGCCTACCTCTCACTCTTGTAGTCGATGCGAGGATTCGATGCTTATTTAAGAGTTATTTCTATATTCTAATTGAATGCAACTTCAAACTATTAGAATAAATTTAATAAATTGATAGTGTGATCCATTTTCCTCACTCATACTTGTGTGTGAGATTTCATAAGAATCAACTTCAGTTCCTCATTTGTCTTGTCATGAGGTAGGACCGGCTGACAAAAATAAACATACGTATCGCCCATAATAATAAGATATCATAAGTCATCTGCTTACCCTTACTACCACCTTGCAGCTCCAAATACTCCACTTAACTTAGGGAGGAGGGGTACCCTTCCCACTAGGTAACAATTCAGTCTCGTCGATTATCACTCGGACGAGACAGATGAACACAACAAGGCTATATTGAAAGCAGGAGAAGGGGATCCAGTTGACATTCAATTGTGATGGATGGAATCAGATCATGGATGTGGAATCTGACCATTGCAAGCACTTTGCAAGCAAATAAATCCACTATACGAGTCAGAGTGGGCTGTAAAATCTCCTCTCTTGCAGTAATTTGTCATCTAACTGAAAACATTTACTAGCCCATGTCTGGCAGTACTAGAATGGTCTTTACTCTCATGTTTGTAAGAATTTACTAAACTTTATAAAGGTTGTGAAGGAAACTTTTTCGTAGTGGTTTCCTCTGAGTTTCATTAAAGTATTATTTCAGAATCTCTAGTTAGACTGTCTGTAGCAATTGATAATTTATTTTTCAGACTAAAGCAGAAGAAACCTTAACCACTACAAACTGCCATTTGAAAAAGGAAGAAAATCTTAGACCACCAGTAACTCCAAAAAGAAAAAGGGATGAAGATGAAGAGACGAAACGAAAAAAGAGAAAGCAGATTGACGAGGACAATGGATATAAAACTCCAGAAGGATCCAAGACTAAAATCGGGGGCCAACCAGAGACTGCACAAAGATCTGCTAAGAAGAAGCTTATCATGGAACCAGGAGAGGATGACACTAAACACAAAGATGAGAGCAAGGTATGTATATCTCCTAAATATTTAGAGAGTAGAGTATATCTGTTGTGGGATTGGATCCAACATGTCCTATGCATTATTTGTAATTGCATGTCTTTCTGCTCCTGGTTATTTATTCCTTGGTCCTTTATAGCCTCATATTTTAAATTTCACTGCTTCTATTGTTTTTTTGCTTCCTTCCCTTTTTTCTCAGTCCCCATCTCTGTACTTGATTTTTTTTCCCAGACTAGAAAGAAGTCCTCATTAGGGGACATTATACTGTACTCCTTCAGACTGTAGACACAGCTTGAATATGGTAGTTAAAGTAATTAAATGGATGTACCTGTACAGTACCTCCCCATTTTTCAACTTATTTTATATCTACGGACGTTTATAAGTTCATAATAAATTTAGGTGTATTAATTTTTGGTAAACTATATTTTATGTATTTTTAATATAATTTATTTTCAGGAAGCTCCGAGTGCTCCATCAAAGACAACAAAGAGAGAAGGAATTGTAAGTACTGTATAGTACTGTATTTCTTTAAATTTGTTTAATTTTGGCGTTTATTGAAATACAGTAGCTTGTCTAGTAGAAAATCTGTTTCAATGTCTTTGTGCTTGCTGGAGATCTTGCAGAAAATCATTTGGTGTTGTGAGAATTTGATGCATACACTTTGATTAATTACAGGATCACAAATGTCAGAGGTGAAGAAAACTCTTTCCACTGCAAATTATTCTTCCAGTGAATTTGTTTTTAAATTTTTTACTGTAATATTTGATTCTCTACTTCCATTTATTATCCCTTTTTCCACTTTTTTGGCAAGAAAAGTTACCATTCACATGTCTCAAGGAAAGATATACAGTATAAGGCCAAGACTAACCCCCGGGCAGCGCTTGGGGTTATAGTTTGTGACACCGCCAGGTGCAAAAAATTAATTTTTTTTTAAGATTGTTAAAATGTGTTCTCTGATCATGGGAAAAATAAAACAAAATCGTAGGTGACATTACATATTTTATACACTGCCACAAAGATATTATTACCTCATTATTTAAATGTCTGATTTTTTATTTTTTCCAGTACCATAATATTATTCAATAGTGTGTAGTGTGATATATTTATATAATAAAATGTGTGAACCATTGCTATACTCAAAAGTATGGTGAGTATATTAGTTATTCAATTATGTTTATAAAACGATAAACAAATCGTTTTGCTGTTATATATATCATTTCCCTGGAAACAAACCGAAGTTGTCGCTATTTTCAGCTTGTTACAACTTGTAATAAAGTTGTTACATCTTGGCTTAACGTGTTTATGACATATTAGAACGTTGTTACTACTTGCTATATTGGTTGTTATAACTGGTTAGGAGGTGTTAAAACTTGTTTGAACGTTGTACCAACATCGTAGTTTCGGTGTGTGTTTGGCGGATTGTATATAGTGTAATAAGTATCTGCATGTTTTGTTCACCATAGAGAACCACCAAGTTGGTATGGTGAGTCCGAACAACAAGAGTGGGCTGCCACGCCCAGCCAGCCCTCCCTCACTCCCTCCTTCAACCCTCCTTCAACACCTCACTCACCAACATTGCTCCTCCCACCATACTGTTTTTTCTGTTACTACACTATATGCACGCATTATATATAAGTATCTACATGTTTTGTTCACCATAACTGTACAACTAAGCTGGTATGGTATCCAAACAACATAGTGGCCACAAAAAACTGCATGAAAAGTCACACACCAGCCAGCAGACAATGCCACCTCCCTCACCAAAATGGGTCCTCCCAACATACTCCTTTTGCTGATATTACACTATATAGTGTATAGATATCTAACTATATTACATTATTACATGTAATAGATAAGTACAGTATCTACATTTGTGTTCACCATAACGAACCATTAAGCTGGTATGATGAGTCCATACAATAACAGTGGCCACCACACACTGCGGGACCAAAGAGCCAAAGCTCAATCCCCGCAAGCACAATTAGGTAAGTACACCAGCCAGCTGATGCCACCTCCCTCTCTCTCCCTCACCAAGATTCCTCCTCCCACCATACTACGCACATCGCTAATTACCACAATCCTGCTATTATCAGAATCATGGTCACTAAATCCTGTAAATGAAATCACTTTCCCCTTCAGAGCAGGAGAGATTGCAGAAATGGAGGGAATACAGAGAACATATACGGCACGCATAGATCTGATAAAGCACCTAAATTATTGGTATTGTCTGAAAGCTCTCCATATATACTCGCTAGAAAGGAGACGAGAGAGATATCAAACAATATACATGTGGAAAGTACTAGAGGGGCCAGGTCTTAAATCTACACAGTAAAATACTGTAATAGCATACTGGAGTGAACGATATGGAAAAAAATGCAGAATAGAACCAATGAAGAGCAGGGGTGCCATAGGCACAATCAGAGAACACTATATAAACATAAGAGGTCCACGGTTCAACATTCTCCCAGCGAGCATAAAAGATATTGCCGGAACAACCGTGGACATCTTCAAGAGAAAACTGGATCATTTTCTCCAAGGAGTGCCGGACCAACCGAGCTGTGGTGGATATGTGGGCCTGCGGGCCACTTCAAGCAACATCCTAGTGGACCAAACTCTCACAGGTCAAGCCTGGCCTCGGGCCAGGCTTTGGGAGTAGAACAACTCCCAGAACCCCATCAAGCAGGTGTCAAGCAGGTAATAATTTTTCCACAAGTTTATTTCATAAAGGAACATGAGAAGTAATTTGAAGATTCTTAGATGGACCAAACAATGGCACACTGTGGCTAGTGCTGTGAACATCTGGAACAGCATTGGGTTCACTGATATCTGAACATTATACAGAGTCTTTATCACTGTCGGGCTCTTCTGTAATACCTCAGTACTGAGGCTTTCACACTTGGGAATGTTGCCCACAATTTTTTTTTAAATGGCGTCTGTTTAATACAACCCTGAGGAAGCTGATGTGAACCCTGTGTAGCTGCGGGACTTTTAAATCTTACACAGTCTCACAGTTTAAATCTCATCCTGTAACTACACTTAGGTAATTACAGTATCCCTACCATCCATAGCTGTGGTGCGCCATCCCGCAGTAGTTACTCGCTTCGGCTATATATGTATTGCCCCCTTTAAAGGTTATCTTGAGGTTATCTTAGATGATTTCGGGGCTTTAGTGTCCCTGCGGCCTGGTCCTCGACCAGGCCTTCACCCCCAGGAAGCAGCCCGTGATAGTTTACTAACACCCAGGTACCTATTTTACTGCTAGGTAACAGGAGCATAGGGTGAAAGAAACTCTGCCCATTGTTTCTCGCCGGCGCCCGGGATCGAACCCGGGACCACAGGATCACAAGTACAGTGTGCTGTCCGCTTGGCCGACCGGCTTCCCTATACACATAGGGTTAGTGTATAAAGGATATAGATTATATTATTTACCCATTATTATACTATTTCTCACTTTTATGGGATTGGGATGCGGTCACCAGCCCAATCCTTCCAACTTTTGTAATACAGGAAATGTGGCTGGTGTAACTACATAGTGGTTGGTAATGGGGTCGTTACGTCCCATGTCTGTGCCAGATTACATTTATTACATTGTTTATATATTGCTAAGTCCTTAATGGCTGATAGTAGGTGGGTGAAAAGTGTATTAGTGAATTTGAGTATAGGAAGAGAGGGGTTTGGAAGATGATTAGCAGACTAGGCAATTTAATTGCATGACAAAGTTGGGATTGAGTGTCAACAGTGATAAGGGAGAATGCAGAATGGAAGCAGTTTTAGAGAAGTATTCATAAGAGAGACTATACACCTGATCCTACTGTGTAGTAAGATGCTTCTGGATAATCACTGGTGTGTGTTTGTGTTGTTATATTGTGTGAATGATGTAATGAAGGGAAAAGTGGCATTTTATTTTAATATATGTAACTTTTCACTACCCTATTTCTACCTATATTTTGTTTCTATTAACTCCCTGAAGTTATCAGAATGGATATGTGCTATATTAGTTACGGGTCATCAGTCACAGGAGTCCTTATGCCTACCAGAGACCACGAGCCAGAACGTGGTCCCCTCGGAGAGGCACAGGGAGCAATGACCTATGAGCACATTACATTTAAAGTATGTCACAATTGCAATCGACGGGGAAAGGACCCAGAAAGGTAGGCGAATCAAAACACACCACTGTCTGGTTAACCTGTGCAATCTACATCCCAAAAGATCAAAATAACTTCTATAGAAAGAAACCAAACAAGCAACCCTTCATGCGACTAGCACTTCCGCTCGTTAGCTCTACCCTCAGCCCACCACTTCAGTTCATGAACTGATGTGCTAGTGATCAGAATCGGTTACCTCTGGCCTCAAGTTTCCGTTCTGGATTTTTGCCGTGTGTAGCTGTTCCAGCTGTGTGCAGTGTGGTGGCCAGGTGTCTTAGTGTACAGGAGCAGCATGTGCCAAGGGTGACCTTCTCTCGGTGCTCCGTGAGTACTGCCCTTGCGTGTCAGGCTTATCTTCCATGGTGCATTTGGGTATCGCTCCCCGTTCCAGGACTTCATCGCTTGATATTATCTTCACCCTTTGGGTACGTCAGGGGTCTAGGGCTTTCCGTCTTGCCCCAAGTAGGGAAGTGTTATTGCCTGGGTGGAGGTGCACTGTGGCTGGTGCAGCAAGCTTTACTTCAACGTAGCGGCCGATGTCTCTCTTTGACTGCCAGTTTGTTTGTTGTGTGTCTTCTGGGGTTTTATTTTCACTTTTTTTGTTCACTGGTGTTCTCGCCTTGTTTAGACAGAGGAGGTCTGCTTAGCTTCTTATTAGCAAGCCTAAATTGTATTGTTGTCATCCTCTGTTTTCCCCTAGGTTTCATAGCTGCTACTGGTGGTCAGTTTGCCTGCTACCTGATGCAGTTCTACTGGCTTAGCTAGCCCAGAAGGAGTAGGGCTAATTCATCCTACGGTCCCTGAAAAACCCCTTTGGGCTCAGTCTTACAATGGGTACTTCTTCCAAGCTCTTGCCTTGTGCGAAGTCATAGGTTGTTCATTGCCCCTGCCTCAGGGAAACGATCATCCATACTGCCTCCATCACACTGCATGTTGGATCCGGGACACTGTCGGTCCGGAATCTGTTCCCCGCTTATGCTTCACTTTCCTCATTCTTTGTCTGTTGATCTCGGGGATCAGGCAGTGGCTGCGTTACATGCTCGATTCTCCTTGCTGCAACAAGCTAGATTGGTTGCCCGGTTGGAGACCCAGGATATAAACCCCTGGTTGCTTGGGTTTAAGGGACCAAGATTTGGGGGCATTGGTCACTTCGACCTTGGTTCCTTCCGTGTCATTGCTTCCTTCCCAGGTGGGCATGGTTGGCCCTGCTATTTCCTCCTGAACATCTAAGAATTTCAGGGTCGGGGCGGGTTTTAGCTCGGTATGAGGCTCGGGTTGCTTCAGGGGCTTCCCCTTCCGATTCGGGCACGTAGGTGGTCAAGTTCGATTTTCCCGCCGAGGCTTCTGGGTTGACCCAGCAGACTCGCATCTTCGAAGCTTTTCCCCTGCCGTCATTTCTTCAGGGGATGGTGGGTATGAAAGAGGACTCTGGCTCAGGGCATGTGTTGGAGGTTCCTGGAGCTCAGGGGATTCCACTTAGAGTGCTTGGGCTCCTTTTGCCCCTGTTTGGGCCTTTGTGCCTTCTTGGCAGTAGTTGTTGTTACAGAGGAGGCGGTTTGTGTCCCCTCCTTCCCTTTCTGAATTAATTTTACAGTACAGTACTGTATTTGCCAGCGTGATTTACACACCCTTGCGTTGGGTGCATCCATCTTTTACTTGGATGTTTTGTCTTGGAGAAAAAAAAATATGCATTAATATAATGAGATTTTCTTTTGGTTCATCATACTGTATATTTATTGCAGGTTACTTTCTGGTGCTTTTGGTACCCCCTGCTCTTCCATCCTCTCAGACCAGCGGTTTCATTGTTTAAATATTTGGCAAGAATTTTGCTCTACATGCCAAGGGGTCAGGTTGGGGAGCTTCATACTCTCCTCTGGCGCAGGGTTTTTTGCTCTTTTGGTCGCGTTGATTGGTTTGTTCGTTTGCAGCCGTCTCCTTCTTTTCTGGCGAAGAATGAGTCGGCTGCTTTCCGAAGGGGTCCTTGGGTTGTTGATGCTTGGTTGGTTCGGTCAGGGGTGCATCATGTGTTGTGTTCGGTTGCGGCTCTTCACCGTTATCTGCGCGCCACGGCCTCTGTGGCAGGGGACGTGCTTTGGGTGGACCTGGTATCCCTTCTTCCCTGTTCTAGGGTGCGGGTCTCCCAGGTCATAAGCAGGATTATTTGGTTTAGCCAGCCTGTGGTCTATCCCCGTGCTCATAACATTTGTAAGTTTGCTGTGCTTGCTGCCATCTTTGGTAACATGTCTTGGGCTGACATTCGGGCGCGGGGTTTTTGGCGGTCGAACAGGGTCCTGGCTGCACGCTACCTCGTAAATGTTCCTAGGCCTCGTAGGGCCTGTGTTGCTTTGGGTCGGCGGTTGCAGACTGGTGTCTCGACTTGTCTCGACTTAAAGTTGAGGTCCGAGCACCGACTGCCTCCTGGGTACGTCCCTCTAGTTTTTATCTTTGGTGATGTAGCTCCGGGGAGCTGAAGGAGCTCCCCCCCAGAAAACCAGCGTTGAATGTAATGAAACAACGTTTTTCTGGGCGAGACCCGGAGGCTTCCCGGCAACCCCCCTTATCCCCCTGTTGGCAGTTTTTCGCATGTTTTGACATCTAGCCTCAGAACTGGTGGTTGGATTGCCTGCGAGGTGGGTCTAGGGGCTCCCCCTTTCCCCATCTCAGAGAAGGGGGATCTGCACAGACATGCGGCGCAGTTTGTGTGACGTCATGTTCGTTTGCTCATTTTCATTGGGGGAGTTCTGTTCACTCATTTGTCTATTTTCTTCGTTTTAACCAGAATAGGGGTTTGTTTTGAAGCGCTTACCTTTTTGGGTGCCTGTTCCAGTCGATGGCAGATATAGAATGCTCCAAATCACATCTGCATTTCTACAAGCCATTGCTCCTCGTGCCACTCTGAGGGGGCCAGGTTCTAGCTCGTGATCCCTGGTAGACCTAGAACTCCATCCACACTGATAGATGCCAAAGTCTAAGGGTATACATATCAGCCTGGATAGCTCCGGGGAGCCTCCAAGTCTCGCCCAGAAAATGGCATTTCATTACATTCAACCATTCAATGCTTTTTTTTTTTAATTCTTAATTTTCTTTTTTTTAATTCCTGATTTTAATTAATTTTTTAATTCCCTGCCCAATGAATGTGGGATATGGGATAATTATAATGTATGTCAAGTTTAATTTTTGTAAATCCCTTGTTGAAAGGACCTTGCAGGGGTTAGTATATAATTTGGCCTGTGCCTGAACATCCCTGCGAAAAAAAATAAAGTATATAATTTCTGATGCTGAAAATATGTTTTCCAACAGAAATTAACACCAGAAGAGATCAAAGAGCGCTTGGGAAAGTGTGGTAGGCTGGATGAACTGCATGCAAAACTTCTCAAAGTAAATCAGTGCCATGAGAAACTTCGACAGTTCAAGCAGAGTACAGTTACTGATCTACGGTCAGTGGAGCCACCTTCTCCAAGTAAAGGCGCTGTCAATGTGCAGCTCAAGAGATTTACTACATTGGATGTTGATGTTCCCCTCAGGTACAGTATAAGTTTTTATTTTGTTATATAAAACCCTTGCAAGAAGCACTGGGTCATATATGTTTTATTGAAATTATAGTCTTGCAAAGCCACTAACACTTTTTCTGGGAGGAGCCCCTTCAGCTCCCCGGAGCTTACTAGGCTGATATGCTAATGTCAGACTTTGGCATCAATCATGTGTATGGAGTTTAATGGGCTTACAGGGGACCACGAGCCAGAACCTGGCCCCCCTCAAAGAAGCAAGGAGAGCACTGGCCTATAGAAACCCCCATGTGGTTGGTAGCATTCTATGTCTGCCATTGACTGGGTCAGGCACCCAGAAAAGTAAGCATCCCAAAATAAACCCCTATTCTGGTGAAAATATTGCTACCAAAAGCCGAACAAATGGATAGAACTCCCCTAGACGAAACAAGCAAACGATCATGACGTCACACGTCGCCGCGCCGCTGTCTGCGCAGCTCCCCCCCCCCCCCGGAGGGGGAAGGGGGAGTCCCAGACCCCACACGCCGACTATCCATCCTTCAGTTCTCAGGCTGATGTTAGAGGCGGAGGTTTTGTGCTGGCTCCAGAGTTTTCAGCACTGTGCTTAGAGTGTGGTGGCTGTCTTCGAGGGGTGCGAGAGCCAGGAGTTATTCTGTGGGCTGCATGCGCCTAGGGTTACCTTCACTAGGTGCCCTGTAAGTACTGCCCTTGGGGCTACCTTCCACAAGCTCCTTGGGACCTGCCTCTGCTAGGCCGTATTACTGCTCAGTTTTTCGGCTGCCCTTTGGGTGCTTGAAGGTTTTGTCTTCCTTGTTTACCTTGAAGAGGCAGTTTGGACTGATAAGGGGCGCAGGGTGCTGCGCAGTTTGTTTTTACCACTCACAGTGGCTGGCTCTGTTCCTTGGGGTACATTGTCCTCTTGTGGTTTTTTTCTTGTTGTTTTTGCCTTGTGGGGGGGGGGGGGGGGTCCGCCTTCCTTCCCCAATTGTGTCCACTGCTCCCCATGCCTCTCTGAGCAGGCCCAGGTTCTGGCTCGTGGTCCTTGGTAGGCTCACAGAACTCCATACACATGACTGATGCCAAAGTCTGACATTAGCATATCAGCCTAGTAAGCTCTGGGAAGCCTCCGGGCCTCATGCAGAAAATGGCGTTTCATTACATTCGACGCTGGTTTTTTTAATTATACCCCTTCAATGTCACACATCATATGACGATTTGTGTAGTTTAAGGGTTAAGGGTTAGATGTGGTTTTATTGAATTTGTGATGCCTAACTGGGGTAATATCTTGGGTTAAGGCCTACTGTCCCTTGCTGGTGCAGTATTGTATAAAGTATCATTATTGGCCGTTTATCTTCACTAATCTAACATTTTATTTCAGTCCACAAAAAACTCCTGTAAAAACTCCATACAAAACTCCTATTAAGGCTCCTGCATATGAACGCTTCCAACATCTGGTTGAAACGCCATCCGAGGAACTTTTGTTGCCATACAAGTACCGCTTTGTTAAAGAAGTGTTCAGGGCTGTTGATACAGTAGTCTCTCTTCTCCACAACAGACAGGAAGTTATTACGTACAGCAAGCTGAAACCAGCTGTACAGGAAATGTTAAGAAGGTACTGTAAATACAAGTTCATACAATGTCCCTCATCATTGATTAATTTATTCTTCCTAAGGGAATTGAATTTTAAGGGCTGGTGGCTATATGCAGAATCCTCTCCAGACATTTTGATTGAGTTTAGTTGAAAGAATATTGCAAAAAACAAAAAACAAAAATTGAGTTAGAAAAGAATTTCACATTGATTTTGGTAATATCAACAGGAAGCACTTGCTGCTTGCATCAATATTCAACAAGAATGTGGGAAAAGAATAAGGATTGTTCTCTTTCAGAATAGGATTTAAAATGTAAAATGAAAGGTTTTGTAGTAATTAATATTTAAATTTTTTTTATCTGTAAGGAATATTTTGTGCCCTTTTACTGTACTATAATTTGTGTAAAGTAAGATTTTAATTTTATTAAGGTATTTATTGTATTTTTTTTTAGAGTGCTATTTTAAATTTTGTTGCTCAAGCATTTTTTTATTTTGGATTCATAATTTTTTGAAGTTGAAACATATTAAGGAAGAGAAGTTAGGTTAAATCGGATAAGGGGTCTGAGGAACTGCCTCATATAAACTAGAAGACATTGGAAATTGGCTGGGAGCTGGCAGAGTTTAGCATTGGCCCTTAATACAGCTTCTGGCATAAGAAAGCAAAGAAAACCCAATGTAGTTTGTCAGTAGGAGAGGAGAGTTTAGTGGTAATTAAAGTTGAGAGAAAAACCCTTAGAGCTTCAAAATATGAGGATTTAGAGGAGGGTTTATTATTGGTATATCTTGTCATACCTTGAAGATAGCTGTTGGTGGTGCACAATAACAATTGAAAAGCTGAAAGTGTGATACAGGTCCTGTGCATGATAAATTTAAGGCCAGGTTGAGGTTCCTGCAACAGCTTTTCACTCCTTGCAATAGGTATATAATCGAAATATAAATACAATTTCTTTCTGACATATAATATAAATAAAACCTGTTTGGTATGGGAAGGTTTTCCATCTGAAACACTGGAAAATAGATGGGAGGGAAATGTTCGAGGGCATTAGTTTACTAAAGACAGTTTTTTTTATTTTTGTAATGGTTTGCCAATGAAGATGGCACTCAGACTATAAACTTAAAATTGTTGATAAGGAGAAAATATTGTGGAGTGGTTATAGGGAGAGGTAGATGACCCTGGTGTGTCTTCTGACCCAGGAAGACATTGTAGAGAATGTTACTGGTGTTCAGGTGGAGCATGAAGATAACAGACTCATGAGGATTCATTTAAGAAAAGAACTTGGCATTGTTAATGGGCTGTTTGAGATGCGCACTCGTGTAGATACTTGGGAGATTGTGGTAACATTATTTACAGTTCATAATTTTCTGAGAATATTTTCAAGCAAATTAAATACAGCTAAAGACCGATAACTTTGCACAAATATGTGTCTAAAAGCGCTCCCGAGATTTGACGGTATGGGATATTTTTCTTGATCTGTAATAACTTGAGGTTTTTCACATGTCTTTGGCATAGCATTCATGTCCTTTTCTGTGTTTATTGTATAATGTATTTTTCCAAAATTGTTAATTGTCACGTCCAACAGAACCTTTGAGGAACACTACCTCGGGCAGATAAAGACGGTGTTTCCTCTGGCTTATCTCTTCAAACAAGAGAAGAACATGAATGTCAGAAATACAGGTACTTGATGTTCTCTTAAAAGTATTTTCTGTTTATGATGTTATAATGCTAATAACTGTGTGATCAAATGTTTTCAGTTTTCACTTTCCCTCGGAATGTTTGGTACCTCGTGCTATATTGTCACGTGAAAAATAGTTTAGCATTTTGTGGGTAAATAAATTACCAGGAAATGTTTTGCAGGAAGTGGAAAAGAAACCAAAGATCACTACCAGTTAACAGTGGCATGTAATTTGGATTACAAGCCATATTCCACCCAAAACCTTTCCAGGAAGTTTGAAGAAGTGGCACATCCTCAAACACTGAAGGTTGGTTAAATATCTGTTCATTTCTACAGAAAACAAGATACGTAATAAGCAATTCCACAAGATGATGCATAACACTAATTTTCTGTAGAGAGCCTCTCTGGCTTCTCGGAGCTTGCCCCAGACTGATATGCAAATATTAGACTGTGGCAACAGTCCTTTAAATTGAGTTCTAATGCCTACTGGGGACCACAAGTCAGAACCTGCCCCCCCCCCCTCAGAGAGGCACAAGGAGCAATGGCATATAGAACCCCCCCCCCCCCCCCCCCCCCCCCCCCGCCTCCCGTGTGGTTGGAAGAGTTCTGTCTGCCATCCACCGGGTTAGGCACCCATTAAGATAGGCATCCCAAAACAGACTCCAACTGGTGAAACATTGCTACCGAAAGCCGAACTGCTAAGCAGAACTCCCCAATCTGAAAACAAGCATGACGTTACACCTGCCGCCATGCTACCTGTCTGTGCAGCTCCCCCCCCTCCTTGGGAGGGGGAAGGGGTGGTTCCCCGACCCTTGTGCCGGTTATCCAATCTCAGTTTTGAGGCTGTTGTGCTTGGTGGCAGTCGTTCAACTCTGGCTCCAGACTCTGTACAGTGCTGTGCTCTTGTGGTGTTTGAGCCAGGAGTACTTCACGAAGTCCTGTGGGCTGCATGTGCCTAGGGCTCCCTTCCCTAGGTTCCCTGTAAGAACTGCCCTTGCAGTTTAGGGTTATTTTTCATAAGCCATTCGGGAATGTGCTTTGGGTTGACCAGGTTTTCTTTCTTCCCTGTTCCAGGGCTTGGGTCTTCCAGGTCGTCCGCAGGGTTATTAGGCAGCTTGCAGTCTATCCTCGTCCCCATGACGTTCGCAAATTTGCTGCTTTAGCTGCCATTTTCGGTAATATGTCTTGGGCTGACATTCGGCTCAAGGGTTTTGGAAGTTGAACAGAGTCCTAGCCTCCCATTTCCTCATTAATGTTCCTGGCTCTAGTTGGGCGTGTGTGTTGCTTTGGGTCGCAGGTTGCAGCCAGTTGTCTTGACTTCGAGTTGAGGTGCGAGTGGCGGCCGTCTCTCGGGCAAGTCCCTCTTTTACTTCTGTGGTTAGGTAGCTCTAGGGAGCTGGAGGGGGAGCTCCACATAAAACCAGCATTGAATGTAATGAAATGCCATTTTCTGGGCGAGTCCCAGAGGCTCCCCAGGAAATCCTGTCGGTGGTTTCGTGTTTTTGACATTCAGCCTCAGAACCGAGGTTGGATAGCAGGTGCAGGGGTCTGCAGCCCCCCCTCCCTTCCTCCTTTCACAGAGAGGGGAGCTACATAGAGAGACGGCAAGTGTGATGTCGTTCTTGTTTGCTTGTTTTCACTATCCAGGAGCAAAAATTTTTACATTTTGTAGTCAGGTGGGGAATTTTAACTCGAGGATTGAGAAAGGAGGTTTTGAAGAAATTGTTTTGCACAGTCCTTGCCATTATAGTTGTGTGCAGATTGGTATACTGTGTAAGATATAATAAGGATTTGAGCTAAATTATGTTCTAAAAACAATATGGAAAATCAATATATTTTTTTACAAATACAGTACATAAGAAATGTTCACAGTATGCATAATATGTATTGCAGCATCCATAGTCTACATGGCAATTATTGCAGAAATCATAGTAGGTATAGCATTTATGATAGTTCATACTGTGCATAACAATATTTTTTAAGTCTCCCGGTAGCCTTCTTCATCATATACTGTCCTGGCTTTGTCTTTCTCCACTCAATCATCATTAATTGAAATTATTTAATTTTTAGTTCTATAAACCATTTCTTTGATCACACTTGTAGCATCCCTCTTATATCTTGCATTCCTCTGTTGCTGTTCTCATCAGTTTTGCATTATCTGCAAAATGGACATGGTAGATTGTATCTATTTAAATAGATTATTCATGTACATGTGAAAGAGGGGTTGAAGGACTGAGCCCCTCTTGTACCTTAATCTGTCGTCTCCAATAATAAATAATTTTTTGTCAAAATCCCCAACAGCTAAAAATTATATATACAGTTCTATAAAACATATTGGCCTACAAAAGTTGATTATATCTATGCAGGGGTCATCAGTCAAGTTAGATTAAATTCAACTAATTTTGTACTTGCATCATTTTGTGTCCATTGTGACAACTGGAGAGGAGAGGCTGGGTACTCTGCTTACCACTCTCATCCATCTGACATTTCTTCTTTCTATACCTGCTTCCTGTCTGACTGGTACTCTTATCCTGTTAGTGCCATTCCTGTTAATACAGCCTGCTTCTCCATTTTGTGTTATCTATCTGTTATTGAGCCCAGATCCTCCTCCTGTCTTTTCTTGGTGACTTTATCATTGAACTCTATTTAGTTTAAGTACAACTTTCCCTGTCTCAAAATCTGTGTTGCCACTTAATGAAATTTATCCTCTCCAGATGCTTGATGACTCATTCTAATTGTGTGTTTGTCCTGGTACATTGGTGAGTCATATCAAGTTATTCTTTTTCTTAAATATTGGCACTAAATTTACAGTTTTCCAGGTGTCCTGGAACTCTCCATATTCCAATATAGTGGTGTAGACTGTTACTGTTTAAATGGTATCTCTACTACCTCTTTTGGTAGTCATGTACAAAAATGTTATGTAAAATTCAGTTGATTTGCTACATCATCAGATAATAGCTTTCCTTTAAGTGTTTATATGAATGAAGTTTAGCTGCTTATGTTCTGGTCCCTGGACTTTGTTTCTCTATGCATGAAACTTCCGCTGAATGTCCTGGGCTGTGATTTGGGTGGCTCATGAGTGAGGGAACAGACTGGCCGACACCTCTGGGTGACCTGAACTGCCACCTGGTGTCACGCACATCAGTTTTGGTGTTTACACTGTAGCAATGATTCTTTGGCTCATTTTCTGTTGGTGCCTAATGTTCTTCTGATTACCAGAAGTAGTTGCTTGTTTTGTCGTACGTTGTACAACAAAAAAATACTTTATATTTTTTTTTATAGTATCGTAAGATGGATTCCATTGTGATGGTCGAGCGTCGAAATATTTTCCACAACTCTCTGGTAGACATCTTGAGGGACCATCATGACCACTTCCTTCAGGTAAATATGAAAAGTTAACATTTTCCAAATTTTTGTGTGTTGCATAATATTGTGCGTTATTGTACCGACATGCAATATTACATGGTATATGTATAATAATGTTAAATTTACATGCAATTGTAAAAACACTTTAACCTTGCTGTACCCACTTTGCCTGTAATTTCCTGTTGCTGCCAATTTTTCCCTATGGCACTGAGGATCTTGCACTGAGATCTGTAGGTGTGCACCACCCTAGTAGCCAATCTTGGGTTATCTAACATCGTAAAACAGTAATACAATTTTGTAAACAGTCTTTGGAGCCTCCCATCATGAGCTGTGGCATGAGCATCAAGAGATGGCATCCAGATTTCCTACTAGAAGATGTGCCAGAGATTGAGCCGTCGCCTCTGCCTCAACCTCCTGCTGTAGAGACATTTGATACTGCCAGAGATATTCTTGGTATGTGGACGAATTTTGAATTTATACGCCATTATTAGCTATCATTCAAAGGGATATCTTATACACTAGTTTCCATCAAATAAATGAGTCTTCTTTCAAAATTTTATGGGTTCTTTGCAATTTGTCCTATCTGCTTGAAACTTTTAAAACCTGAGTATGTATGTAGGTGCAAGGAAGTTCTTTTATTGTTAATTTACTATGCAGCTGATACAAATTTTTAAACATGCCATGATACTGGGGGGGGGAATAATCATAGTATCCATATTTGCAAACGATGTTGGAGGAAATTTTGCAATAGGCAATTTTCTGTGTGGAGAGCCCCCTCTGGCTCCCCGGAGCTTATTGGGCTGATATGTATATATTAGACCTTGGTAACAGTCAATTCGATTGGAGTTGTATGCCTACTTGGGACCACGAGCCAGAACCTGGCCCCCTCAGAGAGGCACGAGGAGCAATGGCCTATAGAAACCCCCCTTGTGGTAGGAAGCATTCTATGTCTGCCATTGACCCAGGCACCCAGAAAGGTAGGCATCCCAAAACAAACTACAGGCTGTTAAAAATTGCAACCGAAAGCCGAACTAGTAAGCAAACAAGCATATCGTCATCTCTGCCGCACCGCTGTCTGCGCAGCTCCAGCGTTCCCCTTCCCGGGAGGGGGGAGAAAAGGGAGCTCCAGACTCCCCCATGCCATCTATCCAACCCCAGCTTTGAGGCTGATGTGTTGAGAGGCAGTCGTTCGACTCTGGCTCCAATCCTTTTGTAGGGCTGTGCCTTGTTGTGTTGCGATGTGGTGCGGCTCCTCCTGGTTCCGGGTTCCCTTGGGTTCCTTGGTTTCCTCTTTCCGGAGGTTTTCGGCTTCCTGCATCCTGCCTAAGGAGGTTCGGGAGGCTATTGCTTCGTACCTCCTGCGAGACCCGGATTTCGCCTCGATAATGGATCCCTCTTCATTTGAGTTTGGTTCTTCTTTTCCTTTCAGGGTGCGTTACGAGGTGCTGGAGTCTTCCTGGTTGGTAGACTACCCATTGTTGGTGGACAAACACCATGCCCACTTTAACAAAAAAACGTATCTGTAAAAATAACATGCATACTGGGTAAAACAAAAAAAAAAAAAAAAAAATCAAGAAAAAAAAAAGTTGAAACAATTTGACAAACGGACAATGCCATAAAGATTCATTCAGTGTTTGTCGGGTAGGCTGCTCCATTATTGAGACAAATGAAAAATACAAAACAAATGGAACCCATTTGAAACAAAAAGATTGTCATAATGGAGCAGCCTACCCGACAAACATTGAATGAACCTTTATGGCATTTGTCCCTTTTTGAAATTGTTTCAACTGTTTTTTTCTAATTTTCGTTTTTTTTTTTTATTTAAGAAACATGGAGCAGCCTACCTGCCAAACACAGAACAAACGTTTTGGTATAAAAATTTTTTTTAACAAATTTGAAGAAAGAAAAATGTCATAAAGGTTTGTTCAGTGTATGTAAGGTAGACTGCTCCATTTTTTAAAACATTGTATATCTTATTGATATTTTTCGGTGGTAGAACAGATTAATTTGATTTCCATTATTGTCAATGGGGAAATTCGTTTTGTATGACATCCTTTTCACGTGATGATCACTGCACCAGAACGGATTAAATTCGTTATTCGAGGTTCCACTGTATTTTCAAGAGGCATTTAGATTCGTGCAGGAAGTGTTAGACCATTGAGATTGTTAGTGTGCCTGTAGATGGTCTACAGGCTGCTGCAAGCAACAGTCTGAATGGAGAATTGAAGAATAGATGAACTTTTGAAACTAATTACAGGTATACTATGGCAGCTGAGAAATGTCTTTGAGCTTTTGAAAATTGCAAATACAGTAAGTGACCTGAAATTTGCTGCCATTTGTCTGCAACAATCTAAAACAAAATTTTTCCTCGTATAGAGGAGCTTTTGTAAGGCAATGAAACAGCAAGGTAAAGAATTGGAGATCTTGAACCTTTCTCCCTTAAAGTGCAGCAGTCCTCATAATTGACATCAGACGGCAACAAAATAATTACTCGTGAATCAAAACATCTATATACAAAGGTATGGAAAATACACAAAAAATCATATATCTACCCTTCATTTGGCCTGGGCAGTAATCAACATTTTTGCATTTGTCAGCATTACAGTGACAAGAGCAAAGACCAAAAAATAAATACAAAAATTTTTTCATATGAAATATATTCAAAAGTAAGAAATCTAAGCAAAAGTATAAAGCATTACTATATAATACATAGAGTGAAGATCATTGTTAGTTTAGGAAGTGCTTCGTCACTTGTTGAAAGGTAACTAGATGCTGAGGTCTGCCCGACTCCAAAGTTTGTTATCTCATAATGGCTTTAAGATTCTATTGAGCAATGGGAATTATATAGACAACATTGGTATTCAAGAATTGACATGCAGTATTTACAAATATTGTTATCTTATAATGCTGCATTGAACTAGTCAACACATGATGACTGAACGTTGAGGGCTAACACTAATCATACTGTACAGTACTTCATTATGTCATACAGAAAGTGAGCAATGGGTTAACAACAATCACACACAAAACCGGATCTTCCTAAATGAGGTGGCTGTCGAGAAAATAACAATGGGAACCAGTGACCACTGCATCATTGTTTTGAATTCATAGTTGAACTAAAGGAGGAGACCAGACCAAGGATTTGGTTGAGAACAGGAGATGATAATACTAGAGGGCAAGACACTTGACTGTAGTAAATCCCCATGGGGATACTTTGTTAGAGGGGAAGCTATCAAATGACATGTAGTTGAGAACTAAACCGATCATGGAAGCGTTACCATTCAGGAACTCGGAGAAGTGCAAGATAGACCCATGGTTCAGTAAGCAGTGCAGAGAAGCAAAGGAGTGAGCCAGAAAAGTATGAAAGAAAGAAATAAATAAATAAATTTAAGCACCAAAGTTAATAGAAATAAAAAGTGCTAAGAGCTGGAGCCCCAAGTGATGCAGTTCTCCTTGTAGACACTGATAGATAAACACTACCTCCATTGCCACAGTTGTTACCATCACAAAAGCCTACCACACCAATATTCCATATCACCATTTCTTCTGCCATTGCCACCACCCACACCTCACCCCTCTTATATTAGTTTGTATTCATTCATCAGCTATAACTTATATTTCCTGTTATCATTACACCCAGAGTATTCCTAACAGCAGTCTGTTTGTATCCTGAGAAATGATACCCCCTGGTAGTGCCTCGCTTGATGGGTTATAATTATAACATGTTTTCCTTGAAGCAGGGAATACCTAGAATGATCTTGATTCATCCTAAAAATATATCCATATTATTTTCCATCTTTCTGTATATTTGAGGAAAGTGATTGGATCTTTAAATTTAATTAATGTGATCTATTAGCATGATCTTTTAATTTCTAATAATGTCATCCTTATTAGATAAAGCACAGGACCTCTTCTCGGTTAATCAGCGAATGGAACAAGCGATGAAAGAGGCGGCAGCAAAGACACCTGTTAAAGTTGAACCTGAGCAACCTTCAACACCTTTGGCACAGCCTGCCTACTTTTCTGCTGCCCTGAAAGGTGTCTCTAGTTCATTACTGGAAAAGGTAAGATTCCTTCATTTTATCTTAGTTAATGTATCTTGCTTTTCTTCATGGCCCTTTTGCTTTAGATAACTTTCCTGGACGGTTTTATAAATGTTTGTGGTGTGTCAGTAATATTCTATGATGTTAGACCATGTGGAAAACTGGAGCGCAATACGGCTAATGTAATGTTGCGCCTCAGACCACCAGGAGTCTTGAGCAAGAGTGGCCGTGTTATGAACAATTATTTCAATCCTTGGTGGCCACAACCTCCTTGGAGATAACAGGGTACCTGCTGCTCAATGATTTTTTAATCATGTCAGACAGAAGAATCATTGACTTTTTGATGATGAATTTTTTAATTGTTGACAATAGGTTTTTCATGAACAAACTTGTGGAAATAATGGATGACCTGATGATTTGGCATCAAATATGTATGTTGTGATTGGAATGGGGGAACCATCACATTTATTATTGGCATGTTTGGAGTGGGAGAACCAAATTTTCAGTCCAGACACCCAATTTAGGGCAACTAGAAAAACATTTGGATCAGTTTACCCTATTTTATAAAGTTTTTGCTGATTAAGTAGAGCCACTAGTAACAATCAGGCTTTAACAGTTTTTGAAAATCAACGAAGCAAACAAGACCAGAATTTGGTGTTCACATTTTGGTAAGGAAACCATGTGCCTCTTAACACTTTCGGCAACCTGATGCTGCATATTTCGTCATAAAACTAAACCACCCAGACTTTACACACAGAGATCACACTAACGTGATGCATCAAATGAACAAATCTACGAGGGCCGTGACGAGGATTCGAACCTGCGTCCGGGAGCATCCCAGACACTGCCTTAATCGACTGAGCTACGACAGGGTAAAAGAGTTGAAACCGAAGTTCTACTGAACTTACTGGATCCTGCAGCCTCTCGGGGGCACAAACCAGGGTTTTACACAACTCCCCCCTGCACCCGAGCTATGTCAATATGCCGTTCTCCCTCTTTGCCCTTACATCATTACACACAGAGATCACACTAACGTGATGCATCAAACGAACAAATCCACAAGGGCCGTGACGAGGATTCGAACCTGCGTCCGATTCGAACTCTTTTTACCCTGTCGTAGCTCAGTCGATTAAGGCAGTGTCTGGGATGCTCCCGGACGCAGGTTCGAATCCTCGTCACGGCCCTTGTGGATTTGTTCACCCAGACTTCTTGATGACGCAAACAGCATCATGCAAAATTTTTTGCAATGTCTTATTTTTAAGTATAAACATTGTGGGTGAATGAGTTTAACATTGGGTTGTGTGCTTACCGGAAATGCTCGGCCTACCTTCCAGTGCGATTTGGATGCCCTGCCGAGCTGCCGAAAGTGTTAAGAATTCACGCTGCTGTGAATGACACTGAATGTTAAAACTTCACCTAAAAATCAAAAGCTCGTAGAGGCATTGTGTGAAATGGAAGACATGGCAGTCTCACTTCTGAGCTCTGTTTTCATAAACATTGCTTATTCTGAATCAGTCTTGACTTTTTATTCTGGCAAGACTCCTGTATGCTTCGGAAACGGGAAGAAATGTCCGGCACAATACAAATGTCACTACCTTGCTTATAATGGATAAACAACCTATGAAAATAATGAAATAATTAAGGATATGTATAATGATAAATATATCATTAAGCATAATGGGTTAAGGAAAATACAGGTTAAGGATAACCCCCTTGTATAATGGGTTGTAATTATGGAGGAGCTGTATGACTTTGTACCAGTGCTTTGCTTTTGAGCTGAAGCCAACTATAATTACCAACCTCAAGATACGTGCACATGTTTATGGAAGTTGTGTTGTATCATAAACACATTTGTGACATCTTTAAAGAGGCTTATTAAAGTGAATTATCTCACTAGAATATACTCAACCTCTTTTTAATGTTTTGTATTTTTAAAATTTTTGAATTTTATGTCTTGTGTATTTCTTTGTGAAGGCTAGTCTCAAGTGTCTTGAAGAAATGCTTTTTCTCCTAAGATTCGTGCTAGAGAAGCAGCAAAGAGTGCCCGAGGCATGACTAGAAGCAGCACTGAGAATAAGGAGTTGGAGATGCTGTCCAGATTGCCAGAAATCTCCAGAATCATCCGCAACGCTTTCATCACGGATAAGAAGGCTGCTCTTCCCTGGGAAGTTGTGGCTGGCAAAGTTGCTGCCAGCTACTCTTCTATACTTGGTGCAAGTGAGTTTAACAGAAGTTAATATGGCATTAGTTTATTTTGGAACTTTTTTTCTGCTTTATAAAAAAAAAAACTGCATATACCCATTGACTTGCATATCTTGCAGAAATTAACCATTAAACCGCTAAGGGCTTTTTGGCCTGCAACACCGCCAGGCGCAAAAAAAAAAGAAATTAAAAAAATTCTTATAAAAGTGTTCATTTGTGTTCCCTGATCATGGGGGAAAAAAATCCTAAGTGGCATATTTTGGCCACAATAGAGCAGGAGGTCTGGCAAAAAAAAAAAAAAAAAAAAAAAAAAAAGAGGCATTGACAGAGCAGGCACCAGACGAGGTCTGCTCTGCCCCAGCTGTCAGACGAGAGTTGCCACAAAGATATTACCTAATTATTTCAATGATTCTGATTTTTTTTTTAGTTTTTTGCAGTAATATTATTCAATAGTGTGTAGTGTGATATATTTGTGTAATAAAATGTATGAACCATCGCCGTACTCAAAATTATGGGGTGCATATTAGTGAATCAATTATTATGTTCGTAAAACAATAAACAAATAGTTTTGCTGTTATTACACTATATACACAGGGTTATATGTAAGTGTCTACATGTTTTGGTTACCATAACGAACCACTACGTTGGTATTGTGAGTCATAAAGCAACGAAGAGTGGCTGCCACACACACTAGTCAGCCAGCCACTTGCTGCCACTCCCTCACCTCCTCACTAGCCAACATTCTCCTCCCACCATACTGTTTTTGCTTTTATTCACTATATACAGACGTTATATATAAGTATCTACGTGTTTTGTTCACCATAACTGTACATCTAAGCTTGTATGGTGAGTTCAAGCAATGAGACGTTGCTACACACAGTCAGCTGGTGGCTGCCTCCCTCACTGGTTCAAGGCCAGACACTAATATTTCTCCCTCCAACAATACTGTTTGTGGTATTATTATCTTATATACACACACATTATATATAGGTATCTACATGTTTTATTCACCATACCTGTACTAATAAGATGGTATTTAGTGCCCAAAGACCATAGTGGCCACCAGTACACATCATGACATGTCATGCAGACAACGCCACCTTCCTCCCCAAAATGACTGCTCCCAACATATTCCTTTTGCTGTTATTACACTATATACACACGTTATATAAAAGTACAGTATCTTCATTTGTCTTCACCATAGCAAACAACTAAGCTGGTATAGTGAGTCCAGACAGTAAAAGGTGGTCACACAGAGTCAGCAGACAACGCTACCTCCCTCCCCACTACAGTACTAATTATCACCACAGTCCTGCTATTATCAGAATCCTGGTCATTTTTATCACAGCCAGGGGTCTTCTGTAATACTATCATCGCTAAATAATAGCATGTACACATATATATTTTGACTTTTTGGCGATGCTGTGGTCACAAGCTGAACTGCGGTGCTGTGAACTCATGATGCTGTGTGTGCCAGTCTTGGTGGCTCATGCAGAACTGAGGCTCTCACACTCGGATATGTTACCTGTGGTTTTTTTTCTAGGTGGCATCTGTTTACTATCGGTCGTGACTGGGCTATAGCTGCCCCTATCCCTCGCGGGGCATTTAAAATTGTGCGCTAAACCCCTCAATCGTATATGTATGTATGTATGTATTGTGCGGTTTCGGGAAAGTTACTCCCATCGTATATGTGTGTATTGCGTGGTTCAAGGGTTAACCTTGATTAGAAGTTTTCAAATTTTGTTAGACATATACCATCAAACCGCTAGGGGCCCAAATGGATTTAACACCCACAGGCGCAACAAAAAAAAAATCCAAAAAATTCTTTCATCTTATAGAAGTGTTCATTTTTGTTCCCTGATCACGGAAAAAAATAACAAAAAATCGTAGGTGGCATATTTCAGTCGCAATAGGGTAGGGAAGTCTGGCAAAAAAGGGGCGTTGACAGAGCCTTCGCCAGACGAGGTCTACTCCACCCGAGCTGTCGGACAGCAGTTGCCACAAATATATTATTACCTAGTTTTTCAATGTCTGATTTTTTCTTATTTTTTTTTTTTAGTATTATTATGCAATACAGTGAATTGTGATATATTTATATAATAAAATGTGTGAACCATCGCTGTACTCAAAATTAGTGATTCAATTATGTTCATAAAACAATAAACAAATAGTTTTGCTGTTGTTACACTATATACACAGGTTATATATAAGTATTTGCATGTTTTGTTCACCATAACGAACCACTAAGTTGGTCTTGTGAGTCAAAAAGCAACGAGGAGTGACCGCTACACACCAGCCAGCCACTCGCTGCCACTCACTCACTCCCTCCCTCAACAACACCTCACTCGCCCTCATTCTCCTACCACAGTACTGTTTCTGCATTTATTCACTATACACAGACGTTATATATAAGTATTTACATGTTTTGTTCACCATAACTGTACATCTAAGCTTGTATGGTGAGTAAAGACACGAAGACGTAGCTACTCACACAGTCAGCTAGTGGCGGCTGCCCTGAGGCCAAACGCACTAATATTTCTCCTCCAACAATATTGTTTGCGTTGTTATTAGGCTATATACACACACACTATATATAAGTATCTACCTGTTTTATTCACCATACCTGTATAAATAAGCTGGTATGGTGCCCAAAGACCATAGTGGCCACCAGTAAACAACATGATAAGTCGTGCAGATGACGCTCCCCCCTCGCCAAAATGGCGGCTCTCAACCTACTCATATTGCTGTTATTACACTCTATACACACGTTATATATAAGTATCTACACTTGTGTTCACCATAGCGAACCACTAAGCTGGTATGGTGAGTGTAGTCAATAAAAGGTGGCCACACACAGTCAGAAGACGATGCCACCACCCTCCCTCCCACAGCATTACTCCTCCCTCCATGGAGCACAGCACTAAATATCACCACAGTCCTGCTATTATCAGAATCCTGGTCAGTTTTATCACAGTCAGGGGGCTTTTGTAATACTATTATCGCTAAATAATAGCAGGATCGTTGCGAATTGTGTTCGCAATTCAGTTCCCTACAGGTGTGTATGAATATAATGTCCAAAAGCCTGGCGTGACTCCCAAGAGCAAAGCCTAAAGTCGGCCAAAGTTACCCGTGAGCACACAAAATCAGTAACATGTGTATACTCGTTCCATTTTTCTCACCTTAATTCTCGTGCTACGTCGCTCGTTTTGGTATCATTGTGTTCGCCATTAAATTCCCTACAGATGTGTATGAATATAATGTACAAAAGCCTGGAGTGCCTCCCCGCAGAAAAGCCTAAAGTTACCCGTGAGCGAGCCCAATTTGTACACTGCAACCTAATGTGTATACTCGTTCAATTTGATAACATCAAATTTTGGTATCAAATTGTTCTCAATAAAAAGGCGCGTATTTTAAAACTAGTCACATAATAATAGAGCAATAACTGGAATTTTAACAAATATTTTAATTCTGGAAGCTCATCATCACAAAATTATTTATATTTTTCCAGTGTTCTGACAAATTTTTGTGTTACATCTTTCATTTTGGTATCAAATTGTTCACGACGTAAAGGTGCGCATTTTAAAACTAGTCCCAAGATAATCGGACAATAAATAGAATTTTAACAAATATTTTAATATTTTGACCAAAAGCCTATTTATAATCTTTCAAGTGTTCGGACATCAAGTTTCATGTTATATCTTTCATTTTGGTATCAAATTGTGCGCAATCTAAAGGTGCTTATTTTGATACTATCCCGAGGTCAATTAGATAAAAAATGAGTTTTATACAAATATTTTTTGTAGTGGACGCAAGTTAGTCGAAAGTTAGGACTCGGGAGAAAAATAATGGACACGAGTCCGATCCAAAGTTACTGATAGTGTTAAGGAGCAGGGCAGTGCTCCATTTTGTCCAAACTGTATTGACCCTCTTATGGTCGTGTATTACTTGTTGAATGTCCAGACTTCCAGGAAGTGCGCGAGTCTTGCTTCCTGACCTTCCCTCGCGGTCACTTGTCCCTCGATAGAATTCTTGGCGATCCGGATACCTTCGATATCGTTCGCCTCGTGCGCTTTTGTTCTTGTATTGGCATCCTTAGTGATATTTAATGCCCTATGAATATCCTGCACATTTTATGGTGCTACATAGCCTTCCCGGCTTGGTGCCTTCTTTTGATAATTACTTACTACTTAATGGTAACACTAGGTCACATAATCTGTAAAGCACCATCGACAGATATGTACAATAATTTTTTTAATGGTTTCAAATTTTCAGGTGAGGTAGATAGCCACTTACATCTGCTGATAAAGGAGGTTCCTGGGTGGTGTACGATTCACAAAGTCCGCAGCGGCATCTTCCTCAAGATCAACAAGACAGAGCAACTAAGCAATGTAATAGATAAACTTGAATCGGTGTTGAAACAACGCAGATGATTCCTTCTTGGGAGCTACAATAACATAAGTCACATTTTTTTAGAAAACAAATGGCATATAATTTTTATATTTTTTAGTACGTGTAAATGTACTTTTGAATGCTTTTTTTTTTGTAAAATTAATTAAGCAGTGTTGAAAATGTACCAAAATTTAGTACCTTGTGGTATTTTTGCATGTACTGTATAGTAAATTGAGTAGTAAATTAGGTATTTAAATTTGCCTTTTTCTTTTCTTTAGCACAAGTTTTATTAAAACTATTTACTTATTTTAGTTTTGAAATGTATTAAAAATAAATTAAACAATGTAATAATTTAAGTTGAAACTACAAATTGCCTTAATAGGAAGATAAGTATGTAGCACTTGTAGATTTTTGTCTGTTGAACATGTGAAATTGTTAACATGCAAAGTATTGAAGTTGGTGAGATCATACAAGTTTGACTGACTTGTTGTTGGGACTCGTCCTGCCTTGTATAATCTTTGCCACAGTCTTGATCAAGTGTATAGCATGGTGCGCTTCTTTCTAGTAAAACTAGTGCTGTAAATTTTTTTTAAGAGGTGAATTTCAACATGTAATAAAAGCTTTTTACTGCTAAACTCAAATCTGAAAATTTCAAGACAATTAATTTAACAAATATTAACGAACAATTACAATTATTTGTTGGTAACATAATGGCAACTTTTCTCTCGTCTTTATTGTACTAAACTCTTGGTGTGTAGACTTTGTAAATGACATTTTTGTCTTGATAAAATAAACATATTAATGTCTGAAGAAAACGTGCACTAAAGATACTGACAATGGACAAAATGTTAATAGTTTGTGTAAATAAGGTGCCATCATGATTTTAAGGTAATTAGCATTGATGTATTAAGGCTGTTATCTTCAGTGCTTGAGGTTAGTTGAATGCAAACTTCAACTAATTTTCTTAATGGTTCCTAGTATTTTTATTGATGTAGAAATAATACTATTTTGAATATTTTAGGAAAACAATTTTGGTATGCAAATAGGTTGGGATTCCATAAGAAAGGCTGCATTGTGATAATTGTTTCATTATATATTAATTATATAAGATTCCTACTACATTGTGTAGGAATTTTAAGTTGACTTTTTGCTAGTTAATGTGAAAATGCGTGTGTATATATGTATAGGTTAAGTACAGGTTTAAGAATTGATTGTACAGTATTGATACATGATTAATGTATTATATAGTTTAATTTATTTTCCTTAATTTAGAAGTTTGACAATATGAAGGTAAATACTGGTAACTTGCTAGACAGTTGGGGTTGTCTTTTAAAGAGAACTGCAGAATAACAAAAAAAAAAAAAAAGCTACTGATTTTAGGAACAAAGCTATACATAGATTGATGTTTTGTGAACTCCCAGAAAGATTTATGATATTTTGTTTCTTTTTGAAATAGTTTTTGAAAGGTATCTGAGTACAGAATATTTCATGATACTCTCGGGGACTTAAAATTATGTTGCCGGGGCATAACAGTTGTCTCCAAGGAACCCCATTTCTAGCGGCATCACAATGGTATCCTAACAACCCCATTTCAATGTGTTTTATCATATTCTACATCACTTGTGCCATAAAGGCTTATTCCTGGAGTAATTCCCTGTTTTTGTTATGTGCAGTAGGTTGAACCATCACTACCTCCTAGGTGGGTCCCACTTGTGAAGCTTAGCAAGGCTTTGGCCCCATGTGGTAAAGGCTCCTACCCCTTCTGTTGTTCTGAAATGCCTTTTCCTTGAACATTTTTCTTAGCACTTGCATTCTGTCGCTCTCTAAACAGATGGGTTTAAGTATGCTGACGGTGTCGGATACTCTGTTGTCTTTCCAAACCAAACGTACATGTGCCGCCTACCTCAGGAGGCTAGCATCTTCATGGCTGAACTATGTGCCATCTTGTATGCTCTTCATTGAATGTTTTTGTGTCGTCAGCGCTCCTTTATCACTGTTGATGAACACATTGTGACAGTTATCCAGTTACACTTGTCATTGCTTTTCATGTCTTTGAAATCCATTGACTAACATCTTTGTTACTGAAATGCACGTCCCCCAATATATTATTGTTAACATACTAGACATTAATGAAAATTGTAATAAGTTAGAATTATAGTAAAGTAATACTTTGGCTGGGGGTCAATTTTATTACAATACAAATTAATTTATTATTGAATGCAAGCTTGGCAGATCCTGGGGAAGGGAAACCTCACACACCCATGGCTACAGCCCCTCCTACAAGCTCGAACACACCACAGGCTATCCCTGGCCTACCCAGTACATTCCTCTCCCAAAACTAACAAATATGCCATGTTCTAACCTTGGTTGTCACTTGCTGAACATTTGCACATTCAGGAGGTGGGCGCAGCCGAGACTGGTCGATGCAGGCACAAAATCACCTTTCACAGCAGCATACTCCATACGCTAACAAAATTTAGAACACTATTCAGGAGCGTAAGCAAGGAGGCATATAGTGCTTTACACTGCCTACATGAGGCCATTTAGAGTATGCCACATCATCATAGAGCCCCTACCTGAAGATACACAAGGAAACTGGAAAAAGTTCAGAAGTTTGTGACGAGGCTTATCCCAGAAATAAGGGATGGGGTATGTAGAGGGACTGAAGGAACTGAACCTGACGACGCTAGAAAAATGGAGGGAGCGAGGAGATATGATAGAAATACATAGGGGGGGGGGGGGGATTGAAATGGACAAAATGTTCACATCGAATATTGACAAAACAATGAGGTATGGGTGGAAGCTGCAATCTCAGATGAGTTAGAGATGTTAGAATTTTCATTTAGTGTAAGAGTAGTGAGAAAATGGAATGAACTAAAGGAGCAGGTTATGGAAGGAAACTAATCTACTTTTAAAATTATGAAATGATAAGGAAAAGGATTGGAGTCATTGCTTTAAACAACTGGTGGCCAAAATGGCGAGATCCAAGAGCCAATGTTCAATCCTGCAGGCATGCATGGGCAAGTATGCACTCTACGCTAGCAAAAGTCAGAACATCTTTCAGGACCTTGAATAAAGAGACTTAGATCACTGTATACCACCTATGTGAGGCCAGTTTTAGGGTATATTGTGCAGACGCTGCTAGTAAGGAGGCTATCCATACTTGTCCCATTAACCCACAAAGGCGTTCCTTACTCCGACTTCTTCTCGGTTATTCATTCCTTGATCCCCCCCCTTCCTCTCTGGCCCGTTGTCATCATAAGGGGGCTTGGTGGGTGGCTGCTGGAGTGTGATGCTCCATGGGTCAGTCCTCTGTCCTTTTGAAGCCTTATGCTCCTGCTGCTGTCTTCACCAATTTTGCCAGATCTCTTTAACTTGTTTCATCCCCCCCCCCCTCTCTTCTCCTTTCTACCTTTCTAATTGTCATTTCCTGCCAACATTTTGTCAGTGTTGATTATTCTTTTGGACTACTTCTGTTTTGAAGCCCAGGTGTTTAGGGAGGCATACTCTCTCGCTCGTAGAACTGTGGTAAACAACGCCGCGAGCGAAGGGACGTTTTTATTGTCAATCCTCCTTTCCTCACTGAACCCAATCTCGATGGACTGACAGTCCTTTAGGTTGCCGTTTGTGGGGAGTATACTCACGATGCACCCCTGGGGGTCCCCCTGGCAAGACCTCTGTCTAATTGTGGGTACTGGGGAAACATTCGTTAACGAAAGTTCTCTGCGACTAAGACTTGTGCTATGACTTTTGCTCTGAAGCGTGTCGTTCTTCGTCCCTCTTTGTCGCTTTATGGTCATTCCCCTGTGTACAAAGATTCTGCTAGGCTTTTGGGGTTAATCTTTGACACTCGTTTGTCTTGGTCGCCCCATATCTCTTACCTCCGAGTTCAGTGCTCTAAGGCCCTTAACCTCCTTAAGGTTTTGTCCCATACTTCTTGGGGAGCGGATAGTTGTTGTTGTTATAGATTCAGCTACTCGGAACAAGTTCCAAGTAGCACGGGCTATGGTGAGCCCGTAACTTACCTGGCACAGGAGCGGGGCAAGTAGCAAGGGCTATGGTGAGTCCGTAGTGGACTTACCTGGCACAGGAGCGGTGCTGTGTGTGGAGCGGATAGGCGCACGCTCCTCTCTTTACATTGCTCTCTCGTACTGTCTAAACTCGATTATGATTGCCCTGCTTACTTTTCTGCTTCTCCTTCTACTCTTCACCGTACTAATCCTTAGCTCCACATTCGGTTGCACCTCAGCTCTGGTGCCTCTCGTTCAACTCCCGCCCACAGCTTGTACGTTGACACTGGCTTCCTGTCTCTCCAGGACCGCCGAGATCGCTACTGTCTTCGCTACCTTGCGCGGTCCCTGCAACACCCTCACTCTCGCCTGTATCGTGTTTTGACTTTTTCCCCTCCTGTACTTACAGTTCTTCACCACCTCCCGCTTTCTGTCCGGTTGTCTCACCTGCAACATTCTCTTTTGGTTAGTATTATTAATATTTCTCCTCGTGTTGTTCCATCCTTGCCCCCGTGGAGGGTTCCCCTTCCTCAATATTGCAAATCCCTGACCTCACATCACTAAAGCTTTTACCCCTCCTACAGTTCTGAAACGCCTTTTTCTTGAACACTTTTCTTCACTTTCCCGCTCCGTTTCCATTTTCACCGATGGGTCTAAGTCTGTAGACGGTGTAGGCTACTCTGTTGTTTTTCCTGACCACACCTATATGTGTCGCCTGCCTGCGGAGACTAGCGTCTTCACGGCAGAACTTTATGCTATTCTCTATGCTCTTTGTCTACTGCTTTTTCACTGTCAATCATCCTGTGTGGTTGTAGTTGACTCGCAGTGCCCTCATGGCTCTAGGGTCCTTTAATCCAGTCCACCCGGTGGTCGTCGAGATTCAACATTGGCTGTTTCTTATCTCCAGTAGATTTAAGAAAGTTGAGTTTTGCTGGGTTCGCAGCCATATTGGTGTGTCATTAAATGAGCGTGCAGACGCTGCAGATAGGGAAGTTATCCGCACTTGTCCCATCTCCCGTAAAGGTATTCCTTATTCCGACTTTTACCCAGTTATTCATTCCTCAATCCTTGCCCGCTGGCAGGGTTGTTGGTCTTCTGTTACTGGTAACAAACTGCGTACTCTTAAAAGTAGTGTGTCCCCGTGGCCTTCTTCCTACCACCGTAACCGGCGGTGGGAAACGGCGCTGGCAAGGTTGCGTATTGGCCATACGCGCTTAATTCACGGTCACTTAATGGAGCGCCGTGCTGCTCCTTATTGTCCTAACTGCATTGTCCCTCTTACAGTTGTGCATATCCTTGTTGAATGTCCTGACTTCCAGCACGAGCCTGTATCTTGCTTTCCGACCGTCCCTCGCGGTCTCTTGTCCCTCGATAGAATTCTTGGTGAATCGGACACTTGCTATCGTTCGCCTTATGCGTTTCTGTTCTCTTATTGGCATCCTTGGTGATATTTAACGCCCTCTGATTATCCTGCACATTTGATCGTGCTACATAGCCTTCCCGGCTTGGTGCCTTATTTGATAATTACTTACTTTTCAACAAACAAGACCCGTAAGACCCTGCAGGAGCGTATACAAACTCAACAAATAAAATTCCAACACGACATTCCCGGTGCTAATACGAGTGAGGTCTACGGATACATAATGTCGCATGCCTTCACCCAAACTCCCCAAACCATTCACTAGATAAGCATCAATAAGTTCAGCACAATGCGTAACGGATATGCGTCGATCCCAAAACATCCGAGAGGTAGAAGAGACCTAACAGTTTCAACATAGCCATCCAGTCTTTAACAATAATTCAACACAATGTTCTAAGCTGGACTCCGCACAGAGCATTGGAACTCAACAACTTGAACAGAGAAATAGACCCAGATATAATACTCATTGACAGCCATGCGAAAAAGGAAAGTGAGAAGATAAAGTTCTTCAATTACAGAACTTACCAGGTCAACAGAGCTGATCAGGCTAACAATGGAGCAGCAATTGCTGCGAGGAGAAATATTCCACACAAAATTCTAGATAATTTTCAAGAAAATTTCCTGTCAATTGAATTCCAAACTACGAAGAGTACAATCTTTATAGGAACATGTTACCAACCACCAAGACGACCTTACCTTCCCCCCTGGCCGACATCATGAAACCCACCAGAAGGAACAGACCCGCCTACTTCCTGGGAGATCTGAACGCCAAACACAGAACCCTGAGACATGGAACCCTGGGACACAGAACCCTGGGACATGGAACCCTGGGACACAGAACCCTGAGACACAGAACCCTGAGACATGGAACCCTGGGACACAGAACCCTGGGACACGGAACCCTCGGACGCAGAACCCTGAGACATGGAACCCTGGGACACAGAACCCTGAGGCATGGAACCCTGGGACACAGAACCCTGGGACACGGAACCCTCGGACGCAGAACCCTGGGACACAGAACCCTGGGACATGGAACCCTGGGACACAGAACCCTGGGACATGGAACCCTGGGACACAGAACCCTGAGACATGGAACCCTGGGACACAGAACCCTGGGACATGGAACCCTGAGACACAGAACCCTGAGACATGGAACCCTGGGACACATAACCCTGGGACACAGAACCCTGGGACAAGGAACCCTGGGACACAGAACCCTGGGACACGGAACCCTCGGACGCAGAACCCTGGGACACAGAACCCTGGGACATTGAACCCTGAGACATGGAACCCTGAGAAATGAAACCCTGGGACACAGAACCCTGGGACATGGAACCCTGGGAAATGGAACCCTGTGATATGGAACCCTGAGACACAGAACCCTGGGAAATGGAACCCTGGGACACAGAACTCTGAGACATGGAACCCTGGGACATGAAACCCTGGGACACAGAACCCTGGGACATGGAACCCTGGGAAATGGAACCCTGGGATATGGAACCCTGAGACACAGAACCCTGAGACACAGAACCCTCAGACACGGAACCCTGGGTCACAGAACCCTGGGACACAGAACCCTGGGACACAGAACCCTGGGACACGGAACACTGAGACACAGAACCCTGGGTCACAGAACCCTGGGACACGGAACCCTGGGACATGAAACCCTGGGACACAGAACCCTGGGACACGGAACCCTGGGACACAGAACCCAGGGTCACAGAACCCTGGGACACGGAACCCTGGGACATGAAACCCTGGGACACAAAACCCTGAGACACGGAACACTGAGACACAGAATCCTGAGACACGGAACACTGGGATACGGAACACTGAGACACAGAACCCTGGGACACGGAACACTGAGACACGGAACACTGAGACACGGAACACTGGGACATGGAACACTGAGACACGGAACACTGGGACATGGAACACTGAGACATGGAACCCTGGGACACGGAACCCTGGGACACGGAACACTGGGACATGGAACACTGGTACACGGAACACTGGGACACGGAACACTGGGACATGGAACACTGGGACACGGAACACTGAGACACAGAACACTGGGACACGGAACACTGAGACACGGAACACTGGGACACAACCCTGGGACACGGAACCCTGGGACACAGAACACTGGGACACGGAACACTGAGACACGGAACACTGGGACACAACCCTGGGACACGGAACCCTGGGACACAGAACACTGGGACACGGAACACTGAGACACAGAACACTGGGACACGGAACACTGAGACACGGAACACTGGGACACAACCCTGGGACACGGAACCCTGGGACACAGAACACTGGGACACGGAACACTGAGACACGGAACACTGGGACACAACCCTGGGACACGGAACCCTGGGACACAGAACACTGGGACACGGAACACTGAGACACGGAACACTGGGACACGGAACACTGAGACACGAAACACTGGGACACAGAACACTGGGACACAGAACACTGGGACACGGAACACTGGGACACAGAACACTGGGACACAGAACCCCTGGGCAAGGAACCCTGGGACACGGAACCCTGGGACACAGAACACTGGGACACGGAACACTGAGACACGGAACACTGGGACACGGAACACTGAGACACGAAACACTGGGACACAGAACACTGGGACACAGAACACTGGGACACGGAACTCTGGGATACAGAACCCTGGGACACACAACCCTGAGACACAGAACCCCTGGGCAAGGAACCCTGGGACACGGAACCCTGGGACACAGAACACTGGGACACGGAACCCTGGGATACAGAACCCTGGGACACGGAACACTGGGACACAGAAGAAACAACCAGGCAAGAGAAGCTCTCCACAATATGATAAGGAACGGAAATCTAACCCACCTGGGCCCAGACGTGCCAGACCACAGACCACTGTGTCAGACAAGGACACAGTGGTAAACCAGATGTGCCTCTGTAACCCTTTCCCCTACCGCGCACAAGATGGGTATGGGGTGCATAATGAACTAAACTAACTATAAAACGTTGATTGACGGTTGAGAGGCGGGACCAGAGAGCTGAAGTTAAACCCCCGCAAGCACAACTAGGTGAGTACACACACACACACACATATACTTAGATAATAAACGGAATGCATTAGATAAGATAAGACAAGATAAGACGTATATTCAGGTAAAAGTACATACATTGAAAATGAGTTACAAACATAATGTCGGATTTATAGAGAGAACGAGTACATGCAGTGTCTGAAGCCACTGATACGCACAGGGTTTCGGACAAGTTGTGCGGGGACACAAAAAACTTAGACCAGAACTTAATACTAATTTAAATCAAAAGCATAAATTGAATTGAACCAAAAAAGAAGAGGGAATGATATTAATTACATGATGGATGGAACGGCAGAAAATGCAACAGAACAGCACAAGAAATTTTTACTAAATAAACAGATCATTTTTTTATAAGTTTATACATGACCGATATCAGCAGTCAAACAAGGTGGTCAGTAATCAATAATGTTTGAAAATAGCCAGACATGGGTTGACATTTAGGGCGGGGGGGGGGGGTAAGGTAGGTTACATGAAGTTTATTAGATAGTACTTAGTTTTTCTCGTAGACTGGTTGAGGTACAGCCTTTGACGTGATTAAGCAGTGATGTGGTGGAGGCTGACTCCATACACAGTTTCAAGTGTAGATATGATAGAGCCCAATAGGCTCAAGAACCTGTACACCTGTAGACTGACAGTTGAGAGGCGGGACCAAAGAGCCGAAGCTCAGCCGCCGCCAGCACAACTAGGTGAGTACACAGGCACACGTAAGACTCGTGCACCATAACAAAACACGGGAACGATTGACTGGGAACCAATCCACAAATTTTCGCTCTTTTTTACCCAACAGTGGTTGGGGACCTGGATGTAAAGTAATTAAGGGATCGTGTTGCAGGGAAAACTAGCAGTGTGAGGCTGATCATGAGCTATTGTAAGGGAAAACTCTCAGTCTGGTAACAGGGGTCAGACGTCGTCTGCTCCTGTAGGCAGCTGTGAAGAGAGCGGGAGAGAGTGAGTTAAGGTGAGAGAGTGAGTTAAGGTGAGAGAGTGAGTTAAGGTGAGAGAGTGAGTTAAGGTGAGAGAATGAGTTAATTGTGAGAGTGACAGTTAGGGGGGTGGGGGGAAAGAGAGAGAGATAAACTGGATACTTGAGATACTATGCAGTACTACTCCGATCTAAACATACAGTACTTATGTTATTATTATTATTATTATTATTATTATTATTATTATTATTATTATTATTATTATTATTATTAAAAAAATCCGTAGGAGCCGTGACGAGGGTTCGAACCCATGTGGAGGGTGTTCCACGCTCTAGCGACTACACCACGACATGGATGAAGAAAAGGACCTTAGAGTCAGACTCCATCATTCACTAAACGTTGCACAACAAGTGGGAACGGCAGTAAAAAGAGCGAACCAAACCCTGGGAATAATCAAGCGTACATTTACCTTCAAGGAGAATAAAGTAATTGTTCAATTGTATAAATCTCTGGTGCACCTCCACCTGGATTATTGCATCCAGGCATGGAGACCTTATCTTCATAAAGACATAGCAGCTCTGGAGAAGGTGCAACACCGAGCAACAAAAATCATACCAGAGTTTAGTCATCTCTCGTATCAGGAACGGTTGAGGGCCACAGGGCTAACAACATTGCAGACCAGGCATGACAGGACGGATCTCAGCTTTAAAATACTGAACAATTTGGTGGATGTCGATCCGGACAATGCCTTCAGAAGGTCAGATGTAACACGAACGAGGAGCAAAGGGTTCAAACTTAACAAGTTCAATGTAGGACTGAAAACAGGAGATGCTATTCACCCATAGGGTTGTAAACCCGTGGAACCGCCTACCCGCCGAATTATGGGCTATTCATGCCCTTTGCCACCTCTTGGGTGGCTTAATCTTTATCAATCACCCGCCGAAGCTGTTAACGCCAAAACTCTGCTGGGTTTTAAAATACAGCTAGAAAAGATCATCAGGGCAAATGGGGGGTACCTTTGACAAGCCGCCGGCTTCCTGTCCACGTCGAGGCCACTGGTATTAGTGGTCCTCAGGTAAATTCAGGTAAATGTGACTTACCGCATTGGTTCGAACCCTCACAACGGCTCCTACGGATTTTCTCATTGATGTAGTCACGTTAGTGTGATTACTCTGTGTATTATTATTATTATTATTATTATTAATACTAGTTTGCTGTATATATTTCTAATAACTTTTGTTGTCAATAACAGTAAGTAAACAGGTGAACACAGCCGGAGAGCAACACCTGCGTAATTCTTTCCTCTTTTCTCGAGAATTTGTGACAATATTGTTTAGAAAAATATGGTTGAAAGTTTTTTTCTCGTGTGAGCAGCTGTGGAGTGCTGGACACAAGCGTGGGAGGCTTCTGAAGTCACGACTAACTCTCTTATGAAGGCCTCTGAGTACCTTACAGCGCCTCCAACACTCTGCTTCAACCAGTCTTTTGTGTAAATAATGACTTCAGCTCGAAAGAAAATCCTCAACGTGAACTTATGTAATAATAAGAAAATGCGAATATTATTATTTTTGTTTTGATATTGGTTATTTATTTTGCCTTTGAGAGCGCTCGTCGCTGGAGGCCTCTGGCTGGAGGCAACTCACTGGAGGCTAATTCATAAGGCTTGACGAGGAGATTAACATCAATCAAAAGAGGAATGAGTCCCCACGAACGCACTCACCCCGACAAAAACATCGTAAGTGAACAGCCATCAAAGCGAGCCGCGTTCAATAATCGTATAGGAACTTCGCTCAATGGTTTAAATCAAGTAGATGAGAGGACATAGTTTACGGAAGATCAAACTGCCAATTAATGTCGGCGCAACGTAATGCCACCAATTACAATCAGGCTTGCATTCACAGAGGTCTCTGAGTGGCTGTTTTCAGCACGCGTTGGGGGCGGGCCGGAGCGTCACGTGGGCCGGGCTCTCATAGGGCGCAGGGTTACAACCTTCTCAAACTCGTCACCCCAAAATCATCAACATGTTCCATATATGCACCTGCAACGTATCGTTATTTCTCATAGTTCCAATGCGAAATATAATAATTCAAGTTTAATCAACTGTTCTTTAGGAAGAAAGGGGTCGATCGACAATTGCTTCCGAGCCATTCCCCTCTACCAACACTGTGTAAAAAGCGCGCGCAGATTACGCGGGAAAGGACTAGTTTGTCAACACTGGGAGTGGCTGGGCTCGGAGGGTCCTCCCCGGGCGGATGTATGGTGGAGTGCGGATAAGTGGCCTCTCCAGCCCAGATCAAAGGCCGGCCCGACGTAAATTAACTATTTATTCAGAGATCTTGCCCTTCCTGACAAGTTAGGGGGCCAATTTATCAGGACGGTGTTTGTCTGGCTGGGACCCCGTCGCCGCCCCGGGCACAACCAACTTGCTGCCTCATAATGAAACTCTACTTTACCTTCTGTTAATTCTCTTTTAATCATGATTTTGATAAATTTGTTTACTTTCAATGCTGCATACGGCCACTCGTTAAGGTCATGTGTTCTTACAAAAGATAATAATTATGCTCGGATTTAAAATTGTTACCAAATTCGTAAAAATAATTAAATTTGTTTTATCTCTGTCATGAAGCTATTTCATATTCATGCAATACAAATGTTTTACATCAGTATTACTTAAACAATATTTTCTGGCAATAAAGTTGGTTTACGAACATGATCTGTGGCATTTGCATGAGTATATCTTTATACTAGATTTTTTCTTCGTTGGTGAGTATTTTTATCATTGTTATTAATATTAATATTATTTATTTTTTTTCTTTTATGCAATCATTTGCTAGTCATTCTGTGCGTTTCAAGATACACCTGTACTTTTGTGTATTTTTTTTTTTTTTTTTTTTGAGATATATACAAGAGTTGTTACATTCTTGTAGAGCCACTAGTACGCGTAGCGTTTCGGGCAAGTCCTTAATCCTATGGTCCCTGGAATACGATCCCCGCCGCGAAGAATCGTTGTTACAACCAAGTACACATTTTACTGTTGCGTTAAACAGAGGCTACAGTTAAGGAATTGCGCCCAGTAAATCCTCCCCGGCCAGGATACGAACACATGACATAGCGCTCGCGGAACACCAGGCGAGTGTCTTACCACTACACCACGGAGACTTACTCCGGACACGGAGTTGTGTAGCAGTGTTGGTGTGCTGGGTATTACTGGGTACTATTTTGTGTATTAGACATTTGTTTATAAGATTCTTAAGTTGTTAAAGCGATGATATTTTTATTTTCGGTCTGACCCTCAAGACGAGCGTCACGTGTTTGTGTAGATCGCATGACAGCTCCCGGACGCAGGTTCGAATCCTCGTCACGGCCCTTGTGGATTTGTTCAACTTCCGTACTTCACTAATCCCTCAGAGGAATCCTTGTATGTGGAAATCACATATGTAATCGTATCTTGTAGTAATATATATAGCACCTCGTATCTTGCAGTCACATGTGTTACAGATCGGTGTTTGATCCACTGATGGTCCAGCCCGTCCTCCTGATAGCACGTCGCATTTTGACGTACACTCTGCACAAGGCCAAAACTCATCGTACTAGAAATTAGTAGCGGCTAGCGAAATTGACGTACTGTCCCGTTTTCTGTTTTGGGTCCTCTGGTAGGTTAGGATAAAGGCACTTAGAGTACGACAGTTTCTTAACGTTGGGAAACCTTGAGACAGGCTGCAAGGGCCAAGTGTATGGGCACAGTTCCATCACAGAAAAATCAATAAAGTACAGAGAGATAGATCTTTGTACAGCGTTGTTCCTATAGATTGAACAAATCCGCAAGGGCCGTGACAGGGGTTCGAACCTACGTACAAGAGGATACCAGACGCGCCTTAATCGTCTGATCTACGACATGGTATAAGAATTGCAATCGGGAAATCAACTTGACCTATCAGGGAGCCGGTCGGCCGAGCGGACAGCACACTGGACTTGTGGTCCTGTGGTCCTGGGTTCGATCCCAGGCGCCGGCGAGAAACAATGGGCAGCGTTTCTT